TATAATCCAATTTCAATGCAGACCATAATAGTAGAGTAATGAACCCTCCCACTATTAAATGGTTGTTGTTCAGAAAATATTACCTACAATAATTTACTCAAATGTTTCGGTTCTTACTAGGGTAGACCGCTAACTATGTACACCAACTTTTTTGTGTCCTCTTCGTTCTGATTATCAGACACAATGATAATAATGAAACAGCTGTCTAGTCGATCAGTACTTTGATCGGCTGAAAACTGTCAAAATAAGCACAAAATTAGACGGTCACCTTTTACCATGCACTTTTGAGGCTGAAGTCCAAGGTAGACATACAAAGGTCGCGTACTTCAAAATATTCATTCAGTTGTTCTCAAATTGAAGAACTTTTGGAAGAGCGTGCCTGTCTCCGTAGTTATTTAGATGACAACATTCATTCGTTAGAAGCATTTGGATATTTAAGTAAATGGAACCGACTTCTTCATTTTTTGCTTCTTTTGGTTCAAAGATCTTCATTGTCTTTGTTTATGACATCGCTTGGTACCCACAGAGATGCACTTGAGCAAAAATCAACCAGCCCAGGCATTTTCTCCCCCCCCCCTCTCCTCGTAACAAAGTTACTAACTTTATCCCAACAAGCAACATGTCTGTCTCGTGAACGAACAAATCTGCCATCTGTCTGTTTACCATGCGACTGAGCACGAGGATTGCCAAGGCCCGACAACAACATAGTGATACGCTGATCGCGTTGTCCATCTGATTTATAACAGGTGTTAAATACAAGTTGCAGAAAAGTAAGGGAAGAGAGTTAGTACAGGATTTGTTATTAGAAAATTGGCCTAAGATACCATTTTGCTATGTAGGTGCACCCCAAAATAAAGTCACACTCAAATGGCAAGTTGAATTTCTAGTATATCTTTGGTTGATGATACATAGGTCTTGCATCAAGATTCTGGAAAATTCGTTTTCCCAACTTTAATCAAATCTTCACAAGATCACAAGTAAATATTATAGCCATGTCGCAATGATAAAGCTTGTTACACAGACGCTCAACGCTTTTCTTTTTAATATTGCTCGCTAAAATTATTGAAACGTCTTCCTAATTTTTCTTCTGTTTCATGACATACTTCTATCTGGGAGTCGCGCTGATCGGGCATTTGTACGAATCGTTAGGTTTTTTTTACTCAAATTTTTGCTTACAAGTCGAAAAATCTCTGCTATTTATGATGAATGCTACTTCTGATCTATGTTACAAATAGATACAACGTACACTCAGAAAAATCATTCAAACATTCTCAACGTTTTTATTTTTTTGGTGCAAGCTTATGTTCGACCTAATATAGTCATTTTTTGACATGAGCCATAGCCCCAACTACCAAAATTCTTGTGCGAATTGAATTTAAGGGAAAGTACCCACGATAACTCTTTCCATCTCAAGTCTCGAGTGAAATTTCTTCAGAAAAAAATATATTCTCGTTGATTCCATACATAAGAGCTGGCAAATTGTAGGCTCTTAGCAGTTTCCGACTACTTTCGTTTGCACAATTTTTTAAGCTATCAATAATATAAATTCGAACATGGTCATGCCTGCGCAACACAACTAAAAGGTTTGTGTCAACGGTAAGTGAACTTCCGCTAGATTTGACATGTACTACGTGGTATTTCTGAAAACTATTTTAAGGACTGTAGAAAATTTCTTTCAGATACTATATAGTTGTTACATTTCAACAAAAATGGCTGAGACTGTATTGATTACTCTCTAATCTTGGTTCATGAAACAATCTCTCTAATAAAAGCGTTTTACTCGTTAATGAAAAGACATCACTAGAATTCTGTACTAGAGAGCAGGTTATTATTTAATACCAATTTTCAACGGGAACGAAATACCATGACGACCAAAGTTCGGTGCTGATTTTTCGTCTTAGTAAGACATAACAGTTAGGTAGCTGTACATTGATTCTCAAAGTTGTATTATTGTACTTTGACAGCTATTTATGTCAAAAACAAATCAAAAACCTCTGCACATAGACAGGCACCATTACAGAAGACACACCGACTTCTCTTAGCTTAATATAGACGATGGCCTTACACATTTGTTTGTTGACAAGTCCCGGGGTCAAAGTACACGTACATAATGAGGCACTCTCGTCTGGCCTTTTTATGTGAATGGTATCGGATGGTTGCGCAATTATTTAGCAGCTGAATGGTAGAGATGCTTCTAGAATTTCTCAAAAAATGTTGAAGAAGAGCGATTATTATTCTCGTTCTGTTCACGTTTTATACTTCGTGGTTTTGGCTGAAAAGTAAACCCTTGGATTTTCTCAGAATTTGAAAAAATTACAGAAAGAAAACAAACTTCAAAACAGCAACGATTCTGCTCTAACCGATAAAATCTGACTGTTAATCAACCATCGATACCATAATAACCATCGATACATCGCCGAAACGCGTAAGCCATTTTATTAATTTCTATGCCGTCTTTAAGCTTGAATAAATTCAGACAGGACTAATTTTCCCTGAAGAAAATATAATTTCCCAGAACATTCGAAAATAATAGCCAATGACCAATTACTTTGTAGAGTGTAGTTCACCAACATTACAAATATCTGACTTCTTCTAATTTGGCGGCTTTGATGACATGGAAAACTACTGAAATAATATAGTGCTAAAATAATTATGAAACATTATCATCAGTAGCGGAGTGAAGTTAGTTTATTTGCTTATAAAATACACGTGAAAGTGCACCAAACACCAAAATAAATTAAAGAGCTGGGTTAGATCACATTGCCCCTCAGGATGACCAGCTCGCTCTCCTTCTCCAAGAAGTACGTAAGTTTTTATTGAATTTTATTGCAAAAAAACTATTTGCTTTATTTTGCATCATCTTTTTACTTCTGTACTTTCTTTTTCACAAATACCTAGCCTGCTTAGTTAAATTTCAGCCAATGATTTTCTTCTATTTTATTATATAATAACCAGTGTAGTCAATTCCTTGTTGTGTTGAGATGGACTATCATTGGTTTCTTAATCCATATAACAGGAGGCACATGAGACTAAATTCACTCTAACGACTATTAACAATGTTTCATTGTTATTTTAGCAGTGTGTCATTTCAGTAGTTTCTCATGTCATCAAAGACACGAATCGAAGAAGTCAGATATTTACTTTAAAAAAGCTTTTTAGCACACGGATTTTTCCCTGTTTTTTTTTCAAGAAATACTGACTCGTGGTCCTGTCATCTGACGTTTTTTCCTACTATTATATACTATGCACTGCGTTACTGGCACTGCGTTACTGTAATTCATGTAACCACTACAGTACCCTAAGCAAAAAATGCTTGCAAATTTAACTGACAATTTGTGCACTTTTCAAGACCAACTCTAACACCGAGGTTTTTTTGTTTTCATTTCCTCTTTTCAATTTCTAGTGCATATGTACTATGTCTTTGCAAATCTTTACAGCTGATCGGTTAGCACGTTGTTGGTCGCTGCGGCATTCTTCACAACGCGCGCAGACTTAAGCGATCAAAGATCTGTAAACAAGCAGCCACAGCCCGGCCTCGCATCTGTTTACTCGTGGACAAGTTCCTGCAAGCGCATTTGCATGTCAAGGACAATGTTTCAGAGAAGTTCAAAAAGCTTCTAGCAATATAACTAACCAAAGGAAATCAGAAGTACTGAGAGAGAAAAATTCGGTTTCCTAGGCTTGCATACATGGCTAACGGTCTTTTTTTTTATCATGTAAAGAACAACAATAGCAAGTTATGGTATTTCATTTACTTTAACGCCTTCTAATATATTTACAAACATATATGATAGGCGTTTTAATCCGCAAGTCGATTTAAGTAATTAAACTCCCTATATGTGAAAATTGTTCAAAAACCACGCAAAACGAAAAAATAACGCTAGAATCTGGCGTAATTTCTTTGTTTACTTGAATGTTTCGGGGAAAGCCGGGCGATTTCATATTCCTTCTGGGAAAAGAAGGAGATTGAACAATTTGAACGTATTATTGGTGTCATATGTAGTACATCTACAAAATATTACACTCAAGTAAGTATTCATAATAATACATTCATTAACAAAATAATAATAATAATAATAATAGATTTCCGTAACTAATTTTAATACCATTTCTGTTACCAAAACTGTTCGCAGTGCCAGAATAAATAATAATAATAAGAAAACAACAATTATTGTCACTGTAGCAAACCCATCCTAGATTTTTTGCATATTGTTTCTGTAAATTCTAACTTTTCTTGCATAACATCATCTACCTCCTCGCTAGAGTAATTCTTGACGCTGTTATCATTCAAATACTGCTGAACTGGTTGTCTTCAGACTTTATTTTTCAAAGAGATTGCCGTCGGATAGGAGACTCCTGACTCGGTGGTACCATAACCGCCGATGGTTCGAGTGGGTCGGACGAGAATTTGCAGAACTTGCCGACTTTGCAAAAATTCATTCAACCGCTCCATAATTGCAATCCACATAGGAGAGGTGCATTTTCTGTTCATCGATGGGTAAAGGCCACTGCAATAATTCAGTGAGAGTTGAATTAAATATTAGCTGAAACCATGCGATTTTGTTGCAACTTTCAGCGTTATCTCTTTGCAAAGACTTCGTAAGCAGATCGCAGCTGATCGACCACCAAAGATTACAAAATTTGGTCAACAAAGTGATAAAAGCATCAGACCTCACCGCCCATACTGGTAATTTCTATTGTTTCCGATCATAAGGAAGAACTTTGTACTTTGTCTCGTTTACAGTCTGGGCATCTATGCCTATCTGATGTCTCAAGCGTACGACACCGCCCCTGCGCAAATGACGGCACCCTCGATATAAATAAGCGAGAAAGAACAGGGATCCCAAGCATTTGCTGGACTGCACGTGGTTTTTGTTAATGTTTTTGTTTATGCTTTCTGCAACAGTTGTTAACAGATATCATCACTGACAATTCACTCTCATACTTTGTTCTATCGAATCCTGCATCCTGTTGCAAAGACTGCCTAAACGTCCCTTTTTAGAGAATAACACCAAAAATGTCGTCAAATTTACCAAGACTTGCAGTTCGCCAAGCTACAACAATCAAAAATAACCCTTACATGAGTGCTCGAGAAACGTAAGTCCACACAGTCGGTCAAAACTGTGAAAATAACGAATTCTAGTATTTACAGCAGCGATGATTCCAAAGCTCAAAACAATGATCGAGTAACTCCAACTAACACAGTAAAGAATGGACCTGAACCAGTGCCTGTAGAAAAGGAAGGATTTTCCATTGCAAAATTCTTCGGATTAAGGTGAGTGATTTTTCCTCCTGATTTGATAGTTCAACAAAGCTTTGTCAAATATTCTCAATCCAATAAATAGGAATAATAATAGCTCACCATATAGACGTACTTTCGATAAACCAGGAGACTTCTCGTTGCGCCATTGATGAGAAATCTTTCAGATCCTTGGACCAGGCGTTGATTCAAAATGTGAGAAGATTGGTGGAAGAAGAAAGAGATCGCCAGATGGAATTCGAACGAATGCATCACCCGAATTTGAATTACTAAATCTCTGTGTATGTGGTCTTCAGTGTGTCTATATCCCCCTCCCCTCGAGGGACACAAAAGCTGGAAACATTACGTCAACTCAACGCTATCGATTCTCCAAAATTACATGGATTTGCAGTTTTGCATGTGTTTTTTTTCGTCGTTGTGAATTGAATTTTGAAAAGTAGTGAACTCGTCCACGCGTTCCTTGATCAACTTCCGTTATTGCCTTACAATTCAATTGTACTCAATGCGTTCTGACTTGTATACACAGCTATTCGAACTTTAGTGATTTCCCTGCCGATTGTGGCCATTACATATTGGCATAATGTGTGTAATATTGCTCACTGCATTTATTTTTACCTCATTTCATGTTTGTTTCTGAAATATCAAGTTAAGTTATTTGTTGAATTGTGCTTTTATTCTGATGATCCAAACTTAGAGTGTTTACTTGGGTACTGTGTAGCCAATAAACTCTGCTAAACTTTTTTCTTTCGCTCTACCAGAGTATGCATGCATAAGAAAGAACCTTTTAATCTCGTGTAGCAGACAGCAGGAGATACGCTGAAGTGCACTTTGGCTTGTTCCAATGCATTCCGCTAATTCTGGCCGCTTCCCAATCCATTTTTATTACTACTGCCTTTTTTCAAGCTAGCATAACCACGTCACCTCAACGCGCTTAATTCCGCTTTTGTCCCATCGCATGCAGAATTTATGCTAAAAATCGTTTGAGTATGAGATATGCAAGACTTGGTAAGGCGCCTATCGCTTAGAATAATCAAGAGTCTCTTAGAAAAATTTCTTCCTTAAGAAAACCTCAATAACGTCATCTGACTTCAAATCCTGAATTAATTCTAAAAAGTAATGAACTCGTCTACGCGTTTCTTGATATCTTTCACTTATGTCTGTACCAAAACATCGTTGAATTTTTTTTTGTATATGAAAGCGCCATGAAAATCGATATAGCAAAGTTCAGGGTAAAGCGACATACAATGAGAACGAACTGTTTGATCGATGGCAGACAGATATTTGTATTTCCTTTGAAACTATAGAGTGTGGAATTGTAGGTAGCTTTTTGCAAATCTTTGAGAAAGATGGTTATGCAATACTCCAATCATTTCTTATGAAAACTATTGCCGCAAGACAGGCTTGAAAGTCATTCTTACTGTCGCAAATGAAACATGGATCCTCGCAAATAGTGTAGTGCAAATAAGGATACGTATAGATAAGCTTTGAAGATTCTGTTTATTATGACTTCACCGAATAATGGTATTAGGGACTCAAAGAAGACTGAAGATTTTATCTAGTTCCTTTGAAATGTACTCCATAAATTGTTCTGAAAACCTTGCGCATTTCAACGCAAATGATGAGAATCTACAAAGGCATAATGCTGATTTTTCATGCTGTCAGCAATGCTTGATTGGAGAATAGAACAGACAATTTTGAAAGAAAGCTTTTCCCATGGGGTAATTTTTGTACAAGATGCGAGCTTATATAAGGATATATTGCAATCAAAGCTGGAGCGGTTTTGAATCAGGAGTGCAGGAAGCTTCTATGTTTTAGAAGTGAAGTCGCTTGATGGTCCAATTTATCTGGGAATTTTTTACGCTAAGCTTCAAACATCATATCTTTTTTAATTCGTTTGATTCTCGTTGAGTATGATGACACAATCAAAAGAACATTTTATTTATTTATTTATTCAAATATGCACTATAAGTGCGCTAAAAGAAACAGGTTGACAGAACTAGATCGTATAAAACATAACTGTCACACTTCCACTCCTCATACTAACACTTTTTGCTCACTTTCGTAGACAAATTTGTTTCCTGAAGCATGTAAAAATGAGTAGTAGTTTTTTGATTAATGTACGTAGTTTTAAACAAATACGGTAATTTCGGGCAAGAACAATCGAACTCAAATTGAAAATTTAGATTAGTTACTTGAAAGTCCAAATTGAAAAATTAAAACACACAAAATTGAATGTTAAGAATTTTTACACATCCCTTAAAAGACAGGCCATATACAAGAACCCAAGCCTGACGATTTTTTTTCAATAGACAATGTGCGACAAAGTGCGAACGCTTAAATGGAGAAGCTTTGAGAGATTCCCACGGTAGAAAAGTATAATTATTTGCTCTTTTACTGCAAGAAACGTGACATGTGGGGCAAACTCGGTCTGATGCCTACTCTTCAACTTGACTATTTTGCGTCATTTCAAGCGAAATTATCGTGCCTTTCTATATGATTACTTTTAAGTTTCTTTCATTCTTTGATGATGGTGCATTCGCTTCTGCTTTCTGATTCAAAAAGGCTGCTGCATAATATAAATATCGACCACGTTCATATAATTCGCCGCTTCCATAGGCGGAACTTTCACTTTTATATAGACTTTCGGCGGCTAAAATTATTACATTATTTTGTCCTTTGGCACTGCTAGAATCTGAAAAGTATTAATATCAATCTTCGCTATTGCATAACTTAATTGTAGGTTCCAAATGAAACATGGCTTTACTACGTCAGAGTTATACTATTAGGTTGATACGGCAGTTACAGCAGTACCCTCATCCGAATCCGAGTCTGCAAGCTGTGTTATGCTAAACAATTTTCTCGTCTTTTTTGACTATCTGTGCCCTTCGTTATTAACTCTAGTGCTGTTTTTGTTGGCCATAGTCCATGCATTCAAAATAATATAATCATATAAATGAAACCTTGACTCTCAAAAACAGCTGGTTTATTAACTTTGTTATGGCAGGAGATTTCGTTTCGAGATGAGCACATTCGAAATAAAATCAAGTAAAGAAAGTATAGTCTACCAATACTTTATTCTTTTGTCCCTTTTTTTGTCCACTGACTCTTCAAAGGACACCTGGAAAGAGCAAGATACTAGAAGAACTAAGGGAGCCAGTGTCGCTAAGTACGTAAGTCCTCTCATTTTCCCAAAAACTATAAGCTCTCTCTTACAAGGACTGCCCTCCATTTTCTTCTGACATAAATCTTACATTTTATCTATGCTTTACGAAACGATATATATACCCAAAGTGCAAAGTGCTCATCTTGAGAAGCCAGCTTCTTTTCAAGCAGTGTTTACCATAAGGCACCTTTTTGATTTTGGATAATGATGTAATTTAGCAGTGGCAAAGCCAGTATGCACTTCATTACGTGAATTTAAACTGAACAAAAAAGCTGCACTGTCTACAATCATTAATAAAAGCAATTTGAATAATTTAGTATAGTAAAGTTTGTTATTATATAGAATGTGCAATTGCGCTCATCATGCATACTATTCGTAAAATCTAGATTTTTCTGCACAAAGGCGAACACAGCTTTCCGCTAAAAGCCTTTTAGCGTATTTCTCAATGTGAGCATCAAGCAGAATTTTCAGAAATTCGATGTGTGCAGAGTAGCCAATAAAGCCATGAACAGGACGGATAATGTGCACATCGAGTGCAAATGCACGTAATCGTTTACAGACAGACTTGGCTATATCATGTTTGAAAGCTTGTATGATACATTATTGGCAAAGGAACTGATTTTGTTTTCCAACATGAGCCTTTTTACTTGTCTGCCTTGAGGAACAAAGCGTTTCAAAAACAAAGTAAAATTTTTTGACGAATTCAGGCAGATTGTCATTTACAGTATACTAGTGCCTACCGTGACTTTGAAAATCTTCCGAGAAACGTAGTCATTTCTAAATCTGGCGATCAAGAAACTCGCAGGGTGAGTTCATTCCGAAATAACTGCCTCTACAGAATTCATGCTATGATCCATGTGGGTCACGTTGTCGTTGATGTTTAACCAGACTTTTCAAGGCGAACCAATCAGCAACCAGCGCAAGGTACATTATTGGGTGAAGAACTGTCTGGGTAGAGCTAAAAGTTGAATTTCCGGGCCACAGCAGCATCATATGAGTTCATAAGTTGCCGTATAGACAGAAATTTTGCTTCCCATCCGTTTCCATGTAAGAAGTTAAGATAGTCAGTTTTGCCCAGACACAAGATTATTTTGTGAGCTAGAAAATGTGAAGGTTTCTGATATTTTGTAATTAAGCAGAAAACGCAAACTTGGGTCGGACCCAGCTAAGGAGCGCAACAGCTTGGCTATTTTACGGTAACGCGTATCTATCAAATTTATTCTTTGTTATTTACTTTTAAAAAAGCTTAGGCGGTAGGATCTCCAATTGTCCAAATAAAATCCAATCTTTCTATCCCTTTATTACCGTAAAGCTGAGCAGTATTGCAACCTTACCAAGATCTGCCTAGTTGTAATCCGAACTGCATCTTATGTCGGGAGCGAGTCAGTAAAAACTTTCAGATGCGACGGCTGACATTAGCGTCGTATTCAGCTGTATTCAATCTAGCTGAACACCGATTTTACTACGACACAATAGCGTTGCCATGTTCGACTTATCTCTTAATCTTCGAAAGAAAAAAATGTTTTGGTTGCACTGAACCGCTACAGTTGAGATTTTAACTCTTGGAGAAGACGGAGTGCGACAGTTTTCGTCGCGACCTGTTCTACCGTCGAAACGCTATAACTTTTTATGATGCAATGACTTTTTTGAATAGATTTTTCTGAGCTTAAAGTTACGCTAAATTAACCTGAATTTGCTAAAAATAATATGAATTGTCTCTGAATACTTTATGCAGTTTTCACAATTTTTTCATTGTCACTGAATACTTTATGCAGTTATCACAATTTTTGAAATAATTTCTGGGTCAGAAATCTACCAGTCCATAGTAATCGAGTAATCTAGGTAAATTTTGCTGAAAGAAGTCATGGCACCACGTTTTTTTATCCAGTTAAATACTTCAAAACAGCTGGAACAAAAACATCCTTAATATATTGAGATATATATTGAAACGCTAAAATTTCGACAGTGCAGTGTACTTGCTAATTTTCAGATAAAAAAGGAAGATGATAACTTTCCGACTGTCTTGACGGAGAAATACGTCGCGACGAAAAAAAATCTATCTTAACCATTTTTTCCATGATTTAGAAGCACGGTTGTCAAAATCAGTTTCATCAAGTATTCTCATTACTTTACTTAGGGATCTCATGTGAATCTTACTTGTGACAAAGTGAAATTTAATCAGTGCTCCTAGAAGCACTCTCATGCTCACTTATTCGCCCTGAAAAGCAATCTGACTCGGTGGAGAGTCAGCGTGGGCTGTGATTGAAATGTGTCGTGTTTGCTCTTTGCAACACAATGTTACTAAAAGATTTTTGAGCTTTAGTGCTCAATTCCATGTCTTGCTACATCTCTCCGTTTCTCTAGACCGGGGGTAAAAAATTGCTGACTCTTTTTTCGAAATTTTTGGCTGCACTTGCAGGGAGGCAGAAAAAACAGCAGTCATTAGGCGTGAATCAGCGCTGACGTTATCTCATAGATCGCACTAGGTCCAAATAGCACTAGGCAACACATTTTGTACGTGACCGGATTGATCAGGGATTAACTGGTACATATCGCACTGTTGCACTACCTTTAACTACAGCAGTTGCTCTAATTTTGTGGTAGCACACGCAAAACTCGCAGATTCGCGTGAATCCCACGTTTTTTGTGTAAGCGCACATTTCATCTTGTTCTCAAAATGAGATGTATTTGGAGCAGTTTCCGTGAATCCGCTTGCCATTTGAACAAGGTATTCAATTTGATAAAATACCCACTTACAGAGTAGTACTATAATCACGCGATAGCGCGAGTTTTGCGTGTTCTGTCGAAAAATTAGGGCATAAATTGTCTTTCGTACACATCACAATTTAGATATTTTGCTCGAGCATAGTAGTTGACGAAAGCTTTTCCCCCATCTCCCCCTCCCCCCCCCCCCCTCGTCGAATGGGACTTCAAGAGCTCAGCAAGCCCTCGCGCGAAGAGCAGCCTCGGCGGCAGAATCCACTTTGCGGTTCTTATTCGTGATGAGCACCGGCGATGCAATCTTCGCAGTAACCGCTCTCGAAAACGCTTTTATATAGCGCTGAAGCTTTATATAGCCATGCGCAAGCTCGAAACGATTTTTTCTGCTGCTATTCTAGCCACTTTTTGCCACTATCATGTTTCCTCTTCTCGATGAGGAGTTGTTTTTTAGGCGATTTTAGGTGAGTGATGTGCGCCTACACAATGCAGAACTCATGCAAATGTCAAACGAAATGTCAGAGCCACGGCTTTCTTTCTTGCATTTATATTAAACCTTCCATCGTCTTCCAAGGATATGGAAGATTTCTTTTTAACGCCTTCACTTCCATTTATAGTATAGAAATTCTTCTTCTATGTCATGTACTGGATCTAAAACGACTCTACGTTTGAGACTTCAACACTCGCAAAAAAATGGAAATAGCTATAGAATTTTTCCCTTGCAACGTAGTATTGATAAACCGTTCGAAAGGCTAGAATCCTTCAGAGTTTTTCAAAAAGTTAAGTACACCACTGCACTGCTGACAAGCGAATGATTTGGGATATCTCTCAAAAGTTTTGGGGATGTTTTTGTTTACGCTGTCGCGACGTATATATAGGTAATGTTGAAGTATGATTTAAAAGAAGTTGCACAAATTCACGAATTTGCATGTAATTATGTAGAAAACTACCGCAGTACGTCTAGAAAGTTTGCGCAGGTGAGGGTCTTCGCGAAACTTCCGACCACTCATCCGTATAATCTCTTTGAACTATGGATCTTTATTTGAGATGTACACATACAATCAGTGTACGCATTCGTTATTGCTTTCGCGACAATTTACTCTAATTACATCACTTGTACTTACACCCTCTCTTGCTCTCTTTCCGCATGCATTTAGGCGTACTTCTTAGTCCTTAGTCTGAAATATACATCAGTGTCTCATGCAATGCGTGAACGCTATAAAATCATGCGCATAGTACTTGAAGCTTTGATGCTCTTTTGTGAGAAGAACAGATTAGGAATGGCTGGGTGTTTAGCAAATAATCAAAGGCAGTAAATCTTGCAATATCCACTTCTGAATATCAGTAAATACTGCCATAAACTAGCGCGCTGGCGGAATTTGTCCCAAATGATGCATAGAGCTTTCTCCTGCCCCCTCAGCGGAATACACACATCCATACACGGCTGTCACGCAAATAATCCCGGCACGACTACATATGCGATGCGAAAGAGTCCGAACTCATGTGTGAGTGTGTGTGCAAAATCTCTATGGATCTTAGAGTGAGTAGCGGAAAGCGTGGCGTCGCAAAATCTCACAAATAATTCAGTGTCCTTTTTGGAGGGAACAAAGCCGTAGTGGCTTGATGTTCGACAAGAAATGAGAGACGAAGCTAAACGAAACTCTCAGCGGGAGTTCGTTTATTCTGAGAGTGAGAGACAGAGCCGTGCTTATTGTGCTGCCTGCTCCGCCCAAAATACTCGCGCACTGCGTGAACTCCTCGCCTCTGACGGCATCTTTCTCTTCTTTTAAAATACTCTTATTCTACTATTTATCGTCTCGCTTTCTCAGTTCTCGTAACACTTTTTCAGCTTTTCATATCCTACTTTGCCAAAGTCTACTCGCTCCAGAGCTCGCAAAGCAGAGCTGTTGAAAATTTCATTCTCTATCTGCCCTAGTATCGCAAACGGCGAAGAACATGCAGCCGAATTTGCGTAAAAGATCATCCGTCTATCAAGAAGTCGATCATTCTTTCACGGTGAGTTTCTCAAATATCAAAGCATCTCTTACTTTGTACACAAAAATTCTTGAAGACGACAATTGGGAGGAAATAGGCAGTAATATCATCAAAAACAATATCCTGGGGTGACAACCGAATAAATCTTGACTAATTTTTCGTAAAACTGTTTTATTTTCACTTCTCTTCTGGCCAATTTCCGTGCTTTTCTAAAATTTGAAAAGACTCTAGCTAAGTATCGATAGTTTCAAAAGCTCTGGCTACGACTACAAAATAACGTCATTGAAACTTATAGCAAACTTTTCCATTCAGAGAACGCTTTTTCTTGTAACAATGCAGCTGTTCTCATGGATTATATGCACAAACATTTATCTTTCACTTTTATGACATAGCTAAAATGCAACTAAGCTAAGAGAAGATTAGTCAGACTGAACACTTTTAGTGCAAACAGAATTGCCCAGGGTGTCGTTACTAAAAATTTGTGGCACTTCAATAGATTTCGCTTAAGTTCAAAAGCATTTTGAAATTGACTATAACGAAAACCGTAATTTCTGAATGGAACTACATTTGTACTTTTTATGTTCAAAATACTTCACAACCTCGTATAGAGGCTCATTCTTTCCTTGTTAGTAACCAGGCAACTCAACCTCCACAGATCACTTATTAGCGACTCGGGCAATCGTAAATTTGTTTACATAATCGAGCATTTTGAGAAGTAATCAGGCCTGGTTAACACAGTAAATTTGACTGAGTATAACAGATGACTATGGAACAAATATTCAAAAAATCTCCTTTTTACGCCAAGCAATTATTCTAAGCAGATCAGTAGCATTATACATAGAAAACCAGTCACATTAACTTCTCAATATACTGAATGGGTAATGCCGTAATTTCTTTGTTACTCACAGCCAAATTAAGTAATTTCTACGTAGGAGTACAATTCCATGATTGTGAGTAGTGCGACTGAAATGTTTGGGAAATGGTCTCCTTTCAACAATTGTTACCAAGAAGAGAACAAAGATCTTTACTTATCGTTAGTTAGGCCAACTACAGATGCAAATATCAATGCTGTACTATGTACCTATAACTCAGTTTTTGGTAAGGCAAAAGAATTTGCTTAATTCTATGCAGTTCGTATAGAATCAAAAAATTTTCATGGTCAAGCCTAGATTCATCAAAAATACTTTCAAAAAAAATTGGTCCCAATAGGTAAAACACTATGATTGAGTTTAAGTTTTAACAAAAATTTATCACAAAATAAAGGTAAAATCCTATCATTGAGATTAAGCTTGTGTATCTACTTGATTACCTTAATGGAAAATTGAATTTTGAAATTATTCTGCCTTTTTCAGCCAAAATCCTTGTATTAACTTATGTTGCATTCAAAATAGCGCATGCAAAACGGTTGAGCAAGATCTGGATCCCAAGCTTTACTTAACAACTTCCTAACACTTCTCGTACTCACTCAGATGTGCATTTTTTGAAATACGAAGCAATGAAACGAACATTCTATTCCTATTATTTGTAGTGTTATCACTTTCACCGACCTCAAAAATTGTGTGGTGCTACAAAAGTAAACTTTTTGGAATTTCTACACCCATGATATCTTGGAGTAAAGCATTGAAATTAACTCAATTTCTCGGACATTTGGGTTTTCAGTTTAAAAGCGTATCACTACATAAGTGCAAGACAAGCGGGAATTCTTTTCCTGACTCCTCATCCCAAAAAGCACACTTGAAATGAAAGCAATTTCCTTCGTAGCATCTACTTTTCTACACTTGCTACTTTCAAATCAAGGCGTTCGCGCCGTGATTGCGATTGAGGAAATCTCATCTGCTTTTCGAAGGAAAGCCTAGCTACTGAGAAGTGGATAACATCATGAGAGAATCTTGCAGATTTCAAAAGAAGTTCAGAAAGTTTTCTGGAAAATGCTGTGTTTCAAATAGGACAAATAGTATATGGAAAAGGTGAAGCTTGGTAATCTAAAAACGCATCGATCTGAGTGAGCAATCCAGTATAAAATTTGAAATTTGCTCATCACTATTCCACTAAGCAAGTTAGTCTGCAAAATTTTTCAAAATCTCTTAGGCCCTAAAAATGAATCTTCTTCTGTCCACAGTTCGTTCTGTTTGAAATATCACCATTTCATAGTTTTGTCCACATATCTTTTCTCTAAAAAAAGTGTGGAATGTGGAATGCTTCTTTGTAAGCAGAAATTTTTTTCCAAAAGCCTCTTAGTATTCGAGCACAGGCGGATTAACAAAATTATTCTAGTTTCTAATGAAGTGCCTCCCAAACATCTCCCACTACCGAGTTTTTCAAAAATGTATAAACAGAAAAGTACAGCTGTCATAGGAATTAACGATTCATAGTTTACACAGACCTTTCTCTCAGAGTTTTTCTGTAAGACTAACATCTGTCACAAAGTAGCTCTCTGTCAAATGCGAATAAAAAGAGCGTAGAGGCTCGATAGTCTGCTCAAAACAATTATGCAAAGTGCAAATCAGGAGATTGAGCTTTTTGCGTATTACGTTAAGTTGTGGATATGCCCTTGATGCACCAAAAAGCACTTTCTTTATTGAGGCAGGATGGATGGCCTCTCCTTTAGGCTTTGTTCGTATGTTTTTCTACTAGGGGAGGAGAATAACAAGACGAATACTGAAGCTGAAGCTAACAGAGGATCATATTGCTTAGTGGTTTGGAGGTGATTAACTTGTTTTTCTTAAACCTAAAGCATTTAAAACAGCCCATACTCTTATGTGAACGGTAAAAGTGGGTGCTTTACACGGTTGTTCATTCGTAGGCATAGCTTCAACATATTTTCATCAAACTAGAAAAATGGGATTATTTGGAGATTGATCCACCTCAATGTTTATGCTTGAGGCGACTTTATAAAGAGTAATGAGCAAACATCATTTAAGCCGTTGAAAATGCATATTTTTATTTTCTTTATCTTTCATTTGTTTGACTGCATCTTTGTTTGTGACACAAATCAAATCTCATAGGAATAATAAATGTGAAGGCTATAAAAGCTAATACTCTTCAGGTTATGCTGCTTGGAGATAGCTGTACTGGAAAAACTTGTTTGTTGGTTCGATATAAAGATGGTGCATTTCTCAATAACAATTTCATTTCTACGGTCGGCATTGATTACAGGGTACGTTCTGGTTTAGTGAAGCTATTATAAACATAAAGCTGGGACTAAGATTTTCAAATAGAAATTTAGCAGAAGAATTAATTGTGCATTGTGCATTGCTTTCATAGAAAGTTAGAATTACAACTGAGAATCTGTACCACATAATATGAATCGAAATTTATCGCTGTACTCTACAAACTTTTGTAAATTATGGTTATTCATAATTCTTGTAGGATTCACCAAATCTCCCTAGTAAAAATTTTTTTTCAGAATAAAGTCATTGATCTAGACAACAAGAAGGTAAAACTACAGGTGGGTCAATTGGAATTTTTGTATTGAAGGTAAAAGCTCTGAAAGCAAAGCTGACAAACGAACAAAAATCTTTTTCTTAACACGCGTGTACCCGCAGTACGTTTGAGGACGTTTACTTGGACGTCTTTCTGAAAACTCTATGTGGCCTTTTTTTTTAAAAAAGAAATAGTTTTCTTTTCTCTATCTGTTCTCTTCCGCACTAGAGCAGAGAGCCGAAATGCGGTATCTTTATGTGTTTGATGAAAAAAAAAGAAGCAAGTAGATAGTATGATCTAGTAACCTAACCATAAAAACAAAGAATAAAAACATTTGCATAGGCGAAATCATAGATTATAAATCATAGAAATTATAGATCATTAAAAAAAGAAGCAAGTAGATAGTATGATCTAGTAACCTAACCATAACTTCCAAGTAGCTGTCGTTGCACAACAACTGACAATTGCTTGAAGTATCTATGATTTCGCCTATGCAAATGTTTTTATTTTTTGTTTTCAACGTCTTACAAAACGATGACATTTTGTCCCATAGTGGCGTAGAGAATTGCAAAATTATGTATTGTTGTGCAATTGCACACATATCTGCAGAATGTCTTAACGTTGGCTATTTATGAGTGAAGCTTATTGCCATTTTGATCTTATTACCCCGGTGCGACAAGCAGAAGAGCAGTTTTAAATGTTCATAAACTTCAATATAATTTCATTGTATTATATAAAGTATAAGGAAGAAAATATTTTATTTGACCTTTCATTCAGATTTGGGACACAGCTGGCCAAGAACGATTTCGATCTGTCACATCCGCATACTACAGAGACGCAGATGCCTTGTTATTAGTGTTCGACGTGTCAAATCGAACAAGCTTCGAAAATGTTCGGGTAAATTTCTGCCCAAATTTCTCATCTTATTCAAGCTTTTCCTAGTCTTTGGCAAAGGGCATGTACTCATGTTTCCGGAATGCAAATTTTAAGTAAAATTTCAAAACACATCAGAATTTGCATGCAAAATTGTCATGCTAACACAGCCTATTCACGCTCTGATTTATTCAGTGAATTGCGAAAGCGTAGTAAACAAACAAGGCAAAGCTTCAACTCAACAGAAATGTGCTTGTTGTTCAGCATAGGGTTTCGCTCATGTGAGGCTGAGGAATGGAATATTTTAGAACGTGTCTCACTGCATGCTGTGAAATTTTTCGGACAAAATGTGTAATCGGCAGGAAGAATCTTATTTGAGCTTGTAGGACAGTAGAAGCTTTTTAAGCTCCAAATATTTTCACATTTCCTAGTGGTTAGCATCTGAGGGCATCTGAGCTCAACAAATCAAGCAAAATGGCGCTGTCGTCATTATCGTGTCACGCTAAAACACTTCTTTCTCGTCCTCATGACAGGAACTTAGTAGATAAACTCGCTTACTGGATCCACAATTTGTCGTCCAAGGAAGCCTCGGAAAATTCTAAAATCTTCGTTTTTGCACAAAATTACTTGACTCCAAAGTCATCTCTCAATAACTTGCAAGAGGCAAAATAAAATTCTACGCCCTGTTCGATTGCTTTTGACATTTCTGCTGAATGCATACTTTCATGTTTCTAAGTAAACGAACACTGAGATGATTGCCTTGTGATGTTTCCGAACACAGTTGCGAGAAATGAAGTGCTTAATTGCTCCGTTTTTCTTAACTTATGAATCACACTTCTCATATCTGCGCACGAGATAATACACAATGTAGCAGCTTTTGAGTCGTATACGTTGTGGGCTTTTTTTCCCTTGTCGAGAACATTGTGCTCAAGACCGTAGACATAGTGCAATAAAGTAAAGCAGATTAAAGAACAACTACTACCATCCTAAATTATCCTGGGGCAAAATAAAATTATTCATTTCTTCAGCTTGTTTGCAAGGTTTCTGAAAGTGGTCATTACACAGTTTTCACTTTTGTATTTTATTCCAAGAAATTTCTTACTAGTTTCTTCTTTGCAAATAGTAGAGAAATATGACGGAAACAATTTTTCAAAGTATTTTTTGCTGCTTTTTAGTATCGCTATTGGTTCCTCAAGCATAAATCATTATGTGGGACAATTAATTTTTTTTTGAAGCTACTTTCCTAACGCTTCTTTTAAGAGCAAAACATCAACTGCCATAAGGTGAACCTATTGCTTCGGTCAGTAAAGACTTTACAGAAGATATTAAACTGATATAAGATTGGTATGTCTAATCTTTGCAAAACAATTTGAAAGTTTTGACGCAAATTCAAGATAGTATCTGAAAACAGTTTTCTTGCCCATCATAGACGTGGGCAATTAAAGCCCTGCCTCGCAGCTGTTCCAAAAATTTAGACCTTCATACAAATAGAAAGCTCCTCGCGTTCATTACATCAGTAACTCAAATAGCAGAGAAATGAATTCCCACATATAGTCAGTGTTGGAAGTGTATATATAATATGAGAAACCAGCTTTTAAAAGTGAGCAGCGGCTGCTTATTTCTTAGTTTTCAGTTTGTTTGGTGTAATAAGCAAACTCAGAGCAAACGTTTAGAGTTCTAGATTATAATATGTTAGGAAATTAAAAACATTGACTCCCAGAATGAAATTACAGTTTTGCAGTACATAAATTTATGTCGATTGAGTACTTCACGAAGAGACGCGAGTACAAAACATTTGAAAACTATAACTCATCTCATCAAATGAGTATTAGAACTTCGAGCAACATATATCATGTCAGTAGGGGCTCTGAGACTTCGGGCAAAACTTAGGAAACTACTTTGAAAACCGTATTACCAGCGGTGCACGGAAGTGTTTGTTTTTCTTCTACTATTTTGTAAAAACTTTTTCTCAACTTTGTAGACATTCTTCCAAAGAACATATATATTCTCTGAATGATCCGTGATAAGCAAGCATGTTTTTGTCAGATACTTATATCCCAATAATGATGCAAATTATCTCAACGAGATCGCTTTAGAATAGATAAGAAGAGATAGTGTAGAAGAGTATTTTCACACACTAAAGGTTCACATTTTTTCAAACTTTTTGTGAAAGCTATGTTCATGATCACTAAGGTCGCATGAGAGACATCAACAAAAAATAGATATCGAATTTTCAAATCTCGCTTGCTAGGTTGATTTGTTTAGTTGTCTTTGCTTATCAGTGCTCATAAGATTGTATGAGCGTCGTAATGCCGAAAATGATTTTAATACACTATTTTTGCTGAACTTCGGCTCGGCAAAACGAAACTAAAGAGAAACGAACATTTGCTTTTGTCGTCGCAAAGTTCTATGCTTAGCTGCAAAATTAACTGAAACATAACTTGGAGACATCTGTACCAAAACTGTAAAGAATCGGGACTTCGCAGTGAGATGCGCACATTGTACCAAACTGGTCAACGCTTATTTTATTGAAAGTACTTTGATTCACATTTTATTCAGTCTATCTTTCCTTACCTGAGGCGATGTTCTTGTACTCTCCACTTGCAATCACAGCTAACAATAAGTACAAAGTCTGCTCAACCAGATTAGTTCTACCATGTAAACGAATGTTTGTATAAATAACCTCCCGAAATTTGTTCATGAGATAATATCCCACATAGAAAAATATATGAAGCTTCTTTAATTTTTTTGAATTTCATAAAATAGTTTATATTCTTCAATTTTCAGAGTTGGCTGGCCCAGATTCGGGAATACGGCAAAGAAAGTGTACAAATCACATTGGTTGGAAACAAATGCGATCTCGGATCAGCGCGGACAGTCCGGTCCGACGAGGCACGGCATCTTGCTGCTGTGAGTGTGTTTGCAGATAATTGCCGTCGCCGAGAAGACTAAGACTCCGTAACAACTAATTTCAGTCCTACAACATCCCTTACATCGAAACAAGCGCAAAAACTGGTCATAATGTTAGTCAAGCCTTCACAGACATCTCACGGTAAGCGAGTTTTACATCTTGATTGAACATGGTGAAAACAAAGAGATAAAAATTCTCTGATACTAGAAAAATCAGAAGTTGCCCAAAGTATGTTATTATGCTAAAAATTTTCGTGTAGTAGCGCTTTTCCAACTACTATTGCCATTTTGTTCCAAAATTGTAAACTAGTGTTTCTGCAAAGTATAGGTCATTTATAAAATAGTGACGATGACGGACTGCGGTGTTTGTGCCCACAGGAACATAAAACACCCGAAAAGGCATTACCTCACCGTTAGCTCAGCCACTTCCAGCGTATATACTATCATATGTAAGCAGAAAAACCATCCGAGTAGAGATGAAAACTAAGCAAATGCGGTTGCCGGAAGTGCGTGCGTGTCGCGCGCGGTCGCGCCCGCCGTCGTCACGATTTATTGCATGCCCTATAGCATTAACTTGAGGGCTACGGTAGATGCACGATACAATATCAGAACCTTTTCTCCAAATTTTTGAAAACTGATAGCATGCCTAACACGATTAGACTATTTCATAAAATTTTGGTGTACATTTCCTCCCAAGCTATCAAAAATAAGTTTTCTTCGCAGGAAATTAAGTGATAATGTTTGTGCGACCACACACCGTACAACCTTACCCTACAGGCTCCAATAAGGAACAACCGTAATGGGCAGTGAGCATGTTGGATATCTCGCTAAAAGTCTTGGTATAAATTTATGCGGGGTGCTGACATTCAAGATCATCAAAAGCACTAATGCAATATCTAAATGTTCTTTCAATATTACTCCGGTCTAATAATGCTTACGTAAAATCCCTGAAGTCAACGAACACCATTTTTCCTTCTCATAAAGGATATAGCTGCTGTACCTCCTCTCTAACCTCCCATCGCAAGCGAATCTGAGCAACAAGTGCTAGTGATAAAACAGAACAAGAATCGACATATTTTATGTATTTGCAAGGGTATCCGCAAAATCTATCGAGAGCTATTTATTTTGTCGTTGACCTTGTCCCCCTAGTCACTAGTAAGGCACATGCTCTAAATATTTACATGGTGGCACAATTTGTTTTTACTCTTTTGTGATACTCTGAATATCAAATACGCAGATTATTACACAGGGAACGTTCAAAACCAGTGCCATCTTGGAATGACTAACTGGGAGTTCTAAACACCGACATCTATCAAAATAAACGCATATAAGGTCGCCTGGTGTTTTTGATTGGTTATTCCACAGAATGCCAAACAGATATGTAATCTTCCATAAGTTGGAACTTTGCAAACCAGCATTATCCGAGAATCTTAGAACGCCAAATGAAGCTAGATGTTTCTTTTTGGTTTGGAATTTTCCCACTCAAAGTTTATAACAACAAAAAATTCATTGATGGCTCGGTGTACATAGCTTGTTCCAGCCAATAGAAAGTGTTTATTTAAAATTCAGAAACGTGCGGTCAAAATTCCCATAATCAACATTTTGAGATCTTCTCCTCTTAACGCATAATATGCCTACGCGTTAGTAAAATTTAACATGAATTTAGAAGATAGTTTTCCTAATATATGTCGTTTACATTCTGTTGTATGGAACAGATCTTGCAAAGTGTGCTTGGCAATCTTCCAAACTAAAGTCTTGGTTCTACTATATACACATCGGTTAAGCCTGTTATCCCACTCCTATGGATTGTCGCTAAGCAACAGATTTTCAATTTAATAAACTGTTATGGTAATAAAAACTAGCATCTAAATGTATGGAAAAAGTTTTTGAAATCATATTTTCATTACAGACGACTCATCGAGAGCTCAACAGGAGAAAAATGCAACGAAGTGGTGGATCTAGCAACGACAGACAACAGATGGCATTGTTGTTATGGTGCATACTGAATAAATTTGTAAAATAAATATTATAAAACATTTCTCATGTTTCTGTAAAAGGTACACAAATGAGAGCACAACTGCTACCCATAGGATAGACCCGGCAAAAAATGGCGGGTAAGACGGTAAAGGTTTACAATCTCCATAATGCATTTCCCATGATAAAAGCTCTAGTTTGAGCATCACATTATAGAAATCAAATTATTTGTGTAGATGCCAAAAAATTGCGTGCAAGTCAAACAGAAAACAAAGAATTCACAATTCACAACTTCGGTTCCAGACTCAGCAACAAAAATAAGTACTTTTGACCTCTAAGCTCCTTGAAAGACACTATATGAATTACTTACATCAAAATTGACCGTAGTTCGCGTCTGCTTCTCTAAGTAATTTTTCTTTTTTATACTTTTAAAAAATTCCAAGGGTTACATGAAGATTTCAAATGTACCTAGGCAATGACAAGGCACATACCAAGGTTTCCTAGTATCTTGGAATGTTCCTTTGCCGCTCTTAGGGCTTTTCACCTTCCATAGTTTTTTTTTCAGATGTATTTTGGCATTGTCTCTTTATGACGTCTGATGAGTCCATAGTTTTGAAAAGAGAGGTGAAAAAAGCCAAAAAATTGAAAAACTTCGCTTTTTTCTATACGCATAGCTTAGAAATTGATGCGGAAATTTACTAATTCTCAAAAAATTCTTAGATAAGTCTCCTTGATAAGTTGATAAAATATGTGGGTGTGGCATAAGTTAAACGCCAATCAAAAATATTCCTCTTATGGTCGAAAGTTCCCGGCAAAAGTAACGCGAGAAGCTGCCAAACGATTTCTTTGGCTCAAAACCGCTAGTTCAGAAACTTCAGAAAGTAAAATTTGTTACCAGGTTGGAAGATAAGGATGTCTTATCGTTTGAAGGCAGTACATGGGGTTGGCCTGGCGTTGACTATGGGGCCATAGCTGAAATATGGTTTTAGGAGTAGTCTTTACCGTAACCATCATGAGATGCACCATACTCTCGCTGGAATTCTGGTCAGGAAGAGGTAGTCTTATATAGAGTAAGATGATGACAAAAAGTTCAATTTTGCACGGTCAATTACCATCTGTTCTCACTTTTTTTTTGAAGGTATAGATCTCACGGAAGGGCACTTCTTATCAAACATGAAGAAGTCAATCTTTTCTTTAGCAGAAACTACAAATCTCCTCCATACACAATCTTTTCGCTTTCTATCCTTTTTCCCCTTCACACGTGATTGAAATGGGAAAACCACGCTGTTTCCTTATGAATCTATCGCGTTATAACGTGGACCATGTTTGTGCACGTATTATTTCCACGGGCACCGTGCCGGCGCCGATTTGCTTCGGTCTTACTGTAGTTGTCAACATAGTGTGCGTCAAGCGTCAAGACTGGCAAGTTAGAAACGAGTTATAAGGTTCGAAATGGTGCGACGGGTAAATGTTTGGGTGAATGGTTGAAGGTGGTAAGAAATGCAAGACTGTGACGGAACTTCCGCAGTGCTTAGGTGAGCTTGTGGGTGTGATGCATGCGATGTATCTCTGTGCCTGGTTACGTCCCCAACCCGGACAACCCCGTGTGTCGGTCGTTCAGGGGTTAGTCTTCGCGAAAGAATCGGCCATAATTCCTTGGCCTCGTCATAGCGGTCTTGTTTGACATCGGGCGGCACTCGGCCGCCGCGGCTCGTGCTGTTTCCAGCGGTCTCCCCACCATCCCCAGCACCGCCGCCACCACGACCGCACCGCGCGCGTTCCTCGCCTCCCATCGAGCGCGACGCGTCGGCGTTTCCGCGCTCGACGGCCTCTCTCACATCGATCGCGAACATTCGCTGCGTACGCACCGCACGCTGACTATCTGCCGGATCGCGCTGGTCGCCGCTTCAGCAACCTTCCAGCTCTTTCGCTTCACATTGCGGCTCACCTAGTGTGTGTACGGGCTGCCGATGAACGCGATTCTGGACGACGCTGAACATTCTGAGAATCACTGAGAGTGCATGAGTTTTGCATTACACTGTACAGCCATGTTCATACATTGAACCTACAAGTGTTACCTGCTCCAGTCCATTTATTTTCGAAATTATTTCGTAAAAGCTGATGGATTTGGCATTTGTCATTTGCGTCTAGCGAATGTAACAGTCAGGCTCCTCATCGCAATCGCCGTCCACCAGAGCGTGCAATCAGCAAAATTCTATCTCATATTCTTTTCTCGCTTTACTCCTTTCTTTTACAGCATAAACATATATTTATTATGACGTCCCAGCTCATACAGTATTCTCCTTCATTTTTGCAAAAAATTTTACAATGAAAACTCGTTCGAACAGCACGCATTCTGAAAATCACTAGCTAGACAACCGAATCCGAATCCGTAGACCCACGCTCATCCGCTCGCAAATCGCGCGCTGATCGCTCTAGCTGTTCTCTTCAACACATCTGCCACCAGTTTTGGATATCGGACAACGGTCAACTCTACTCTCTATACCCCAGCATCTTCTCATGTTTTGGCCACAATTTAAGCACTCACTCATTTATGCAAAGCTACTTGTAAAATGTCGTTATTTTGCTCAGACTATCGGATCCATACATTTCTCTTCCATTTTGCGATCGATTTTCGCAGCTCTGCTAATTGTACCCCATATTGTATTATCGCATCACACAATTGTTACTGTTCAGCACATCCATTAGTCTCTATATTATCGATTTCTTTAGTAAGTTAGATCAATACGCCAATAGGCATTGCACCTTCGTCGAAGGTCGCCTGTTGAACAACCGCGCTGTATTCAATGAAACCCCTTGTTAAAGAGTAAAGTTCGGTTTCTGTCGAAGAAAGGCCTGACAAATACCATAATCTGTAAAACAAGGGACTTTTACGATATTTTCGAAACACATTACCAATTTTCTGTGCAAAATATTGGATGTGGAACTAGCTCATTGTTTGACCTAATGGCCTAAGCCTTTGCAAGACCCGAATCGTCGAAAATTCCAGGATTCGGCGGGTCTGTTTGCTCGCTTTCTCCTGTGAATCTGAGAGAATATCTCATTTTTAGTGGCTGATATTGAAAAAGAAAGCGAGATCCATACATTGTTCTCAAAGCCTTTCATAATATCCATATCGTCATCATTCAAGTTGAATTTTCAAAATCTATACAAATCAGTTTGCAAATGTGGTTATAGCAGCATCTTGGTGCTACTATTGCATTAGATCTTTTACAATAATTATGTGTTATCTGGAAATTCTTGAAAATTCTTCATTGTTGTTCCAAGATTTTGTGTCTTTTTAATCCTTGTTTCTATATATCTTTCTAATATGTTATCCTATCCAAAATGATGTTTCGCAGACTTTTGTCATTGTTTTTTGCGAGTACAACGGTAGAAGGTCAAGATGACTTCATGTCTGCGACGTGGCTGCTCGTAGAACATTGTGTTTTCTGCATTCTTTTCCTCGCTGAATCATTTTATCTTCTGTTCCGAGACTATGTTCCACATCACCAGCAAAATCAGAGGCTTCAGTTTACTTTGTGACAATCCTTTCTAATTTTATGCCACACAACCTACGCTCACGAATAAAGCAGTGATAATGACTGTGCTTATGCCCGGCGCAGTTACATCACGTCATCACTCGCTCCGAGATTGACGATCAAGAAAATGCAGGCATAAATACCTTGAATGTTTCTAATTTCTTACAAGAAAGGTTTTCCAAGCTAATTTTCAATCTATATGCCTTGTTCGAGACAAATGTCGCTAGCCACGCACATCTACACATCTCGCGCTCCCATTTTCAGTTCTCGTCAGCGCTGTTTCATACAAGCATAGCTCGCTTACCCGTTCGAAAAACGCAAATGCTCTCACTATACGTCATTTTTCGTAAAAACGTAAAAGCCTTAGCAGTTCCAAGCTCCAGAACCTGACGTACCACTGTGTGTAAGGCACATCGAATTCGAAACGCTGTACTTCTCACCCCTGGAAGAAAACTAGGCTATGGCGAATTTGTAAAGACTTTATTATACGATTTGCATAATGCAAATGCGACGGTTCTGCAGAGTTCACTAGCTTCGTCAATCCGTTTGTCACATTGTCTGGTTGTTCAATGAAATCACTGGCAAACGACGCTGTAGTTGTTTTCTGCTCCTGTTTCGCACTCATAATTTCCACAACTCTGGTAGTGGAATCCAAAATGTCATTAATTTTTGTGTTGCACATTTTACTAGAATGTTCGACCAGTAATCAACAACTCTATTATATAATAGTTGATTTTTTCAGCTTTGGACTTCTAGTACACACAGAATTAAGGCCGTGTATTTTATCCAAATTACTTTTGAGCCTCTAAATACTTTTTCGGTAAGAAATTGTGTGAATGCGTATCCGAGACTTTAGAACTCCTTCAATTTATGGCGCTCTCTAGCTCTCGTATCACTATCATAAGCAAAATATCCGTAGCTTATCTATACTTCGCATGTTCTGCTTGTGATTATCCCTACAAAAATACACCTTTTTTCGAAGAAGAGTAAGTCACCAGCCCAAAAATATTTCATTCTCTGTTTCTTCGATCAGCGTTTACTTGACGCTTGACTCTCCTACCATTTTCTCAGCTTGTTCTTTGTGCATTTTTGTTCTAAGATAATATGAATTAATGAGTCATTAATCATGTCTAGAACAGATGAGAGCTTTAAAGCAAGACATTTGAATTTTAGAATGAAAAAAAAAAACATATTCGTATTGCGTTTCTTTTCGCTCTTACCATCTAACCAGATAAGCATGATGTTGTAATTAGGTACAGGTACTAAGGAGAGATTTGGCGTTGATATTATGGTACTCTTTTAATTTGTGCTTTCTAAGCTCAATATACTCTTCTCGTCTTCACCATCAGTTGCCACTTTCTCTACATTTCTTGTACAAATTTTTTTAAATTTTCTGTGTGGACTATCTAACCAGCAATCTGATATCCTCGCACCCCTTCCAAGTCTTGCTTAGAAACTCTCATGTAATCCGTTGCAAAATCAAGACAGCAGATGGCAAATACCTCAATTCAAATCTTTGCACAATTCATCACTTTGCGCTTTTTGCTTTCGAAAATGACGCTATCATTCCAAAGTGCAGATGATCATTTCGATTGGAATATCATATTCAATTGTGAGCAAGGTTAAAGTTCATCAGATATCAGCTGAAATTTCTCCCGCACGGTTTAGATCGTCCTTGTGACAAGAGACCAATCTTTGTCTGAAAAAGCATACGCAGTTGCTAGACACTACGTCTTTAAATCAAGTAGGGCTGTTTCATCTGGTCATTTATTCATCTTTGCTTATTTATATCTATTTATCTGGATACGCTCAAAGATACGCCATAATGGTTGATAAACACAACAAACAATGCAATTTTTAGTGCGCAAAATCACAAATTATATTTGACTGAACAGCAGAAAAATGGGATTTTTTGGACCATCTTGGTTTTTATTACATTTGAGTTTTTATTTTTATTTTGATCAACAACAAGTAGGTTGCAACCTGAAAAATCGCTTACATAAGCGACCTTCGGCTATTATCCTGTTAAGGCGTTTTTACGCTCCTCTTTTATAATCCTACGCGTGGCGCCATGAAGAACTCGAACAGGGTTTGTACATTTTTTAATCTTGCGCGGTTATACCGTAAAAGTCATAAAGCAAGTGAGATACTATTCGAAAGTGCTTTTATTTATTTATTTATTTATTTGTTTATTTATTTTACACGAAAAGTGTGCCAAAAATTCACAAAAAAATTCACAAAACAACTCTCGAAACATAAAAACATCGACACAGAAAAAATGATCGGTCTTAAGTTTGCTCTTGTTCCTAAGTTCGTCTTCCGCCGCGGTATCAGGTTTTCACATACTTCAAAATAATATATGAATATATAGGGTTCACTTCTAATTTCCAGATAAAAACGCAAAAAAAAACTTGAAAAATAGCGAAATTACGATTTTTGGCGCAGCAAAAACCAAAAAAAAATGTTTTAATCTTTATTTTCCGAAGGCAGGTGAAAATTGGGGTAAACTGCATATGAATGAATAGAGCATAAGGAGCTGTAGCAGAAGTCAGCCAGAAATGCGTTCACTTGCAAGAAGTAAATACACTCCGTTCTCGAAACTGTTAATGACATTATCTCCAGACTTTTACATCAGTGGTACTTTTTATGATCTCACAGTTTCACTGCGGATACGCTCGAAGTTCATAATTTGTCGAAGTGATCAATTTTGTATTTCAGCAACTATAAAAACTATTAGGTATGTAAATGATTGTATAGGTTTTGTTTAAATGAGATTAATATATATTCTAATATATCTTTCAAAATTGGAAAGTTCAATCACTTCTCTTTTTTAGAAATGTAGTTATTCTCTAAGTGTTCTATTTTTTACCGTTCACCATTACGTATATAAGAACATAGAATCGGAAAACCCATGCGAAGCTCAGGCCTTGCTTTTTAAAAACTTCCAGTAGAACGTGGTACGGCCCAGTCGCAAGGAAGATGCATGCAAAGACAAAACAAGCACTTATGGAGCATTCTACATGATTCTACATATTTCTATGTGTCTGTTTTTTCTTACAACCTTATGACCGAAAAAAAAGTTCCTTCCTGAAATGCCCCTTCCTGCTAAAACTCTACCACACACAACTCAGCGTTTGCCCTTTCACTGCTATATGTACAACATTCGCAGTATGTATAGAGCCAGCCCCTGTTCATGCATCATCTATTTCAATGTAGGACTCGAATGTGTCACGTGTTGCGTCAGAGATCCACAAATGTCGCTCTATCGCTAAGCGTTGACGCAGTTGCTCCGACTTGTATAGCACAATCGATGAGTGCTTGTTGAAGTACGAAGGAATAGATTTCGTACATTCTCGACGATGAACGCGTCTTCATATCTTTAAACTTGTTCTCAAGCTCTATTTCGTATACCTAGAATAATAACCAGAAAATTGCCCTCTAATTTCATGAAGTAACCTTTCCGCTCAGTTTTCACCAGGGCTTCTATGTTGGTACCAAATTCAGAGGCTTGATTGCTACAATCCCTTACTAGGACGGGTACAAGTCACGAGGTTAAGCTACCCATACCTAAGCGGGGGATTAGCCTCGGGGCAATCACGATTTGTCATCCTCCTGCATAAGCTACTATCGACCATCACAACTGGTTCGGAGAGCTGTTCCCTTTTAAAACGCTATTTTACAAAGAAAGACCACCCTTTTACTCAGTCATACTTTGTTCTAAAATCAACTAAATCTTCAGTATTCAAAATGAATAATGTCACTTATCTGTAAAATAATCACCCGTGCAAATGTGTGCCAATCCTTTTCTTGTTATAAACTTGCATTTGACCAAAGCGTATGTCTGGTTATGCACCATTTGTTCTCTTTTTCATAATCGAATTCTGTTTTCTATATTTCCTCAATAGAATATCGAATTTCATTCCTTCCGCCAAGACCTTTCGCATTCGCGTTGTTCGCTCACTGATGATTCATTTAGTTCAGCACGAAATAGATTACTGTTCCTACGCATATGATTCGAGTAATACCTCATCAGACTTCACTCTTGGCACTGATCTTGTTTTTTCCACTCCAGAATCTTTCTTCTATGTTAATCCCCAAGACTCGGACATTTCGGTGTAAGCGACGTAGTCGCAGACGTGCACAGAATATGAAAATGCAGACTTTCGTTTCTCTAGAAACCTAACGCACATGCCATGCCCAATCAGACGTCTGCACTTCAGACGTTTGCATCATGTTGACTGAACTTTCTTTGTCAAATGCTGTGATAGTAGTATACTGTAGTGACGTATTATACAGTGCAAGCGACGTGGTCGCAGAATTAGAGAATATATGTAATGAAGAAAAGGCTTTGCTCGATAGTATCCCCTATTTCGCGTTTTTATTCGCATCTCTTCGATGTCTTCGAACAATATCAAACTCATATATGATTTAAAGGTGGCCCTTCTACCGTATCTACCGGCATTAGATACGGCCAGATGCGCGAGGATCGCGCACGAAAGCGCAAGAACAGTGACTGCGACCCGGCGTCGATGTCAGTATCTGTTGTGGCACCTCCCCCTTTTGCCTTGTCACAGGTAAGCGTGTGCGGGGAAAAGCAGAACAATGGCTCAGTGTCGTCAACAAAAGAGAGAAACAGCTGCTTTTGTTTAGGAAATTCGCGTTTTATCTATACGCTGTTTTTTTCTCTTTCGGTATAAAGTGTATATCAGAGCACTTATTGCAGCAACACGTGCTTGTGGGGCCAGAATCATCAAATACGCAAGCGGACGAGCCTCGTGCTCTCAAAAGGAAGCAAGATGAATTAGTACAAGAGGTACGGGACTGATCAATCCTTTTTTTCAAAAAAGAAAACAAACATATTGTCAGAATAAAACTCGGAAGTAAAATCGTAAAGGAAATTCTGAATCGACATGAATTTTTTTGTTCCGTATGTGCGCTTGTCAAAATTGATTCTTTCTCAGGTGTCATATGAGAAACGCTGTCCGGACAAAAGACAAATTCTCCTTTTGTACAGTTGCGCGAAGTCCTAAAATAGATTTTGCATTCTCTGGAAAACCTACATTTCTATTTTTTATGTGGCTGTTTGCATCGGGTGGCACATATACAGAAAAAAAAACGAAAAAAATCCCTTCTGTTTGTCTTAGTTTCTTTTTCCATTAAAAAAAGACCTAACAAAATATCATCGAACTCTTATCTTTCTTTTAAATATAAGTACGCAACTTTACGTACATCAAATACTGTGCAAAATGTCCCATTTTTGCATTAATCACGATTTGAACTAGAAAATTGAAATTTTTTCCGTTTCACTATGTTTACATATAAGATGTGTTGCAGTCAACGGGTATGTCAACGGCTGCTGCAAAGCCTTCAGCACTGGCAGCAAAACTGACGAATAAGTTCATTCCTGTGCAACAGAAGCCTACGCGAACAAAACCAAATGGAGAGGGGGAATATCAGGTATGGTTCCTACGTTTTTTTTTGAAAATTTGAATTATACTCATCACGATGATAGTGCCTGTCTATGCAGTAGATATTCATCTGAAAATAAAATTAACCAGAAGTTTCCAAATATTCCCTAGTACCCGTCAAAACATGTCAGTCCATGCTTATCTAATCAAATCGCAGCTGTCACAATCATCGTAAGCATTCCTTGTTCGAATGTTTGGGCTGCTCCTGTTTGTGCATTGTGTGGCGTTTTAGTTTAGGACAAGCAGAATGTTTTATTCTATGGAACCCCCCTTATTTTTTTACGTGGGGATTGACGCATTTCCTGTGCAGTGGGAGCACATGATGCGAAAGTAACACTGAATGAGGGAGATGGTATTCTTGAGCAACAATCACTTCTTGAATTTCTGCAGAAGTTTTATGAAATAACTACAAATAAAAATTTTTTAATCTGAAGATAGTCAGTTGAGTCTGGATCTTGCTGATATTTTGATTATGCGAAGTGTTTCAGTTGATAAAGAACGAGGTCCTTGTATCACCATATGGCAACCAGTATGAGGTGCTGGAGTTTCTTGGGAAAGGAACTTTTGGACAGGTAAGCTACTCTTTACTTCGCTGTACTTCTTGAGAAATACAGTAAATCAGCATGTATTATTGGCTGTTTAGCAGCAAATCTTTGATAAGTTATGATTTTAGGTAGTGAAGGCTTGGAAGAAGGGTACTAGCGAGATCGTTGCGATAAAAATTCTCAAAAAACATCCGAGCTATGCTAGGCAAGGGCAGATTGAGGTTTGTAATTAGTGAACAATTTTTAGATTTCTTTAATTTTTCATTTCAGGTTTCAATTCTGTCACGGCTCAGCAACGAAAACGCCGAAGAGTTCAATTTTGTGCGCGCATTCGAGTGCTTTCAGCACAAGCATCACACCTGCCTCGTTTTCGAAATGCTTGAACAGAACCTCTATGATTTTCTCAAGCAGAACAAATTCACACCGTTACCTCTTAACAGTATTCGTCCAATAGTTCAGCAGGTTTGTTAGATGCTCCGTTGAGCTTAAATCACGTTATGGGCTTTTGCCAATCTTAAGAAGTCGTATAGTATGTTTGACGTGTTTTTATTTCTCAAGGTTGTGTAGCAGTTTTGTTATCAATCCATTTTCTAGGTACTAACTGCTCTCCTCAAACTAAAGTCCCTTGGCTTGATTCACGCTGATCTCAAACCCGAAAATATCATGTTGGTTGACCCGACTAACCAGCCATTCCGAGTAAAGGTTAGTAGAATAATTGTATTCATATATTTTACCGCTAAATACTTCATTTAGGTAATTGATTTTGGATCCGCCAGTCATAGAAGTAAAGCAGTAACCAACACATATCTTCAGAGCAGATACTACAGGTTAGATGTTTGAGTTAATTTAGTACATTTCACGCTAAAGTACTAGTCAGTAAATCAAGTGTAGAATTTTCCTTCAAATACATTTTTTCAGGGCGCCGGAAATTATTCTGGGTTTACCATTCCGCGAAGCGATTGACATGTGGTCGCTTGGATGCGTAATTGCTGAGCTCTTTCTTGGATGGCCTTTATATCCTGGAAGCAGCGAATACGACCAAATAAGGTAGTGTACACAATCTATAACATCAAATCTTCTCCATTTCCTTTCTTTTTCTGCAGGTTTATTGTTCAAACACAAGGTCTACCTCCAACTGAAATGCTTGAGAAAGCAGCAAAATTGCATCGTTTCTTCAAGGAAATGAAGGTTTGTTTCTTGGAAAATGGGAAATGTTTCGTTGACATTGTTTAATGAAAGAAATATCAGGCTGACATGTCTGGTCCTGTTCAACCCACATACTATCGAATGAAAACTGTCGAGGAGTATGAGGCGTCTGGAGTACATGTGAAATCCAAGGAGACGAGGAAATACATATTTTCCTTCTTGGACGACATCAGCCGAGTAAGTCGAATCCATTTCTTTGATCTGATTTTTACCAGAAAAATGTTCTAAGAAAAAAAAACAAACAATTTCGTACCAAATCTCGACCACCTCTTTACTGTACAAATAAGTCACAAGTCACATTGTCAATCCACGAGTTATTCCAGTACCATCTCACAAACATTTACTGAGTATTAAGGGTGGAAAGAAAGGGTAGGATGATTTCTGTCTGGACAGGTTTGTGATTGATTGCCGGCGTTTGGGGGGTTGAACGCGCTAGTGAAAGACAAGTCGTGTTGGCGTTCGTTATTCAGAACATATGGGGGTTTTCTGGATTTTTTGAATGTTAGAAAATTATTAGTGACAGTCGCTTGGCAGGCTATCGCATCGGATCCTATCATGTAGTTTTTTTAGAGTCAGTCTGTCAGATTGATCAAATTTGAAGCGGATTTCGCTGTTCTGGGATGGTGTATTTGGGGATCTATCTGTATGGAATCCTCATGCTCTTATTTTATATCTATTTACTTTGCAACGTGGTGGCTCCGAAAGGGAAGGTTGAAAAAAGATATTTTCAGATATTTTCCTCTTTTTCTAAGTGTACAGACGAGAGCACATTACGTTGAAGATCTTTATTCAGGGGGGGGGGGGGAACTATAGCCATAGCCATATAATATAACAAACATGCAACTTAGAAACTTCTGAGAGGAGTCCTTGGCTGTAAAGGTGATAGTAAAGCAATCTACGGCAGATATTAGTGCTAATATCTGCCGTAGATTTGTATATGTTTTGAGCAAGTACAGAACGTTTGCCAAAAGAATATTGTCGTTCTGAGGCTGAAAGCTTCAAAAACCCTTTCTTTGCTAAGGACGCTGTCGGAACCAAAAAATGTTCAGTGAGGGGTTTGTTTGCAAATACTTCTTTTGTAGTTTAATAAGTAATGTAGGAATGTCAACCTAAACTATGCGCGCTATCAAATCGTGAAGCGAATTATACAATTTTGATGCAAAATTGAGGTTATTTCTGGGCAGAATAGAATGGAGTGAGGAGATGTAGGATAAGCATTGAGGTATTTGTTGGTATGCGAACTTACTTATTGTGATAGATTTTTTGAGTTTCATCTCCTTCGAGAATTTTCGGTACATCAAAGTTATTGTGAACATGTACCATAGATCAAAGGACCAACATGTATCTTATAATCAAAATCTCAGATATTGACCTGACTGAAACGCTTACATATCCGAGGATTGGTGGAACGCATGACGATTTTGCGGCCTATCCTTTTCTCAAACTTTCCTAATTATATGCAGATTATTTTTCATAAAATAGCTGAATTATTCGACCAAAGATTGATTTGTTATCTTTACTATGCGCTATTCCATCAGTGCTCTTCCACTGCCTAAGCCGAATGTGTCGCCTTAGTAACGCCATGACAACGGTCAAAGAACAGTTTTTGCTATTATACAACATGGATTCGTAAAGTGAGAGAAAAAGTTTGACCAGGGAAGGAGACAAGCATTGCTCAAAGCAGCCCAAATTCGCTTCGTCAATAGCATGCCAAGCAATATCGTAGTTTAGAAAAGAAACTTTGCATAGAGTTTACACTAGTTTCATATCTTTTGGACTTTATTGCATACATTTCAGGTGTGTTATGGATTCGAATCAGATCCTATCGAGCAAATCTGCGATCGGCTCGATCGCCAGGAATTTGTCGAAATTCTCAAGAAAATGCTGGTGTTGAATCAAGACTTCCGCCTTACTCCTTTGGAAGGTCTCGAACACAAATTCGTCACCATGGCTCATCTTCATGCTTACGCCAACACTAACTAGTTAGTAAAAGTCTTATTGTGTTATCAGCTTGCATAGTGTATACACGAAATACAAGCTAAGAAGAATATTTGCAGTTTTCGTACCGGTATGAAACGAATGGAAGTGTGCGTGCGACGGCCTACAGCAGTTGTAAACTCATCTTCGCAGCTTTTTCGTGGAGCAGCTCCAGCCACCCCAATTGCGCAGAGTAAGTCTTATGCTAACACTGTATAAGGTTTCCTACTCTTAAAATGAAATTATCTTTTTTATTGAAGGTTTGCCCGCGGCGCTCCCAGCGGCTCAGCAACTTGCTCCAGCGGCGCAGCCCGATCCTCTGAGTCACGTACTTCACCAGTATCAGACGGTAGCAGCAGCTGCAAACCCCTCAGCAGCTGCGGCTACACAGTACTTCTACCAACCTTTAGCTACGCTGTTACCTTATGGTAAGTTCCGCTTTTCGTAACTACTCCTTTTTTTGCTAAAAAAAGGATGTATCGTAGGTCTTCCTGGAGGATCAACAGCGTTCGCGGCAAGTTCGCGTCAACCGCAGTATGTATCGTTTGCACCGGCAGCGCAATCGCTTGTGCCTCAGTTTGTTCCTGTCTCGATCATGGATCCGACAGTTCTTGCAGCTCAAGCACAAGTACAGGTTCATTCCATTGTGAATCAGAGAGATTTTCTTGGATATCTTGATCAATTCTGTCAATTTTCAGTGGCAAGGCGCTGCCGCAGCGACTGGTTCACAATTGATATGGCCTGCTCCGACGATCTTCCCACCAGCCACCGAGCTGTTCATGCCATCTCTACAGGCTATGGCTGGACAACGAGCTGCCACGCAGTTCAATCAGGTACTGAACACGTTATGAACGTCGAGTCTGGATGTTTTCTCAAAACGCTTTAGTTTAAGGTATTTGCACCTCAGCCTCCCCAAAAAGGATTCACCATGCCGACCGCTGCACTTTCCCAGCCGCAGCTCGCTGCCGCGCAGATGGCCACTGCTTTTGTAGTGAGTTTTAAACTCATTGTTCAGATGCCATAGGGATATAAGCTTGTCAACGAGATATTTGTAGCCAAGAAGAAATTAGACAGACTTTACCGTTTTCTGGAATAAATTTCTTTGATAGCGTATATTACAGGACGAAGCTGCATGGGCTCAGCCAAACGTTGCTGGCCTAACCGCTCAAATGGCTGCTGCTCATCGTATTCCGATGCGAACGGACCATACCAAATGGTAAATTTTGACAAAATGTTCAAGCTTCTTCACTTGAGCGGCTGTGATAGTCGATAACCTAAGCCACAAAATTCCATAATCCCCAAGACTATCATATTCCCAAGCTACAGCTCCCCTCTATCAAATACAACAACTAACATCGAAAATGAATCCGATGAAAATTCATGCACTTTCATGCGTGATGCTGTCCTTTGAGACTTATTTGAACGTGTAATGGGCTATAGCTTACGGTACGAATTCATCAAAAATAGAGTATTTTTACCTGCTTGAGTGCAATAATTCACAATTCCATTTGAGGCACGAAAATTTCAAGTTTGCTTTGTCCAGCGGTGTATCCGAAGCGACGATCGCACGACGAGCAGCAGCAAAAGCAAAAGGAGTGGTACCATCACCAGCTGTTTCCGTGATAACGATTAGCTCTAGCGAAGAAGATGAACAAAATGGGAACAGGTAGATTTTGTAATCATCACTAGGGTGAAAGACGAAATTATCAATTTTCTACTGAAAGCGTTAATTTCCTTGTTTTGTGCCACAAAAACTGCACTGTGCTACTATGTGAGCTTGTATCCAGGCTGTTAGCCGACCCAGGTGTGAAAATAGCAGGCTTCTTTTGATTTTTTATATTGAACCTACCATTAGAAGGCTAATTTTATAGCTCTAGCAGTTCCTCCGCCCCCAGAATGGTTCGCACAATTTTTGAAAGTTACTTACGCGAGTTATAAGAATGTGCGAATCGTTTTCACTCGTGAATAATTAAAATAGTTCCCACACTTCTTCAAAATTCAAATTAGCCTTTCAAAAAATTTTTTCGACGATCGGGAACCGTCACTGAGGTGAAGCTAAGCCTAGGCTTATTCTACTATTTCAAAAACAGGGAATCAATAAAAGAATGCTATAACTAAAAAGAAATCAATCTCAGCATCTTAGAAATCTTCAAAGATTATTATTTATGCTAGAAAGATGGAGTGATCCATCTACGACTTTGCACACACCTACCCTCACTGTTCCATGAGAATTTGAGATTATTTGGGAATTGGTGAACAGTTGTTGATATAGTTGTTTTTGTGTCCTGCTACTAAAATGCGAATCTGAGCGCAGCTGACACGATGTAAACGTGAAGCTATTCGATAAACTTCGCAACATACGTATTATACGTCATTTCATTGTTTGATCGTGCTTTAATAAATCTAGGCAACTAACTTGGTGATTGATTGGTAAAATTACCTAGATTTTTTTCTGAGATCGATTCATTGAAAATCTGCTTTCAGTGTTGCATCCGAAGCTGGGAGTTCGACGGCAATACGTCGTCCAACAGCGAAATGTGCAGTAGTTCGCCCGATGGTCGAAGTGAAAAGGGAGGCCCCAGATCAGTCAGCATACGATATGGTCGTACTCGCAAACGAAACTATGCCAGCCGGGAATATTTGGAATCAGTAGTTTGTATAGTGTAAGTTTATTATTAATTTTCTGACGAAAGTGTAGACAGTCGTCTAGGATATTTTGTAAGGCTGAAATGGGGTCGAGCTTATCGTTCAGGTTGAGGCTGTTGTGCGCTGAAAAAATTATTTTCTTATCAGATTTGTTGAAGATCAAGTAGAATTTTTCATAGGTATAAAAGATGCTTATTATCAATATCTTGTTTAAAACTGTTATGAGTACAAGTGATTCCATTTTGGGTGCTTATTGCTCAAAAATGCGAAGTGAAAAATGTATTTTTTTAAACGATCAGATGACCATTTGAGTCGATTTTTTATCTGTACTTAATCTGAACTTTATCAGCAGTATCACTATAAATTTACGCCGGCTAGTGTGTACAAGTTATTTTTATTCTTTTCAGGAATGATCGTCATTGTTTGTTTGACTCCTCATGGCATTCAAACAGTGCTTTTCCAATGGGTTAACGTGATCGGACTTCACTAATTGTTTTATTTTCATCGGATGTGTTGTACAAAAATAAGCACATCATTGTATATTATACTCAACATTATATAGTTTTCTTGCGTGGTCCTCGTTCACTGTAAAAAAAACATGCCCTTTCTCAATCGTACTAATATTTTTTCTATTATGAAGGGTTGTCATTCTGTTACTGTTTATTCCTCTCATTGACTGTGTAAAGTGACTCTTTCCTTTCAATTCTTCAATGTTATCATTTTTGTATGTCGTCTTTAATTTTCTTTTGCTCGCATCATTATAAGGTCTTTTGAGATCCATTCGATTGTATTAATATTTTGGTTTCGCAAACTTATAGATTCTCAACGTCTTATTAGCTTGTCGTGTTTCAATTGTTCCTTTTGAAGGTGTCATCTGTGTTACCCCTTAAAGTCATATTTTCCATAGGCACTCGTATCAAATTACGAGTTATAATGTTAAAAGTATATAAAATGGGTGGTAAATCGTGTTCTAGGCGATTTAGTTTTCCTTTATTATTATTGTCTCTTCACAGTCGCGTCATTCTTCTCTCCATTTGAATTTCTACTACTTCTTGTCACGTGTATTCGTTTTTTTTTCTCTTGTTTTCAAAGACGGAAGCTTAATAGATATATGTATCGTTAGCCATTGCTTTACTCCATGGTCTAGCAGATTTTATCGTGGTAGATCTGGGTATGATTATGTGTATTCCTACATCACAATGTTATGCTGTGTTGAACAGACTTAGTGGTGGTGATTTCAAGTAATAAATGTTGTTGCCCACATTCTCTGTGAAAGAGATTTCTAGGATGTAAACATATGTAAGCATGTCTTGCTTTACCTCGCTTGAAGTTAACTAAAAAATGATTTTTTTGAGAATGTAAACGAGTTTGAGAGCAAAACATAAATATAATACCCCAGGTCAGACTTTGTGCAAGTGTACTCTTAGCCTGAAAATGGACCAAACCATTTCATATTTTGATGTATCTTGGAGGCAAGCCCTCATTTACTGAGTCCAAAAATTTCTTCAAATTTGTCTGTTCTTGCACAACAACGCATCCGTAGTGAGTGATGAATCCTGTTCGAATCCAGCAATAGTTTCATGCACTTATTATAGAATGTCAAAATTTGTAGCCGCACACATATATTTAGCCTTCAAATTGTGTTATTTACGTAAGCGATGACATGTGTGATTGCACACATTTTTCTACTCAAGTACTCATTTGAGAACTTCATATGCAAACCTTTGTCCCTATATGGGTCGGTCCGGAAGTTCGTGCCTGTTTTTCACACCTATCCTCGAATCGTTCAGAGTAAAGATAGGCAGATGTTCTGAACAGCTTTCAATGCAGAATTTCTTCCTCTTTTTAGCAGTTAAGAATTTATTCTGAGATCACTAATGGTTGCTTGAATAATCAACAGATTCTCCAATTACTATTTTTACCTACCTTTTTTCAGCTATTTTTTTTTAATTTTCATTTCTAAATTATGAAGGAGCTTTGATCACTATTGAATAGTGTGGACAAAGTGCAAGGCAATGAACTTTTGGCTTTTTCGAATGGCTTTGCAAGTATTTTCAAAAGAGTCTTCTCAGAAGTCCTCATTCTTGCGATGTCATAAAATCCGCGAATACTTCAAACACCAATAAACCTTCGGTATGAAACCTCCAAAAGTTAATTATGATCAAGCACTGATTTAACAGAGCATTTAAGCCTTTATCGCTTCGTCAATTTTCAATACACATCTTGGGATGGGTTTAGAAACTAGAATTGCGGTGGTTTTATCCTCAAAACCGTCTCAAGTCAAGAAAGAAAAACGTTACCAGTAAGACCAAAACAATCTGCATTGAATGGCACCTTATTACTCGTTGTTTAATGTTCGCTGAGGTTTGGGATGACCCAATACGGAAAAGCATCAAAAACAATTTTAAAATCTTTGAAAATTCAGTTATGAATTGCACTTTGTTTAGTTTATTCAGCAGTGATCGAAGCTCTTCCAAAAGTTGGAAATGATTTCAAAAATCAGCTGAAGTAAGGGTAGGTGAAAATCATGGGTTGGAGATCCTGATTGAGCAATCATCAAAAGAATCGGAACAGTAATAAAACTGCTAGAAAGTGGAAGAAAATTTGCATCTAAAACTTCTTAGAGCTTTGCTTATCTTTGTCCATTTTAGGATAGGTCTCAAAAAGGGCATGAACTTCCGGACAGACCTAATATAAAATAGTCATTTTAGGCACGAACTTCCGGACCGACCTAATATAAAAGAATCAATACAATACTATCAGCTTGTACCATAACTCTCTTCATATTCGTATCTTCAGACTGATATTTTACATTTCTAAGGCATCTATAAGGGTGCAAATTTGTGAGAGTACTCCAGTAAATAAACTATATAATCACATATTTGCGAGGAGCATAGGGCCGTTACAGGCAAAGTTTGAAATTTGAGCGATTATTTTTTTTCTCGATTTCCAGCCATCAGAAGAATGCAGCAAGTGTATGTATAAATATCTGATGAGGAGATTATATGCGTGAGCAAGTTGGAACTTTGTAGAATGTTTTTGGACTGAGATACGATTGTTTTCATTCCCTCGGGATGTTTTTTTTTTCCATTTTGTCTTGAAACTCAATGCGGATTAATCTGGTACGAACTATTGTAAGCCATATTGTAGCGTTTGCTTTGATCTTTCGAATCGTGCCCAGCGTCCTATTAGAAATCTAAGAAGAGCAGACTTATTCAGGTTAAAAAGACAAATATGAAAAGACTTATGGGACAATCTAATACAATTGGCTAAGAGCAGTGCTGTGAAGCAGGCTACAGTAGCCACGTTCTTTGTTTATGCGTTGACATTTTCTTATTTGTCGCTTCAACACAGATGTTTAGATTATTTACCTTTCGCCCACTCTCTAAAAATACTAACACGGTAAACAGAACACTAAAGATTTTATTCATGTGAATATCATAAGAATGTGCATTCAATAATCTGTTGATACCACATGTTATCAATATATCACGTGAGAGATTTCAACAACAACGCGACACACTAAACAGAGTTTTCGTAAACATTCTGTGGCGATGTGTACATGATCCCTTACGGAGATGTAGAAGACGCTGAACATGATGTTAAGCTCGCTCAATCTCGATCAAAGTTCTAGTTAGTTTATGGACAGCCCATTCTGTTCTCATAGTGATAATCGCGGTAGAAAAGGGTGGGGGGGGGGTCACAGGACGAGGACTACGAGGAAAATCACATGTGTGGAAGATTTACCCTGTGAAGTTTGCTCTTGATCTCCAGCTAATTTGGATTTTCATCTCTGTAGAAAGACCCCCCCCCCATTAGTATGCTATCCTAAGCTTCTGAATTATGATTATTCTGACGACATTATATAGTCTTCTACAAATATAAGTGGTACACTACATTTTATTCTTGGTTTTAGAAATTATAGTCAACAAGTCCACGAAAAAAAGTTTATCAATCCAAAAAATGAATGACTAACTAACTACCTTTTTATAAATTAGACAGTTGAGTCTAGGTTTTCAATCCTTAGAGAGGAGTATTGGGAAGACCTAGAACTCGAAATAAAGCCGCCTAAAGGAAGGGAAGAAATAGGGTTGGAGTACTTGGGACTTCGGCATATCCTAGAAAACGAGTTTACTTGCAGTGCAACCTATACTACAATACGCTTACAATTTTACTTCATCTATTTTCATTTTAAAGGAGTGGCCGCCTGTTTTGTTCCCGTGCAAAGTTAGCAAAACTTAGAGTAATCATTAGTTCTGTTAGATCTAAACACATTTGTTCTGAAAACTGCCGCAAAAACTGAATAGCGAACTGTCGCCACAGAGACGACGCTCAGGCCTTACACGCTCATCTGCAATTCTTCTTTGCGATGCAGTTCTGAGCCAGTTGTCCACATCGCGCTTCGTTGCGATGTCTTCGAAGAGCAGCACATGGCTCTCTCGCACATCGACCAGGAACCTGCAAAACTGGCGATGGGGCACGCGAGGCGAGAAAAAAATCGAGGTAGGTGGGCGCGCGTGCGGTCGCGTTGCGTATCGATTTGGGGGCGATGCGATTTATTTGTGCTGCCAGCCGGGTGGGCTGACCGTAACCGGTAGAGTGCTGGCGATTCTCTCACCCCTGCATCTACGCACGAGACTCAGCTGTGTTGCTAAGCACTTAGGTGCTGAAAAAACTCATCTAACTCATCTGTGTTCCATTAAGAAGCCCTGCAATGCCTGTTGAATGCTTCATTTTCAAGCTTATGACGTACAGTAGCTGCCTCACGGTGCTTGAAGTCCCTCGTCCTTCCAAAGACCTCTCCGATCCTCGCAGAGACTTTCGATTCCGCGAAAAATTTCACTTTTACTTTTCCCATCAGCGTCGTTCGGCGGAGCGCTAGCTCGTGACCGCCGCTTCTTCGCTGTCCTTCCGTTTTTTCGATTCTACAACATATCATTCCTGCGAAGAATATCATCAAAAAATCTCTTTGAGATGCAAAATCGATAGCTTTTTCTTTGGACTTTGACTTTGGAACACTCTTTTCAAGAGCTCAGCTGTTATCGCTTCACGAAGATTGGGTGAACAAAGTGAGTGCAGACGAGTTTTTATTCTGCAAATACCAGAGAACAAAGGGTTGTTTGTTCATATCTTTCTGTTTAAACGTGTTCGCTCCAGCTTCGTTATGTATTGGTGCAGTTGTTCAACGATTATCTTTTGCAGAATCCTCATAATTCCACGATGCTCTTCTACATTTTGTATCAGATTCTAATTGAAGTCCTCTTTGTCTTCTTTCATAAATCTCTGAGGAAGTGAGCAGCAATTTTTTTTATTCCATCTAAGGTACCCTCACCCCCTTTGTGATGCTTTTCATGTTGTTCGGTGATAACTTATTGGCTGAGGTTACGTCATTCCATATTTACGAGAAAAACCAGTTTGTATTTTTGTATATGAAAGGCGGGGCGGGGCGCAACTAATAAATGATATTAGGAAATTCTCTCTCGAAACTGGTCTTCAAAAAATATTTTGATACGATAACACATGCCTTCTATAGTAAATCGACGAGTTTTTTTCTGTTACTAGTTTGTCCCATTACTTCCTTCTTTTTTTTCGAAACGTGTTATGTTCAAAGGTGCAAGATTCTTTCGTAATGTTCAATGTACACAGCGGATTTGTCTGCGCAGCCATGACGTTTCAGAAATTTTTTGTCATTTTTCACATAGCTGTATGACGCTGACCATTTTTGCAATGTCCATGAGTAGAGCTGATTTTGGTCCTGGAATTATTAGAACTCTTTTAGGGGTATTGGGCTGATCTAAGGTGTTTGTGCAACGGTGCGTCTGTTGGTAAACGTTCAGTGTGAGCTTAGTCGTTGCTCCGTTACCTCGTGTTGACTACACACGAGACCGCGGCGTCAACGCTCGATTGCCTCCATTTGGCTCTCGGTCCCGCAACTTGCTTGAACCTTCTGCTTCAATCTTTAGTGCTTTTCATTTTATTGTCAACAGCTGTGTCAACTCTGCTGTATGCTTCATGTTTGCCACTGTTTTTTTTGCGGTTTTTTTTCGCTCCCAGTCGCTGACGTCACAACAAAATCAGCCGTGACAATTTCGCAAATTTAGATGCCTCCCGAACCAAAGAAGGGAGGATGCCTTGTGGCACGAGCCGTACCGCTACCCCTGGGTGGTTCGGCCACCCAAGATTTGACAGATCGCATGGAACAGCTGATAATCGGAGACACTAATAGCCAAAGAAAAATTGACAAAGTACGTTCGTTCAGCTTGAAGTACCCCTATTAGCGTAATAGCGCTTGAGTTATCCATCTCTTAAGGTGGCCAACAATATCAGCCCGTCGGACTTTGTCACTCTGCAAAGCATCAGATCATCAGCTTTGGCACGAAAAACAGCTACAACTTCGAAATTCTGTAGCAGTGGTCCAATGCTGTTCAATGATCTGCTTAACAAAGATCCAGAGGAGGTGCGCCTATCTTTTGCCTATACTTTTTTATCTCCATTCTCCAATTATTTGCAGGAAGCTACTCCAAAGAAGAGTGACAAGCAGAAGGAGTCGGTCAAAAGGAAGGATGACAAAGCAGCAGAAAAAGAGGAAAAAAGTGACGATGTGAAAGACAAAGACCAACCTAAAGAAGGCGATCTACTTTCACGAGGTCCTGTGAAGAATGTACGACCACCACAGGCTCACCACCCTTACAGTATTGGTGAGCGATCTTTGTCTAAATTGTCAAGTACGCCTTTAAGAGAATCCTAATTAGGCCCTCTACATTATGGAACCGCTGCACAAAGCACTGTACACGATTATTCGGCGTTTTCTAACTATGGCAGTGGATACGAGTGCGGGAGTACATGGACAGACAGTCCTGACACATTCGGGTGGGATATAGAATTCATCTTGCATAAAATAGTCATTTTTTATTATTAGCATTGTTTCAGTTACATCTCTTCGTCATCATCACCGGATTCTATTGCGACAGATCATGGATACCACTCCAGCTCACCGATACAAAAGTCTGTACAGAACAGTCCATTCACTGATCACTCACTCTCGAAGGATGGTCAGTTTCTCGGAATACTAATCATTACTCATAGTGTCAATGAGTTCGTCTCTAGAATTGTCACGTCTACTGGATAATTCGGAACTACCTGATCCACTTGTCGACTTCATCTTAAAATACTCACGACAATACACCGAAGACCCTACCTCTGAAGATCCAATGTCAAGTCCGAAACATCGGCCACCTTCAGCGGATTCCGGTGTGGATTCGCCAATGTCAGCTCGTTCAGCACCTCATGCCAGCCCTGAAGTACCCACCGGTGGAAACAGGTAATGACATTATTCAATTTTTGTCCAGCTATCTCATCAACTGGTCATCGTTCAGTGGGCCTACGACACCGTCATTCAACCAGACCAGACTCAGCCCAAGCAAAGGCCTCGAACGCTCTGCTAAGCAAACGCTTCGTGCACTCATCCCCGATGCTGAAATGGACGACGCTTGGGCTTGGACCCTGAAGTGTATCCAGGTAAAGCAAGAAAAATTAAATTTAAGAAAATCCAGTTCTTGAATGGGTATATTACAGTTCGCTCCTGGCACTCTAACCCACCAGGATGACGATCGCGACACCCTTCTCCACATCGTGATCACTCATCACGACCTTGCTAAAATCTACTCGCTCGTTGAACAACAGTTGAAACTCGATAATGTCAAAGATCAGCGACCGTATGATGTCCCAAATCGCTACAATGAAACTCCACTATTTTTAGCTGTGCAGCAACAGCTCAAGGAGGTATTTCAAATTCTATGTTTTTGAGGGTGCTATTCAGGAAATGTAGGTACCTAATTTCTTGAGAAGGAAGTGTTTGGAAGTTCTCGGCTGAACTGTTGCCCAAGCGGCAGGTCATATGTGTATTTGTGACTGGAATATCTAACTGTAGCCCCTCACCCAGTACCGTATTCCTTCTTAAGTTATCGAGTACGGTACTGGGCGAGAGTTCACGGTCAAATTTCTCGGGCAAGAACACATGAGGTACCCGATTTAGCCTGAACAAAGCTGATTTCATGTTTTTTGTCGTGATAAATTTTCCATACTTAAGGTTGTCGCATATTTGCTGGAAGTTGGTGCAGATCCTAATGTACAAACGCTTCGCCCGGAAAGAGAAGGAGCACTACATTATGCTGCCGCCAGAGGAATGAAAGATATTGTTGAAGTAAGATTTATGCTTGATCGTATAGTAATCATGAATTCGATCGTAGTGAGTGATTGAAAAGGTTTGCAAACTACGGTTTCTTAAGGGCCGGGCATACTTCACGCGATTTCAGTCGATTTGGCAATCCGCCAGAAGTCTTCGCATCCAATACTGGCAAACTTCACATGCATAATGTGTATAACTTACGTGGATTGATTGGAATGTCCTATCTTTCGTACATTAAAATAACACATTAAAATGTGTTTGCAGTGAGTTATGGACAGTCGGAATACTGCCAAATCGCGCCGCGACTGAAATCGCGTGAAGTATGCCCGGCCCTTTACCTAGAGATTCTAGAAGTTTATTTTTTCAATCAAAATTCCTGCAACGGTGTAAACTCGTTCTATTCTTTCGCTTCTGTCAGCTAAAAGTGCGAAATTGTGTATTGCCCTGTACTCAGCTGCGCAAACAATCATAAACAAAAAATTTGCTGGTTGCTCCATATGAGTTCATGTTTTGCAGATTCTGTGCGCCACACGCGGATTGCGCATCAACCAGCTAAATGGCAGAGGCCAAACGGCCCTTCATTGTGCGATTGCCAGCCATGGAGTGATCGACGAGCGCTCACAGAAGATCGTCGACAACCGTGACATCATCGTCACACTTCTCAAAGCTGGAGCCGATCCAACCCTCGTGGTACGTGATAGCCTCCTCTGCCGTCATTCGCATTCAGCGCCTCATATGCGAGAGTTGTTGTGCTGGGGCGAGAGCCGCGATGACAGCAAAGAACGGGGGGCAAACGCGGGGGGGGGGGGGTCTTTACATCAATGCGCACCCGCAACCATATGTAACCGTCGGCCAGCGTTTTTTTTTCGCTTTGCGACGAAGGCACATCGATTCTCATCTCGGCATCACATGCGCATCTATCGGGCAGCGTGCCATTAGCAGCCAGCCTAGGCGCAGGGAATAGAGATGAGCAGCGGGGTGGTGAAACATGCATCATAATCTCGCTTGCCTACGAACATTTGTCATTCAGGGGTGTGAAGTTTCTTAGGTAATCAATCATTGAGAAAAATTAGTCAGGTTGAAAGGTGGGGCACCATCACACCTGTCTTGGGTGAGGTAGCATCTCTCAGCACAGCACTCTACTGCCGATCCATGATAGAGAAGGTTTTAGCAGTTGCATAGTAGTTGTTCACGTTCCGAAAATTACTCATTGAAAGCCGTTTAACCCAAACTACTTCAAAGAATATTTTTTTTGCTGCGACGTTCATTGGAGTTACGCTATGACGGAACATTGAAAGAAGTCTGGAGGGTTAGGGGGTCTTGGCCAATCTCCGCGCGCCTTACAGACGAGCTGACCATTCACAGATACACCTGACCAATCAGAGGCGCCCTAGCTACCCAAGGAGACCGAATTCCTTTCCCACCTCCTTTCTTCTACGGTCTTTCTAGATAACTGTTCTACTTCAAAGTAAGTATTGTCGAATAGGGCGTGAAAGGCTCTCGCCTGCTCCAGTGTGCTTCTTACTAGTCATCGACCTCGACATGCTTTTGTGTACGTGCCGGTCAGTGTCCGTCACATCACACTGCCTGTACTGTTTACTCTGGACGGCAGTGCACCTTCGCAAAATCCTTGAATAGCTCACGCCGATCGCGTTTGTGAATGTAGTGCACGATAACTCCGTTAGGTGGGATGAATGGGACTATTTTGAACTGTCATAGCGTAAACGCAAATTGTAGTGGTGTAAAAAAGCGAGCATTGGATTTTTACAGGATGCCAGAAGTGGACGGACAATCGTGCATTACGCCATCGAAACTATGGATCCACAAATTATCGAGGTATCCGCATGATGAAAAACTCGTAGGATCCATTCCTACGGAATTTTTTTAGGTCTTGAAAAACAATGTCGAAGAGGAATCATGGACGGAATTGGTGAATCTTGCAGATTTTAACCAGGAAAAACCTATGGACATGTTCAAAGCCGGAAGATCCCTATCACAAAACGAGTCTGCCAGGTATTTTCCTACTGCTCTTGTAATTCTTCTTTTTGCTACTGTTTGAATATCATTTCTATTTCAGATCGGAAATTTTCATGACTTTGCTGATCAGTGGAGCTCGAATACAGACTACACAATAAAGAAGACCGGCAAGGAATGGATTGAACATGATGTTTGTTACAATGAAACCAACTATATATGCTTCACGATCTCATACGTTGTTCTAGTTGAAGTTACTGTAAACTATCTAATCATATACAAGAAGAATGTACGTACGTGCACATCTACTGGGACCGGTTTTATTAAACACGTTTAGACGCGTTGTGATTATCATAACTCTTTCTGTGTTGTTGTATATGTAGAATTAGTTACACACAGAATTATGACCAGTATTTTCTATCAGCGGTTTTTTACGTTTTCTATACGAGCTATTTCAATAGATTCGAGATGCGACTGTGTTGTTAGTATTACCACTTTTCTGTTAAAAGCGTCTTCTATACGGATCAACGACCTCATTTGGCTGGTACAAATGATTCACCAAATAACCCGAACTCCACAACCATGCTGTACGCGATTTAATTACGTGGATGGACTGTATCTATCTGAGAACGTTAGAAATAAATGTGATGTTAATAGGATTTGTGATACGCAACTATATCGATTCTGGTGATATTCGGAATACAAATAGAAAGTAAAGGGGTTTTCTCAACCTTGGCCGTGTAAAGAACATTTAAGAAACAACTGTTTAGCGTGTGTTCGGTGCAGTAAAACCTAGTTTGGACTTTTTAAGTCTTGCTGATTGTATTTGTCCCTCGTACAAAACGAATGTAAGAAGGAGAATGCCTCAGACACAGCGGTTATTTATTATGGACAGGCTCAAAGAAAAGCTCTAAACAGTTCAAAATTCGTTGGTTTGAGTGCTGCCTCGGCTGTAAGCAGTTAACTATTCCGGTTATCCCAGTGGTTTTTCGCCGTCGTTATCTGCTTCCCAACTTTTCCCAGATTGAAGATCTCGGAAAGTTTAGTTATTTGTGCACAGAGTTACTGAGTCATGGTCATGTCATATGTGCTCCGACAGTTCGCGAAAGTCAACACTTGAAAACTTTCCAGTTTTCGATAATTATTTTCTAGACGTTTCAACAGCATTATGATTCCTCAAAACCATCATTTGTGTCAATCTGATAAAATAGATTTACTACCTGAAAAATGAGCTTCGTGAATCCCAAGCTTTGTGTCAGTCGAACTTTACTTGCTAATCTTCATAAATTCAGTGTATCGCAAAGAGCAGTAAAAGTTTAGCAGTGTTTGATGCATTGCGGAATTTTGTAACTAGAGGTGCAGGACAATGACCAAGTAAGGCACTATAATACTCTTAAAGTTCCTCTTTTTATTCTCGGTTTACGAGTATGAGTAATGATCAATGACTTAATGATTTTCGCGTGATCTGATATCTGCGTTGTATCGTTTGCAACCCTCTTCCCCTTACCTCTCAAGGCTTCTAATTCCTTACTGTAGAGTTCTTCAGCTTAAATTTACAGTAAGAAACAAATATTGCCTATCATAACCTCATACCTAGTGACTTATTATTAGCTCAGAATGGCTATCAAGTTTGTGCGCTGCAGCTTACTCTAATCCCTAACTCATAAGCTGCGCTAAATCTATCGCAGCAGTAGTTCCCAAATTATTATAGAAACTTGATTATACCAGTTAACCGCTTTACATATTCGTAAAAATTTTTGTTAGATTCAGTCTCATCATTTTGCAAAAAAAACTCTGATGTTCAAGGAAATTTTTTGACTTTCTAATTTGCAAGACCCACTGTGCTATATTTTCCTACTATCATCCAGTGTAGGTGCTGAACTGAGCTGAAACTCAATTTCCAAGAAAGTAGATAGAGCTACGCGAATTCTGGGAAAGTATTGTGGATCAAGCCATTTGCACAATTCAAGTAGGATCAAACAATTTACACTTCACTATACTGACATTATACTCAGCATTTCCTCAAATTCTTCAGGCAGGGTGCTCAAGAATAATAAGACACTATCTGACCTTTGAAATACTCTTCCTTCAACCTTCAACAAAACCTCCGCAGGCAAGAAGTAAAGATAATTGCACTGAAATGGTATTCTCTCCGTTCTGTAAATATTATATGTCCACTCCAGCGTTGTAGAATGCTGAGCTTACAACACATTGGAGGAGATGGAAGAATACCGAAGCAGCAAATGTTTGTGGGAAACTGTCATTCTCATACAATGGAATGTAAGAACATTGAGGAGCTGAATAGTTTCAGCTGCAGCTATGAAGTAATCTATATTTACATGCTTTTGAAACTACCAAGAAGGCTTGTTAACAGCTGACAGCATTCACACGTCTAGAATGTGCAGAATAACATTGTGGTCCTTTTACCATACAGTACATTTTTTGACGAGATAGTTATCATTCAGAGCACGGTAAGGAGTGCACTCAATGAAATCATTACCCATTGAAAAAGTAATTAAAATTGGGTGTGAAAAATGTTTATGTGCGAAAATTTGCCATTGAAATTTGACGCACTCCTTTACTTTCGAATATCTGAAACAGGTACCACACAGAAACCGTTACGTTTCATATAACAATGGCCAAGAAGTCAGGTATCACAACCGCCAAGCGATGGTCCCGAGAGGAAAGCCTCCACGCGGTATTGGCTCGTGACTCTCAGCTGTTCGCAAATGTTGCGCCAATGCAAATCAGCCAAAAATTTTCTTGAAAGGTGTGTGATCGCTTCTTTTTTCCAAGCAGTTTTCACGTGGTTATCCTTTTGTGACTTGGTAATCCACGTCATGATCTTCCTTACTTTCTGCTCATTGGTTTTCGTCCATGCAAAATTTCGTTCATTGTGCTGACTATTCTTGTCTCAACATTGATTATGTAAATTCTTGTTCTCTATGTCTGGTCATCATTTTTTTTTGCATTTTCATGCAAACTTCTCAATGACTGGTCTGAGTGCGGTTATCCATCAGCTTTACTCTTATCTTATATATAAAGCTGAATGTCTGTTTGTCTGTCTGTCTGTATGTCTGTATGTCTGTCTGTCTGTATGTATGTACGTATGTTCCGAATACAAATTTTTATTTCTGAACCGATCGGGACCAAACTTGGCACACATATACTTCAGGGCAGGGAGCGTGTCACAGCCCACTTTTCGTTATCGATCGATGTCGATTTTACCGATTTTTTGCAAAATTTGAGCTAGGGGGCTAGGATTTTGCACAGGGGGTAATCGAGCATGCTGATCACCCCTTCGGGGTGATCAGCATGCTCGATTACCCCCCTCTGCCAAATCCCAGCCCTCTAGCTCGAATTTTGCAAAAAATCAATAAAATCGATATCGATCGATAACGAAAAGTGGGCTGTGACACGCTCCCTGCCCCGAAGTGTATGTGTGCAAAGTTCGGTCCCAATCGGTTCAGAGATAAAAATTTCTATTCGGAACATACGTACACGGGTCTAGCTGGCAGGCCCGGCGGAGCCGGGCAAGCCAGCTAGTATTCTATAAATCTCCAGTGGACAATTTCTAAGCAGTCAAAAGGGCACATATCTCCGTGATATTTTGCGTTGATGACTCATGATTTGAGAATCCTGCGAACGCTGGCGATCGCTTTACACAATTCCCGTTCTAAATCTTGCAAAATTATCACATGAGAGTGTTCAAATGATATCGTTCCAGTCTGTATTCCTTCTAATTTCTTGCCGTAGATATTGGAGTTCTTAGATGAATACATCATTTGTCCATTCCAGATATGCTGCAATGCGGCGTATTGGGCGCTTCACATCTGCCAATTATATTGGGAATATTATTTTCGATCAATCTAGGTGTGTTGACTTTTATGTGCTTATTGCATTTAGATCACTTCAACAAAAATCATCCTATTCGCAATTAAACATTCCGTTAGCTATAGAGCTTGATCCAGGAATTACAGGGGTCGTTGAAAATCTATCCACTATATCTGTATTCTCCTTTGCTTTCGTCAGATCTCAATTTTTTTGAGGATTCTTGAGATTTGCAATGAAGTTTAATCATCTACACCGCGCAGTTACTATGCAAACAGTTAAATTCGCTTTTTCTGTTATTGCGCTATAAAGCTAAATACAACGTCGGTTCAAACTCTGGTATGAACTACTTGCTCACGCGGAGAGTATGAGATTATTAGTAGAACAACCTTCATTCGTTGTTTGCAATCCAAATAAATTTACGACTCATACAAATTTGTGCCAACTCTTGTGATTTTCATATATTTGTGATTTTAGCTCTTTTTGTGGGAGGATATTTAAGATTTTGGAGCTAAGTCAATGTTGTGAGGTGCCAAAAAAATGGAGGTGACTACAGATTGTCGACGTTGCGTCTGCATGTTGACAAGTTGTGACTTGATTCTTTTGAAGTCATTAGCTTCTTGGTTTCGGTCATTTGATTTTTTTCCTATTTGAAAAGCCAAAAACTTTGGGCAAATTTCGATATTTTTCTGTGAGATAGAACGTCAGCGTTATTCTACACACCAGATATTCATCAAATTCTTACCCTTCACCAGATGTTCATTAAACTCTTGCCCTTTTGCGGTATCTGAGACGAAACCAATACGAATACGTTTATCAACTCGACATATAAAAGACCATGCTATATCTAAATTAATCAAGCAAGCATATATCTCTAAAAAATTCCCATGTATCTGAAAAATTTGTCAGCTGCATTTGTGAGACATCGCTGTTCCTATAATGAATCAGTATCTGCAAGTTCGCTGTGAGCTGATAAAGTTATATTGCTTTTCGACACTCCATTGCAAGAAGGCTCCTACCGTAATCTCTCCAAAAGAATTCTTGCAAATAAGTGTCAGTTGTGATTAGCAAGCCCATGGGCCGCCATCAATGTTTCAGGCAAATTTCTAAATGCGAGTTCTTGTACCCATTGTATATTTTTGGTCAATAAGTCTTGCACCAAAATTGTAAAAACTTCTTTAAAATCATTTCTTTTTGATGTTACCATTGATATTTTTGCAACATATAACAAGTGCTCTGTCCGCTATATCTAAAAAATTTGCTTTGAAGCAAGATCGAAATGTTGATCAAAAAGTTTTAGACCCGTAACTATCTGTAAAAACATTTGAGTTACATAAATTTTTCTTAGTAATAGGTGTCAAACCATGATCAAAACAAAATTCAATTATGTTGAGTCGTTTAGCTTTTTATTTTGGAGACAAAAAAAACTGCGAACGTTTCTCCTTATCAGCTTGAAATATCGCGATGTGCCAGCCATGACTTTTACGTTGATCACCGTGAGAAAGCGCTTCCATCTTCGATTTTTGAAGAAAATAATTTGGCTGAAATGAGAAGAGGTTACAATTTTCTAAAAATTTCGTACAAGGAACAAAAGTACGTTATTCTCACCCGATCACTATGCTAAAAAATATTTTTCTAATGAACACGTCGGATGTCTTGCATAGATCAGAGTGAACATTTACGGTTAGGCTATGTAAAGTTTAATTAGCACCAAAAAAGAAACTCGATCATTAGTTTTTTTTATTAATCATACAGATCTCCGTTTGTTTGTTATTTCCATATTTTGATACTTCTAGGCGCTACTTACATCCTTGCCGTGCTTGACTCAGATGTGGAGCCAGTGTTCCCATATCTCTCTGCAGCAGGAGACCATCGCCCAGAATCATGTATTTTTGGGCTGCTACTCAACTTGTCCACTTTCATCTCTCTGACCATTATATATCTGAGGTCAGTTATATTTCCATCTGAAATAGTCTTGTAAAGTTTACAGTTCAGGTACTCTCTTGTTGCTGTAATTGTTCGCGATGCTGATCCAGACTGGGTCATAGATGGCTTGAATATGGCCAGTTTCATAGTGGGTATGATCGGAGGCTCTTCTATGTTCATCATAGCCAATTTTCAAGTAAGTTAAATTTTCGCGTCTGTCTGTTTATACTCAGTTCCTATCGCTATAGGAGACGGCTATAATTGGTGTACATCTGCTTGCCGCATGTGTGTGCTTCGGTTCCGGATGTATCTATATGGTACTACAGTCGATAATCACCCTCAGAATGTATCCGTTATTCAACAATCGACGCATCGGCATTATTAGAAGCTGTATTACTGCTGTTTCAGTTGTCGCATTCTTCGTAGGTTAGGTTTACATCGATACTCAGGTGCTAGCTGGCAATATCAATGTTCTAGGTTGTTTTAAAAGTCTTCGTTTTTCTTTTGAACTAACAACAATGGGACTATGACTTTTGAACTATTATGTGATTAGCCAAAATCTCAGTCCGCAAAGGCAGTGGCCCAAAAAAATTGCGACTGCGGGCTCTTCACACTTTTACGGCCTTCTGAATCCGCTGAGTCCGGCACAGCTCAAAAAGTCAAAAAAGCGCTTTTTTGGCGTTTTCCGGCCTTGGAGATTGCTGAGAGGGCTGGGCGAGCGACTCCCGCCCAAAACAGCGATTGGCTGCAGGAGACTGTACTCCGACTTTCGTTGCGTACCAGCGGCGTTCGACTATCCTCTGAGCGCAGCACGAGCCGCTGGTCCGCAAATGCATTGATGGAACGCCGCTCGCCAAAAGACGGTACGCCGCTGGTAGGGCGCATTAAGGAACGCCGTTGGTACGCTAAGCGCACGCCGCTGGTACGCAAAGCCATTTGGGTACGCCGCTGGTACGCAACGAAAGTCTGAGTAACTTTACGCATTTTGGCGATTGGCTGGTCAGCTCAGGCGGCCAGTCGCGACGCAATTGGCGGGAGCTCGTCTAGTCCTTTTAACATTCTCCAAAACCCGAAACGCCGTAAAAAGCACTTTTGACTTTTCAGCTACAGAAGTGGAGCGCATCCAGAAGGCCACGGAGGGATGAAAAGCTCGAAGCTGCAGTTCTTCCGAGCCACTGCTCTCAACATTTCCCTTTTTGGGTCATATTAGGAAGCTAAAGTCTTTGAACTCATGTAACAACGCTCCGGGGAATAATCTGCTTTTTCTATTTCTATTCTTCTCTAATTTTCCGAGCTTACTGAGTTGTTGGAGAGATGAACACCAATCAACCGCTACAGTATGCTCTATCAGTCTTTTATTTTGCGTTTTATCTCACTTGCGTCAGAAAGTTTGCAGCTTTTCGCTTACAAAAAGTGAATTTTTTTCACAAGAATTTCGTAGAGCTTGTTTTTGTAATGTTGAGATACAATTTTTGCAAAGCTCGTGAAGAAATGTTGATTGTAGTTTCTGTTGCATTCATGTTTTGAACTTATGAAGAAATCTGAGTTTGAAAAAATACGCAAGAAATCATAAAGGATAGATGAATCCGAAAAATACTCATCAGAATGTTCTTGCGCCTATGTAAGTCTTTTGTAAGTGTTCCTTAGCCTATGTAAGTCATAGATGTTCAGGACAAGAATTCGGTCACTAGGGATGTAGATATTCGTGATATTTCTTCGACTATAATCAAATCTTAATTAAGTTGGCTTCAAAGTATAACTTCTAAAAGGAGAGGTTGCATTCAGTGGGGTTAAATTTTCATTTTTTGCTGAGAAATATTGGTCAAAGGTAACGAGAATTTCTGCGAAACGGCCCTGTAGTTCCTGGACAAAGTTGCAACAACTCGAGTTTCAGTTTGATCAACTTCTCTGATGTACCGTACTAAACAGTGATTGATTTAGCTCTTGGATTTGGAATCTACGCGGCTCACGTTTTTCACTCATACTACCCAGATCTTCCGACTCCTCGCCCATGGAATAAAAAGCTTTGGCAGCCTGTGAGTCATTTTTTCGCATTATCAATTGGGTCATAGATGTGCTCAAAAAAGACTACGGTCTTTTACTTTTCTCATTAGGGATCCTCTTCAAATATTAGCTCATTTCTTCACGATAATTTCGAACTACTCTAGGTTATTTCATGTGCCTTAAAGGCAGTAAGTAGCTCGGTAAAACTGCGATTGCGAGCTTTTCACAACTACATAGCCTTCCGGATCCCCTGAGTCTTGGACTATGCTTGAAAACTTAAAAAAGTGCTTTTTTGGCTTTTTCCGCCTTGAAGATTGCTGAGGGGCTGGCAGAGTGATTCTCGCCAGAAACAGCGACTGGCTGCAAGAGACTGTAATTCCATTCATTTCGGCGGCAATTGGCTGATCGACTCAGGCAGCCAATCGCGACCCAGTTGGCGGGAATCGCTCGTCCAGTGGCCGTATTCATCAACGAACCCCGAGGGTTAAACTAACCCTGGAGGGTTAATTTAACCCTGGAAAGCGTTTAACCCGTATTCATGAAACACAGGGTAGGCTTAACCCTGAGGGTTAAATCTAATCTTGAGGGTTAATTTTACCCCGAAAGCGACTAACCCGTATTCATCAACGAATCGTGAGGGTTAAACTAACCCTGGGGGTTAAACTTACGTGATTCGTCAGGGTTAATTTAACCCTAGCTTAGAGCAGGGTTAACTCTACCCTAACACTTCATACAAACATTTACTCGCATTTGATAGTTTTATGGAAAACGATCAACGAGTGTTGTAGTATTTAGTGTTAGTTGTTGTTATGGTATTTAGTTTCGACTTCGTTTTATGTTCAAATTCAAAGTACATAAAACACTGACTTTGCGAGAAAAAAAATTTTAGTTTTGGTGACAAATGAATGCAACGAGGAAAAATGGTTGCGCATTCCACTCTAACGAGTGCCAAAACAGAAGAATTCCTTTATGATAACACGCATTGACCCTTAAAAGAGTAGTACAAGCCCGGTATGAAACGAACTGCGCAAGAGTAGAACTTACACGGCACAATTGCACTCATGAAAATAAACTCACGCTGTAAGATTGGATGCTGCACAAATATGCTAGAGACGTATTATAAAAACCAGTGTTAGAAGCTCATTCGTTGATTATACTACTATAACAATGAAAGAGTAGAAATATAAAGTGAATTTAGCACGTACTTAGGCATTCCGTTATGTGAGTTTGCACAGCGCACGCGTAACTGACGCCTTAACCCTCCAGGGTTAGTATAACCCTCAGGGTTCGGAATACGGCTACAGGTTCGCTGATCGATAAGGGTGGATTGCGTTCCGTGGTGAACCCTACCCTATGTTTGATGAATACGGCCAATGAACCCTGAGGGTTAAACTTACCCCCAGGGTTAGTTTAACCCTCAGGGTTCGTTGATGAATACGGCCACAGCCCTTCCAGCAATCTCCAAGGCCGTAAAACGCTATAAAAAGCATTTTTTGAGTTTTCAAGCACAGTTCCAGACTCAGGGGATCCAGAAGGCCAAGTAGGGACGGAAAGCCTCGTAATTGCAATTTCCCCGAGCCATTTTCTTCAAACACTGAGGTAGTGTTTGTTCTGACAATGAGTCATGTTTTGCGTCTTTGTGCTCTTATGTGTCTAAGATTAGAAGCGCAACGAGACAAGGAGTTCTCACCTTTGTAGAGGCTGAGTTCAGTGCTCACAGTCTTTTAATTGCCGAATGCATCCCTTTGTAAGGTAATGAATCGGAAAGAGAACTTCTGTTTTAACCGTCGTTTTAGACGTCACCATTAGAAGTAAACTTAGTGAAGATGTCATGATTCATAGGAGTCTATGAAAATACCTTTACCAATTTGAGATTTAACTCAATTTGAGTTCTTGAAATCAAAAACGACCTAGTTTTCCACAACTTTCACTAGTTACTTTTAGTGACTGTCAGTCAGGTTTACAGTTACCGCCTGTTAGTGAGGAGGTATTCGAAATGTCGTAACATCACATAGTGTCAGATAAGTTAGTTTCCCTTCAGTCATCTATTTTGATTAGGATGTGTTTTGCAACATTATCGAAACTGACAGTGTGTTTATTTTTGAAAGTAACTTGATGGAGAGTTGCATGATCATTCGGGCTAAGATGGTTAGTTGCAAGGAACTAAAAGCCTTGACTTGTCTGCTCATGTTCAGATAGGGAATTTTCTAGCAGCACTGCAGGATGGCAAAAATATGGAAAATCTTTCTTTTTGCAAAAACTATGCCCTATGCGTTTATATTCGTAAGGCATTTGGCTATTTGCCGAATGGTGTGAAACGAAATATTTGTATGTTGCCTTAAGAAGTCTGCTTGTGAATGATATTTTCTTCAGGATTCTTGCATATGAGGTAGATTTCTGATATATAGCATATAACAGTTGAGAGAGCAATCAAATGCGATGACGAGAATCATCACGAGTTTTGTTATCAGTTATTGAACCCAAAGCAATCGCGATTAGGCTGTTTTTTATGTCTGCTTTCTTTACTAAAATGTTTTTTTTGCAAGGACAACCTCAGCAGTCATTTTCTAGTCCCTTCTGGGGCTGATATTTTCGAAGTAGTCACTGTCGCCTTTGCCCTCCAAGTTCTGTAGATTGTCTGTTTGTGACAACTTTTTAGTATTTGTTTACAATGTAATCACAAAGGGGTCGGCGAAATGAAAGATGCAGAAGATCAAGTAGCGCATTACACAACCTCCATTTGTATCTTTGGTTTAGAAATAGAAACCTTTGTGTGGTCACCGCATCTTGTAAATTACAGCTTTTCAAAGGGAGCACAAGACTTTTGCCATGTTTTTTGAAGAACTACCGAAACATTGTCGAACACATCAGCCTTTGAACTAGTGAAAGTAGTCTCTGAACATGTGAAAGTAACTGAACAACATTTTATACCTGGAAGCTATGCTTTTGCTATGGTTCCGGATTCTCGTTGTAAGTAGGCAATCTGAGAGTTCGCTTAGATTTCAGTTATTTGTCTTACACTAGTGAACCAGTAATCTGAGGGTGCTATTTGAGAGAGCGTTCGCACCCGCCGCGGTTTCCCGCTATTTGGAGATTTTTGAATTGAGGGTTTCGGAAATGATACTTGAGATAGCATCTTTTGCGTGATTAATCCAGTTATACAGTAAGCGCTCAAAATCTCAGACGAAAGTTATCTTGACGTCGTTACTATTACATATTTGCCGAGTTGAGGTTAGACTCCCTTTTTTTTGCAGAGTTACTGTACATCTACCGTAACTTTGCAAAGAAGATATGCGGTAGCGAGTAGCATTTTCGTGATTAGTGCTTCGTACAACTCCCTGGACTAAAATCCGGACTCTGTGATTTTGACGCATACCATATAGCTACCGTAATAAAATGGCTCTTCGTTGGTTATTCGTGTTGATTCTGTAACGTCGGCGGGTTTGGTTTAAGGAAAAGACTGTTCAATTTTGCTTTTTTGACTTGTTAAGTAAAGCCTACAATTAAGGGATATAACTACCACATCGTATCCGCTGTGGCTGAATGGATCATGGCGATAACCCACGTCTCGTTTATCATCTCTTATGCTCGCGACTTTGAGAAACTACGTGTTTCGTTGTATGTCGAATCTCTTGTAACACATTTGGATCACAGTCCGATTATGCGATCGATTAACGATTTGAATGAGTATTAATTTGTACATTGTGCATTATATTTGGGCATATCCGGTTTTGGCAACTATCCAAATGCTTTACGCCAGTAATCATGCATAATTCAGGGAGTTGCTAGCTTCATCACCGTACTTAACTAGATTAGTGCTTGAGATTTATATGTAAACTTGAAACAGAAGATCCAAACCTGTTTTTTTCCACATTCAAAATGTGCATATGTTGAGCAACTGAAATGGAAATATGTGCGCTTGCACCACAATTTTATCCACAGCATGCAAAAAAAAAAAACCGCTACATCCAAGGACTGTTGCCATAAATGAGCTTGATTTTTTCGTAAAACTTTTCTTTATGATAAAAGCTTTTCTTCCTTCGATTTGAACCCAGGTAGTCTGCAAATACACATATTTCCGTTTTGGCCACTCAAATACACTTATTTACCGAAGTTGTTTAGTGTTCCTACTCACTACATTTGGTGATAATTATTTGTCAACGAATTTGTACACACGTAGTTGATGTGACTTTTCCATTTGCACTTTTACGCTCACTCTTTACTGGTTGGTAATTGACTGATTAATATTGTACACTTCCGCTATTAGTGGTAGTTTTGCGGTCAATAGCAGATGTCCTCAATATTTCGATTGCTGAAAATAGAATCGTTTCCATTTGATGTTCTGTCGTCGGGTTCAAACCGCAAAATCGATCATTTTACATAAATAATCGAATTATGTGGAAGGAATGAAGAACATTTTAAAGAAAACATTTGACTTCCTTGTTTTTTGGCGCATTCTAGGCGAAGATTTCGTCTCGCTTGATTTTTGCCCTTCTGGGGAATAGACTATCGTGAGCTGAGAGGTGTCAAAGATCTTATTATTAGTAACACTGAGGTGATGTCAATAGCAAAATCTCCACCCCAAAAATCATGTTACATTCGCCCCCTCATATTTTCTGTCTGTATGACTTGTGGATAGAACTGCGTACTTTGACCCAACGAGTTCATAAAGACTAGTTTCCAACCTCTCGATGAAGTTCCTTTTTGATAACGCGAATTAGATGGAAAATACGTAGCATATGATAAAATGTATCAAAAGAAAAGATGTTGAACTCATGCACTTTGAGATCTGGCCAGCACTGGTTCAAACGCGAATCGTTTTTGGGAATGATTCTGCAATTTTTGTCTCGAATTTTCGAAGTAGCGGCCCTGCGAGGTTGAATTGTAACTGCACATTAGTTCAGAAGAGTCAATCTTTATTCACTTGATATTTAGCATAACATTTGCGTTGTTTCTTGAAGAAAAACTTTATACAAGGGAACCCGAACAAGTGGTTGACAAAGCCAACTACGTAGCTATAAAAAACTAAATAGATTTTCTTTAGAATCAGGAACCCTACTGGAATGACAGATTCAAAAATTTACAGTAGTTGCCCTTATCTTTGATAAAATTGTGGTAATAGAACATAACAATGATTTGAAATGTGCGAAAACGGCACCGCTAGTGCAAAACAGGTGTGGAACAATGACAGAAATGTGATCTTAAAGCTACTCAAATCTCAATGGTGCCTTTGAGTGAGCAACTCTGGACTCTGCGTAAATGTTTGAACAAATATGAAAAGGAAGATAATTAGAATCGTGCTATATCCGCAGTTGCTCAACAACACCCTGTTAACGACAGTATTGCACAACAAAGAACAAAACATCCAAAGAACAATGTCATCAGAAAACATTAAAGAATCAAGCCTAATAGGTAGAATCTACGAATCGAATGTAGCTGTACGTGCGATGCGTCACAGACGACTACAAATCATCGCACGTACATGAGATCAGAGTGTCTAAACCGGAAGTTCTCGGTACTTGATGGGATACTCTACATCGAAAGAGGTATAGCCTGTTAGGTTCTCGCCACTAGCCACCTCCTCTTCGTCGCTGCTGTAGGCGACATTGCTACCGTAACCGGGGAAGAGAATCGGTTCGTGCGAAGACCATCCGCGTGCCGATGGACCGAACTTGTAGACGAGACGTCGACCGCTCACCGGCAGCAGGATTTTCGTGTTATAGTAGTACCTATAATATTATTTGTAACTTGTGAGATGTTCCGATATTATAAGGAAGGTAACTGTCAATCTCCCGAGCTCAGATCGGGCACTCTGCCGTTGTAAACGAGCGCCCGATCGGGTCATGTCGCTTGTGGGCACTCGTTTATAAACGAAAACAGCAGAAACACCGCCCGATCAAGCCGCAAGATTGATAAATACCGCACTGAGAGGCTTATGCATACATTCGTGTTATCGACTTTGTGTATTTGCACACGGTCATCACATTGCCCGTAATCCAGTAATTTATCAATCAAAACTGTGCGTCTCTTCTGGATATGCACTTTGACCTCTTTTACTCCAATCTTCCGAATATCAAGATAAACATTTGCCAGAGTTTCCTAGAAATTGCATGCAAAAATGTTAACGAAATCCAGGATATGATTAGCAATGTGCATGTTGTGTGCAATCGCACACGGTTGCGAATTGACTCGACTACTAGTGATCTCTGGGATTCTACGATCATAAGGCTAAAGCTCTCATCGGACATCATAAACTAATCGCCATCCTGTTGAAATCCAGCAGCTTCTAACATTTACCACTGCGGTTGTTATGATTATGATCGTGAGCTTTTCTGCAGTGTTTACTTGGATCTAAAAGAAGCTGAAGCGGGGAACAAGCGAGTTACAAAATTATCAAATTTACATTCCTCCTACATACCCACACTATTTGGATATAAAAGGGCTTCATTATCATCCTGCAGTGGACGAGCAAAAATTAGAATGATCACAAAACGAGAGCTATAAGAGAAAAAAAACGTGTTAAATACTTAAAAATGAAGTTGGCCCTATTAGCTAAATCGACACTTATTCAAACTCTTCAAACCCAAACGATTCTTGTACGGAACTTGAATCTTATGATCCTACCATGTGGAATCGGGACAGTGACAGGAAACTATGACGTTACGCAAAACTACAGAAAAAATGATAACCTCCTCTGATATGGCTAGTATGTTTAAAAAGTAGGATACCTTGGAAAATTACTCGCACAAATGTACGTTGTCGTGCTACCTACATCATTCCCCTATGATCTGGATATTTTCAAAATCTACGCATTTGCCATTGATTTTTTCAATTTGCAGTGACTGCAATCCGCACAAGGCACCGTACGCGGGTCAGCGAATTTCAATCGATATATCGATTTTTCGAGCGCGTGTTTTATGCACACCATTTCGCTTCTAAGCAACTCAAACGTACGCGCTTTTAGCTTTGGAATTTGGACATGTACACGCTATAATTTCCGCAATTTCGCCCTTGCCCCGTAAAACTTTCCCTTACTTTGCGTCAAAAAGAAGTTTCAATTTGGAGCATGGCCAATCATGCATGGTTTTTACTAGTGCTGAGAATTTTCTAATCTGAATCATGAATGCCTTTTCTAGAAATGATTTTTCAGAAATTCGCTCCATGTTGATGATTCTATCGCTCTACTTGCCCCGTAGATATGTCGGCGCGCAAAAAGATCCAACATTCGGCCAAGACAAGAGATCTCTGATCAGCGATGGGGGGAAGCGGAACACGTGCGAGGGACAGCGATTAGTGCGTGGTGGACTAGTTGGTTTTCTGAGGGACAGAGCTTGGATCGATACACATGCCCTGGCATCAAACATCGCTCCGGGACTCATCGGCTCGTTCAGGCACAGCCGCGTTGGCTCCGCGCTCAGCAGCGTGAACGAACCGTGGGCGTCGAGAGCGAGTAACGGCTAACATGCAGTTAACAGAGTGATCGTTGCATTACTTACCCTATAGAAGTTCTTCTTTCATAGCATCCCATCCGTGAGCACCCGGTCCGAATTTGTACACGAGTTTCTTGGGATAAAGACCAGTCTTTGGCACGGGAACGAGTATTTGTTTCTCGTAGTAGGTTCTAAACAGGAGTAATGGGTGAATGCAAGGATATGGCGAGCGGTTTTCAAATGAGTTCAGTATCAGCAAGGAGGTATGAGTAGATTAATAAGGGAGACAACATGCTAGGTGAGTATAGGAGTGAACATGCTCGAAGCGAATCTCGCGACCACACATCCCTCATCGCAGAGTCTAATCATTCGCTAGGACTAGATGAGTGATTATGATTCTATACTCTAGGAAAGTGGTGTTTGATTCAGCACTGACGTAAGACCCCGATCAAAAATCGCGTTGTAGCACGAGTTGTGTATGAGTTTGTGGCCTGCATCGTCCATCACGGCTCGAAATTACCCACTCGCGTACGAAAACAACTGTACAGAAAGATTTTGATAAACAGTTCTATAGCAAGAGACCGTTGTTGCGTACGCGTGTGAGCAAATCTTCGAAGAAAGAGATTAGGATGTACCTCATGGCTCTGCTCAACTTCTCATAGGTCATCTTTGTGTTGTTCTTACGCTCTCCCCATAGTCGAGCCAGCTTTTCGGATTCCACTATCCGAAACACTCCCTCGATTGGATCTTCCCACCTGAATAACTCATCAGTAATTGATAGAAAGGAAAGATGCAAATTTTACCCACCGAACAACCGACGGGCATGTGAGCGGATCTTTCAGAGCATCGCGAATGAATTCCCATAATTTGTTACCCTTCGTGTGTTGGGAACGTTTCCTGGGTTTACCGTCCTTGTTCTTTTTCAGCTTTGAGTCGGCGGCGTTGGCGCACTCTTCAGATCCTATGAGAAATCGAATTAGCAAATGCGAGATTGTGGATGCTGGTAGGCTTCCTGCGAAAAATTTTCTCGGACTTCAAAAAACCAAACGTTACAGAGATGCTAAAAGACAGCATACAGCCCCTTTTCAGTGTAATCCTAGTGCCATACAGGAAGACGAGAGAAGGAACAGAAATCAAAAATTTTATCGCTTTCCTCAAATTTTTGCACCTAGTATAGTGATCGCTATCGAACAATGATTTTTAATTATCAAACAATTTGAGCTCGCGGAGCTATAAGCTAAGACTGTGGCACATACGGAAGATCGTTTACAAGGAATCTTTGGGACTTTCCCTACGATTACCTTGAATTTGCACTGAACTAAACGACATGGTCGGTTCAATCAATATATCGATTGAATTCCTGAGCGTTGCATTTGCTTATGAGCAATAATTCTTCGCATTGAAAATTTTGCACTCTCTAAATGTATCTGCAGCAACATCTTTTCGGGGATTCTGCCCGGTCCCTCCCCATATTTCTTTGCCTTCTGCTCAAAAACGCTTCCAGCCTAACCCGTGAGCATATCAGATAGTACTTCTTTCTCTACACTATTGAAAATCAAGAGATCTGCTTTTTGATTCTCAGAGTGTTCAAAGCATAACTTTGATGAGATTCTGGTCTCTAAAGATCAACCCAATTGCCGTATAAATTTGAGACTGCGCGCAATTACAGACATCTCATTAGTGCGAGTCGCAGTCTTGTTAGAATAGGACTTTTCTCTACTCAGAAACGCAATTTCGTCACAAAAGAGCATAATTGCTCTTCATTCTCTATATTGCCTATTTTTCTACATAGTTTCTATATGCAAAGGGCTCTTATGGAAAGTCTGAGGGTGTAAATCTTGTAATCATCCCACAGCTTCTGTTAAAGCCGATTATACAGAACAAAAACACAGATAAGCAAGTGATAGCATCGAAGATATCAGTGGGATGTTCAAAGCACGAATACAAAATGATACCTTCGTAGTCAGAGCAAGCTGTAGCGGTGCTAGCGGGGTTGAAAGATGTGATCTCACTCGGTAGCGGTGAGATTTTCTGCTGCATTTGCGCTCCAAGCAAAGGAGAGCTTGGGCTGAGTCCATTGTGTACAAGTCCCAAATTTATCGGACTAAGACCTACAACAAGTAAGTGTGAGTTTGATTACGAGAAAAACGAAGAGAATAACCATTACCCGTGGACAACCCAGCCGCAAGACTTGTCGCTAACGACTGATTCAGTGTCTGCTGCAAATTCTGCGCCAGATTTGTGTTCAACTGGATGCTTTGATTCAACGTTTGATTGAGTGTTTGATTCAACGTTTGTGTAAGAGTGTGAAATTGTGGGACGATTGGCGATCCACTCGGTGCTGTGATATGCGTTTTTGGAATCTCAAACGATGTCGATGGACCTCCACCGACAGCGGTTACCGCTTCCTCGTCTGCACTATATTTCTTCATAATCTCATCAATCACTGAGGTATCTTCTGCAAAGTCAATTTTCTTGAAAATGCTGAATACAATATCACGTCATGCTTACCAGCGAGGTTTTTGCGGAACTCGTTGTAGATAAGAGGTCCCCAAATGGGATCTCGCTCTATAAAATTCTGCTCGGTCATGCCGATCATTTGTTGACCGGTGAGATTCGCAAACTATAAAATGTATTCGATATTTGGATGAACAAGCTATATTTGCTTAAGTACACATTTTTCTCAAAGATCTCCCAGCAAATGAAAACTAATCCTCAAGCTAAGCAACCTTCGCCATGGCTCGGCAAAGGTGGCTTATAAGTAAGCTGGCTATCGTTTTTAGAGCAAAAACCAAATGGAATCGTTTTTGTGGTCGAAAAAAAAAACACAACTTAGGTTGCGTTTTTTCAGTCGACGTTTCGTTTTTCAAAGGTTTTTGATTTTAGTGTTTGGGATCAAAGGAAAATTCAGGAAATTTAGCGGAACCCAAGGGGGACTTCGCTTTTGCATCTTCAGAAGAAATCTCATGCCCAGCCCTGCTTTTTGCTGTTTAGAAATTTGAGGAAGCTTCTCATTACACTACTGCAGTGGCGGTTCCAGGGTTTCCGTTTGGGGGGGGGGGGGGGGGGCAGAAATTTTCCTCCAGTAAAGGTGCGTGACGTTATGCATGTACACTAAAGAATTTTTGGAAATGCTTTCCAAATTTTTCCACGGTCCATAGCAGCCAGCCCCCAAGAAATTTTTTACAAGGCTAATTCGAATTTTTAGAAATTATTTCAAATATTTACAAGTATAAACAAGCTTGCACACTTTTATAACTCATCAAAGTAACTATCAAAAAGTTCGGGACCCATTCTCGCCCCTCCCCCTCCATCGGCCCGCCACTGCACTGCTGCTGTGATACTATGACAGCTTACTACCAACAACAACCCACAATCAAGGACCAGCCTAAGTCGAACTGTAAGTTCTACAGTGTACAGCTTCTAGAGTCATACATCTACGCCCTATGTCATGGTTCTGAAACTCCTGCCTGTCGCCCTCCCCATCTCTTTTTTTGAACAAAGCATGTGCAGTAAATTGCTCATTAGCGGTCCCTTACCCTGTGCATATTCATCTCCTCAAAGGGAATGCCATGTCGCTTTGCAACGTCCAGCATCCATGACACTACGTCATCCACTAACCATTCCACTGGATCTTTAACTCGAAATCTCGCTAGATCCACCCTGAAAATGGCAAAATTTTACCCGAGCATTCAAATAAAATGCCAACGCTCACTTCTCGTTGTTTGGAATAGGTTTGAAAGGTGTAGTACTCATGTGAGAACGCAGGATCCCCTGTGAACCACTGAGTTTGTCGAGTAATGCGGGTAAGCACATCAAGCCCGGGTAAAGAGGTAAGACGGGAGTTGTGGTCGGACGAGGTGCGACCGCTGGGATTGATGTCGGTGCTGGTGGCACGACGGAAAATGCGGATGGACCAACAAATGCAAGCCCCGTGTTCCTGTAGATGAAGTCATTACTAAAGAAGAAAATTAGATATGGCGATATATGCATGTAAAAGTAGATGAAACCGTAAGTAAAGGTGTCTTACCCTGCCGGGATTGTGTTGGAGGGCGGTGAGGCCAGTGCTGGCCAGTCAGTTGCGCCAGGAGGCGCGAGCGCTACAAGGGGGGCCGGGCACGCCAGCGCCGGACTATCCTGGAAGCGCCAAGATGAACGTGATGTCGACATCGAATCGAGCAGCAATTAGAAATTTCTTGCAGCCTAATTATGCGAAATATTTTAGAGCACAGCGCATGTGCTGCCGATGATGTCAGCGGATGACAAAAAGTGACAGGGTATGCATTTCACTTGGAAAATCTCAACTATTAACAATGTCTAGCAATTATTCAAGCAGAAGTAGTTTAGAAACCAATTAACAATGCATAATCAGCGCACGAAGGTTCAATGAACTATTATCAAGAGCATCACATATCAGAATAGGATGTTAAACTTCTATTTAGACAGGAAAGAGACGAACAGCTGTGACATCATTATGTAGTAAGTGATTGTTGAACCTCTCTTTCTACCTGCTACATTCTGTCAACCCTGATATCAGAGTTCTCCAAGACAAACGCTTTCGTCTGTGACAAACACAAATACGTTTTTTTTATTTCTGGAAAAAATGCACTTCCTCAACAGGTTACGAATTAACCTGGTAGTACAGTAACCACTCGAATTTTGGGAAGAGCCAAAATAGGATTCCTTCTCGTTTCAGTGAAATCAAAAAAAGTGTTGTCACGTGACGACGGACACGAATTATATAATGCGGAAAAGTAGAACGAGATACGTGAAATAGAACAGTTAAAGTAAAAGATGCTTGGGGAAAACATGTAAAATAACTACTTATTTCTCGCACAATAAAGAGACTCTCAGCTGTCAAAAAAAAAAATTTCTAGCAGAATTTGTTTAGAAAAATGGAGGTAACTTTCCACATGATTCGCTTCAGATAAAACATTTTAGTTTCTGACGCACACGACAATTTAGATGAACACGTTTTAGATGCGATCGTAGCCGACACAAATGAGCTTTGACACAAGCAAGATGTACATATTCTTAGATAACGATTCACTTTGTATGAGAGGAACATTCTCAGAACTCAAAAAAAGTTGGCGGAGATGATCAAAAAGAATGACTAAAGCGGAGTCTCTTTGCTATTTTGACAATTTCTAAAACAAGACTTTGCTTAGTCTTTTCTGAAGGGTACTTACGGCTGAGAGACCAAGAATATGGAAAGAAAGTGTGTGCGATGACGTAAGTAGAGGTTGACAAAGACAAGAAAATGAGTAGAAAGGAGATCTGAGTGTTGTGAAGAAGAGGAAGGGATGAAGTCGATAAGCCAACGAAAAAGGATGATCATAAAGTGATATTTGGCAGGATTCGGTGAATTCTGAACAAAAGGACATGCGACCTCTCACACGGACAGATCCCAAGGGCACATGATGAAGCATTATTCACAGAGATACACTTGAATGTAACAAGCTTAGGTGCCTCTAACAAAATCCATCGAACAGCGGGAAATTTGCGGGGAGCAGGTTCACGCGTCAAGAGCGAGGTGAACGTGTGCTAGTGCAGCGGGCAGTTAGCATGACGACACTCGGCTGTCGGTAAGCGGGTAAGGGAGGGTAAGGGTTAGTCGTGGCCGGACTCACCGTAATATGTAGCTTCGAGACTCGCCTAATAAACGAGTCCAGCGAGGTAGAGCAAGGGACAGAGAGTTGGCGGCCGCAACATGAGGCTATTGATTGCAAGACGAGCTACCACGCCCAGCCCCCCCCCCCCCCCCCGCTCCGATGATGCAGTTCGCACCCCGCCGTCGCCACGCTCGCACCCGGGCGCCCCGGAGTCGTGGAACCCTACGGGGTTGCTGTGCAGCGGCGCCGTGCACGACTTCTGGAGACGTGCCAGCAGCGTCTCGCATCGCCCTTTCAGCTATCAGTCCACGCATCGGAAGAAAAGCTGTTCACAGCAAAACATCGTGACGACAACAAACACAACAAATATAAATCGCCCCATTCACCACGCTGAGAAACTTCCAAAGCCGAGAAAGAAATTGAGAAAGAAAGATTGTCTTGCTGGAGCAGAAAGCTACGATACTTCCACTGTGTTGCGCAGTGACGGTGATCGGACCCGTCTCGCTCTCTGTCTTACGCTCCGTCGGGGAGACGGGCGTGAGGTTACCAAGGCGCGACTAGGTAAATAGAATACAAATACCGAGAGTGGCACGGGACAGCCGACATTCCAATCGATACAGTTCGGAAAATATCGTGAACAAGTATATGGTCCGATAGGGTATGTGGTCATGGTAGGTGAAGAAATTGGAGGAAAAAGTTCGAGAAGAAATAGGGGAATAGGGGGGTGCGAAAGTGTGTTTAGTGAGAATTTTGAAGATTTCAAATGTTCACGAACCACACACGTCGACATCGCAATGCATCAATGCCACTTTACTACAAAATTCAAAAGTCTATGCGCCGGGTCGTACAAATAAGTGATTGACAGATAAACAAACAATCTTTTTGTAGATGTGACGTAAAGGGTAACGAAGGTAGGTAACGCATGGTTAGTAGTTGGTACACATTGCGTAGAAACAGCAGACAGAGAAGTGCGCTGACTGCTGCTCAAAAGTAAAATAAACACCGTCATAAGCTCAGCTTTGCGATGTTCAATCCCTTACAGATGCAGAAGCTCCAGGACATGACGACGTCACACGGAAGCCTTATTCCCTCGTTCATCCCCCGTACGCGACTATGTAAAGCGTCACTCACGATTAGTTGTGCCAAAAAGAGAAAAAAAAGTACGCAGATGAAAAACATCATCCATTGGCCCAGACGAACAGTGTGTTGGTCGTGTCAACAACGGCTAAGGAACATACACACAGACAGACCGACACACGCACACAAACACCCATATACTTCACTCGTAAATGCGCAAATTCATGTATATAAAGCGATGCTCTCGATACGTGTTACTGCAAAGAAACTTTTAGAACTATGCACATTAAGATTGAAAAAAAAAGAATGACAATCTTTTGAATGATCGCTTGCCGATGGTCGTTAATCACTAGAAAACAGCTGTTGCAATCGGGATGTTGACGAAAATGTTGCGTTGGTGGGACGGGGGGGGGGGGGGGAGGTCTACAAAGAAGACCACAATGTTTTTTTTTTGCAGACGTTTGTTTGTTAGTTCTTAAATGACGAATATCCACCCGGCGAACTTAACCAGCATCTGAGATCCCTTTTTTCAGCTACAGAAGTCATTATGTGTATTTGACTGCAATTTTCATCAGACGAAATAGATGGTTGTTAAATTTTCTGAAGTTGGTGCTGATCTCTGATACTAGACATCTTGACTAAGCATATTTACTGAGTATCACAAAGAGTGTTACACCACTAACTCCCGCATTTGCAAGCTCAGGTAGCTATCAAGGCGAGATAAGAGCCTCCTTTTAACAAAAATATTAGTGCAGTCTCATAGGCTCAAGATTTATCGATTTTGTTATGGTTATTTCGTGAATTACCAAAAAAATAGATTTTGTGGTAGATCAAATATTGCAATCCCAGGATATTTCCAGACATATATATTTTTCCCCTGGAAGAGTTGCTTTTGTCAGCGATGACATGCATTATGGATGAGATGTGACGGAAATTGCAAGAATAAACATTATTAAATTTTGCATGGTCCGAGGATAGCAGAAACATATCTTTTACAATCTGCTAATTATTTCATACTTATACTAATATACTATGTAAAATTTTCCGAACGGAAACTTACTTGTCAGCATTGTAATGCGTTGAAAAGTCTTGACTTTTTGTACTCAAGTGGTCTTCGGAAACGCACGAACGCAAAAGGAAAAACTAGGAAGAAAAGTGATCATGTGCGCTTTCGCTTGAAAGTTCCTCAAGCCAACACCACACATACGAAGAGAACAAATTACAGCCACACAAGCACAAAGCTCAACCATTTAGAAATGGCGATGCGCAAGCGGAGAGAAGAAAGAAGGTGTTTACAAAAAAAGGGTGTGGTTTAGACAGATGCGCAACAAATTGGCGGGCCAGACGATAAGTAGCTTTCGAACATAGAAAATCGTTACTGATATACGCACATTTGTTATCGCTTGGGGGATTGACGATAGAGTGACGTTAAGCATTCTATAAAGTGATTATGTAAACAATAAAATAGTTGTGCGGACGTAAGGTGAAGGGCATAAGGAGCTTTTGTCATGATCCCCAACGTGTGTAGGTGATGATAGGTCGCGCCATTTTGGTTTTATAATCCATGGCTTTTTTCCGTGCGATTACGATGGGGTAGGAGAAGTGCAACAATGAGATGAGAAAGTTTAGGGTAAAGAGTAAAGATATGGTAAAGATTATTCTCGCTCTCCAGAGTTATATAAGTACTAATTTTGTTTCAGATGATCTGGACAAAACCGTGTTCTTATAAAACCGACGAAAAAAACCACAACTTACGAGTTCGTGTTTCTTCCATGCGATATACTTTTTCATATCGAATAGTAGCAGGAAGAGCTGAGTTCGCGTGTAGTCATCGCACACAAACTGAACATAATCAAAATCACGTGGGCGACTAAATCTGCAAAATTTTTGCACGAAAAAATCCGATGGAAAATTTCTCTCTGATAAATGGGCATTGATTACAATGTGAATGCCGTGGAGCAAGATGGAAGTGAAATCTAGTTAGGCGCTTCACACAAAATCAAGCGAACATAGTAATGGGAGGAATGTCAGTGTTCGCTAATTCTTTTCTTGGGAAATGCTCGCGTGTTTCGTGGAATAAATTGCCCATAGGTTTCGCAATATCACTGTAGTCTAGGAACAAGTTCGATTCTCTTCTGATGAGAGGTAAACCGAACAAACAAGCAAGAAAATGTGTTCAATCAGAATCTGATCGCACTCTTAACAGCACGTGCACACGATGGTGCATTGCAACACAGTGAATTGAGAGGGGCGAAAGTATTGGGGTGGCGAAATCGCTACACGATGGCGGAACTGGCCGGGTTAGATTGTTTTTGGTGAAGAATGATGGAGCGTTAGTTCACGTGACATGCACACCAGTAAAAAATAGCGAAAGAGACACAGCATCTTTAGCTGGTCATCAAAGTTTTGCACGGGCGGGGAGCGGGCACGGGGGGGGGGGAATGTTTTGCGCGTGATGTTTGACGCCCAAAAACCAGGAATTTATGTGATTGGGCTGATCGCGAAGAGGAACTAAGCATTAGAAGCGCATTACGAGTGCAACTTTCGTCCTGAAAAGCGGTACTTACTCTCTCTCTCTCTCAAAAAAAAAATGTTCTTACTGCGATCATGTAGAGTACTCTCACTCAAAAAAAATGTTCTTACTGCGATCATAAAACCTCTGACATTACCAAATGTTCACATCATGTCTAAAATGTCAAAAACAGAACTCGAAAACTACTGCATGGATTATTCAGACAAATTGTATCTACTGTGGTAAGTGCACAACTTCAAAGGGAAGCATCAAAGGGATTTTAGTGTGAAAAGTGTTATTTCAGTGCCCTTTGACTGGATTGTAGAGAATATCGCTCCTCTTTATTTCTGTACTTCTTTATCCATTTATCATTCTACGTCACTTTGCCCGTCTTTGGACGTCCACTCAACAGCATGCACGCTGAGTTTGGCTTAGTTTGAAGGGAATGCATTATGCAGTGAATGGATAGAATTTTTCCTATCTTGCTAAATTCGAAACTTAGAATAACGGGGCATAAAATGGGTCCCAAGTCCACGTGAAAATGCTTCAAATTGATTTGCTACATTTTCTTCCAACAGCACCTATGTTATGTGGTTCCTTGGCAGCAGAGAAAACGAACGTCTAAAAACCTATGCGATAAGCAAAAGGAATTGTCAGTGATTGTCAGTATAAGATCGAAAGCTCGACAGTTGTTATTTGCTTGTGCTACATTTTTTTCACTTTCGTGGAATATTCCATGATCAAAAATGTGGAGAGTAAAGTTTGTTTCATGCACGTTTCACGAAACCATTTGTTTCCTTTCGAGATGATGCGGAAAACAACAGGTGAACAGTGGGCGTTCCTACAATTGCTTCCACTCGCTAAGCAGAAAATAAGAAGGAAAAAAATAATTTGAATGATGATAAATATGAGATATGAAATATGCAAATGAAAGTAGGAATAGAATAGAAGAGAATCGCAAGCAATATAGCTCGGGTAGTCGTCAATGTTGATAGCAAGGACGACTTCAACACTAACTTAATGCGCCATTTTGTGGCGAGGTAGAAAAAGGAAATTACACTCGTCGAAAAACGAAAGCACACTGAGCGAACTATGTGTGTTGATTTAATTGAATATGCCGCAAGTTATCAGTATCCATTATGACAACAATGTAAGTTAGTTTACCGCAGGATTTTAATGACATTTTTAAAAATGTTATGCGCTGTAATTTGAGCCAAATCTCTTACGTATAACTTCTATGTATATATATGTCCACACGGCATTAGATTGAAACTATCGGCTAATTTCTGTTATTCATGATGTGTTTATGCAACGTGTGAGTCTATGACTCTGCAGATGAGCGTAATTTTGCCAATGTGAGCGCATCAAAACAGGTTTTTTTACAGCAGAGCTAAAAACATCAGCTAAGAGGCAAGCGCTCCATTCGGCAATGAGTTATCATGCATCCGATCAGCAGAATTTGCAAGAAAGTGCAGCATTTTGAGAGCTGCGATAACGCGCTTGAATTCAATGAGTAGAAAGAAGGCCACGGCAAAAGATATTGGACTGCATTGTGAGGGATAAAGCGCTTTGACATAAGTGCTGAGTGCCCAGGGATTAAGTGATATGTTATATGGCCACTCCGAAAGCAGCTAAAACAGATAATATTTTGCTTATGCGATTATTTGCTGTGTTGCGGGAAGCCCAGCTGGCCGAGCACTGGGCGGGCTTAATCGTCGCATTCGCGGCCAAGCGGGTGAGGAGATGAGGAAGGCGGGCGGTGCTCGGCGATGACGTTTCGGAGGATATTCTGAACGAGCATTTCTGGCAACACACATCTCGCACGTCTCCTCGGCTCCCGCACAGAACGCGCGGTAAACAACAAACAGGGTGGTAATCGGAAATAAGCTCACTTCACTGGCCCACACCCTATTAAAGCAGCAGCTTACGGTAGGGCTGACGAATCAATGGACCGAGGTCGGCGAGCGTCATACAAAACGGGAGCGGCGGGGCCCGACCCGGCAGCGGAAGGAGCTGCGACAATGCATGTTGCAGATGTCGTCGAATCGTCAGCGACGAACTCGTCCAGCCAAGTGGTCCCGTGAAAGTGTGCGTCTATGTATGTGTGGCCGCGGGCGGAAGCAACTTATCGAGTGTGCTGATAAGTAAGACAGCAGCGCTGGCCGAAGGAAGCTGAACGGGCGGCGGTGGCCGTTGCCTTCTCTCGTTCATTTGCCCACTCCGATGCGCCTGGTCTCTCCCAGTAAACACATAAATTACTGTTGATATGTTCGCATTACATGATAAAGGTGAAGCTCAAAAGTTAGAAAAAAAAGCTGTATCAGCATTTGCGCCCAGAAACTGGCAATAAACAGGAAGTTAGTGGTTGCTTTGTGAAGGAAGTGATCAAGGACACAAGAATTTCGGCTGCGGAAACGGGGAGAAATCGGCAAAGAACAGCGTCAGTCCGATCTCTCCCCATACATGGTAGCATTTACGGAAACAAAAGTGCATAGCCGCTGATTGTGAACGCGATGTTTTGTGTGAGCGTCAGAAAGAGAAGGGTGAATCGAACTCGGACCGAGTGTTAAATCAGGAAGAGAAGTGCTCGCAGTATCAGGGCTGGATGAACGTTCTCTTCTGCAAGACGTCACCAACAAACGGCTTCTGCACGCATGCACTCCTGCAGCGAGCGAGGACAACAAGGAAAACACTAGTGCATATAACAAACGCATTAGGCGCCAGAGTACTTGTCATTTCTTGCAAGCGGACAGCGACGGATAAAGGGAATTTTTGTTTTTCGACGCCCAGGTAAATTCTCTGTGAGATTCTTAGCTGAGATTTGCGAAACGGAAGGTGAGCAGGTCATAGAAGGGAACCGAAAATCGTAATGATAGAAGTGTAAGGGAAGCGTGGGTATGGCCCCGCTGGAAACAAATGCTGTTCCGGACGATCTCTGATCAGCTAGCGACACTACGAACGTATGCGGAACCGCCGCTTCCCCCCACTTCCCCGACTCCCCCCCCCCCCCCCCCCCCGTCGGCCCCGATTGTAGCTTCGCAACCGAGGGCAACGAGAGCGAGCATCGAACATTAGCACAAAGTCCTGCGTCACTGACGAATTAGGAACTGCCCTTCTTGCAGCGCTATCATGCCCACAAGCAAAATAATGAACCATCATGTAGGCTGCAAAACACTCAAGCATATCCGCTGCATCTATGTGGCGCACAGCATTTTTGGTCTCATAAATAAAGCGAAAAAAGGCTATGCTTGCATTGAAAATCAATGAGACAGCCGGGACACGGGAAGTGAGCGCTGCGATCTTTGAAATACAACTTGTTAGGTGTATCGTAAACACGTTCGGCGAACACACAACGACGACGATCTATTGCGGCCGATAAATTGCGGCAAAGAAGGATCGACACCTACGTGGTCATGCTATCAGCACACACAGACAAAGCGCTCGGCCTACGTGTCCTGCCACGAGCGAGCGCCTTGTGAAGAGCACAGCTCGGGCTCGTGGACGGTGGACGTGCTCTGAGGCGGGAATGCGCTCTCTTCGAGTGCTCAGATAATCATCGTTTTTATGCTATATGCATATGCTCATGTATAAGTTCGTTTCCCTCAAATAATTGCTTTCTTCCCGGTTACCCGGGCAGTGTACGTGTGAACGTGCACGAATGCTAATGAAGACATGGGAGCGTTGCCACTTTGAGACATAGAAATTAGGGGAATGCAAGTTCTGCTGCAGAAGAACATTTCAAACTATTATCTTCGAAAGTCTTCTTAGGAGAAATACGAAGAGGACTAACTTAGCAGGTATGCAATGCTGCCAGTGGCGATCTGAGAAGTTCTTTTTCAAAAATAAAGCGTTATGCATCCCTTCCAAAAAATTATGTGAACGAGCATCAATTTTTTTGCGGTCCTATAACCCGGAAACTTTTGAGAAAGCGAACGTGGCTTTCTCAAACAAAACACTTCAATTATTTACAAACGAAAATGAGTCAGTTGCCCAACTTTTAACACATATGGGCCACTTTCAACATTTCGCGTCCCATGCGAACATCCCCCCTCCCCTTCTCCACTGTGTCTCTACTTTTCTCAATCTCTCCAAGCAACAAGAAAGTACCTTGAAAATGCAGTTACTTCGTAATTGGATTGGATTATATTGTCAATTTGTTATTTTGTGCTTTTCGTTCTTATTCTGTACTGCAACCGTTTTTTTTATTGTTTTTGGCTTTTTTCCTTCGAATGCGCACTTTGAAAAAACCCTCTCATGGGGCATGCCAAAAACCATTCAAGTGCCCTAAAAAAAGTCACAAAAAATCTAAAAATATACCAGTGGTGATTGCTTTGCAAGAACCCCGGAACTCATTTTGAGCTTCCGTTTCTCTCACTTGCACTTTTTGTTAGAACAAAAGCGATTATGCCGCACACTTCTCACGCCACCGCAAACATTCCTCAACGACGCATAAAATGGTCACGTGTTCAAGAACCGGCAAAAAACGGCATCGGCTACAACAATCGAGTGGTTCCGGTCATTTTTTGCTTCTTTTTTATGTTGTCACGGTACTAAAGATTGGCAGTTCAAAGCCATAGAATTTATCGAGATAAACAGGCAGCTATTCATGGAAATAGACAGGTCTGTGGGCGGACACTACACGTAACCATGTACAAAACCACCATTGATGAAAATACTCTATAGACATTTTACAGGGTAATATTCTCCATGAACCGAATTAAGCGAAAAGAAATATGGTTTTATCACGGCTCACCTTATCTGGAATTAGAAAATACGATAAGTGAACGGTCACGAGGATACAACAGCGTTAAAAATCGCAAGCCTCGAAATTTGCCGGACACCTCTGCTTTGTACTTCATTTCATAGCTTTTCGAATCTATGAATGATGATAGATCAATTTTTGTTGTTCTCAATAACAACTAAAGCTGTACAGAAGAACTACAAAATTCTAGCGTAATGCAGGTCGAAGGGATAGATGACAAAAATCTAAAAAAGATGAGTGCCACAAAAGTTGCAAATTTGTACTCCGAACTCGCGCAAAATTTCGCTCAAAAAAGTGCGAGACATTCGCTATATCATTATTTATATATCAACGTGACAATAATAGCAACAAAAGTCAAAGCTATGTACATGTCGAGAATATGCGATACAGCAATAAAATGACGTCATTTCGCAAGCAAAATTGTCGAGCCAAGCTATTCTCTCCAAGCGACGTCTGGCATTGAGCCAGACATGACAATTTTCAAATGACATCAGCGGAACCGAATGTAGTCGTTATAGAGGGAGACTGTGCAAACATTCTGTTGATTTATTGATAATGCGATGGCAACACATGTTCAAAAGTTGTTTGATCAGTTGAGAAAAAACCGATAATAAGAATAATACAGGGTGTCCCAAAAAATGTGCCTACTGTTCTTTTCATGACATCTTTCGGGAAGCTAGGTAGCATTTTGTAGAGCTGGCTTTAACTTCGATTTACAGCACAGAGCGAATTGCGGTATAGTAGAGGTAGAGTGCGGTAGGGTTGATGTATTCCTGCTCTTGAAGGCTACCACAATTTACTCTTAAAAACACTCATGCTGCAGTTTTGCGAGGAAGCAAATAAAGAGATTAAAATTCATTTCATGGCTTTGTCTAGATTCCGCTGGGCTATAAGCAGTTTTGCATTCAGAAAAGCTTTTGAGTTTGCTCTGCATTACGGAGCAAAAGCGCTTCTCTCTCAAAATTTCGTGCTCCATATTCGTATATGTAGAAATCTGCTGGCTCATAATTTCCTAGGAATATGCCCCCTGATGAGCAGGTGCTCTGAAAAATTTTCCTTTAGATTGCAAGCAAAAATGAAGAAAAAATTTGGAGTCTTGGTCTCCCACTTCTGACGGCGGTGATCTTCAGGATGAATGGAGCTTCAACTTAACGGAAGAGTGGATAAGAGGCTACAATAGAAAGGCTTTCAAAAATATGGAATCAGTCATATAAAAATGCCTTCTTTTAGCAGCCTTTAAAAAAAGAGATGCAAGCATGCGTTGATTACGAAGCATACATCATTCACAGAAAAACAAACTCGGTAGCAGAAAGCTAAGCATGCGAAAATATATGCAAAGGATTAACATGTAGTGTCAACCTTCTTCTAAACCCACGAACAGACTGGAGTCGCAAGCGGAAAACTTAGACAAGATCTGACATGATAACATTTTACTAATGTAAAAAACTTCCACAATGATGTCATAGTAAGTTGCATTGTCAAGCAAATATACGTGACCCGAAATTCAACAGAAAGAGCAAGGTAGAAGATCTGTAGCAGAAATCTGCTCTGGTCATGACGAGAAAAGCTTTGCTTTCAGAAAGTGATTGCATGAATTGGCCATTTACTGCGAATTTACTCATTTAATGTATCTTTCTTGTAGTAGTAGTATGCAAGGCTAATAACCAGCACTATCTTAGTCAGAAAAATTATACGAGTGCAAACAAACGGATAAGCAACTTCTGCTTGCGTACGTATCTCAGTTGTTCACCCCAAACGAATCATAAAAAAATAAAAGGCATAGATTCGTTGGCTAGTTTAGTTTACACAGTTTACAGTTTATGTAAAAGAAATACAGCAAGACATGGGTCCCAAAGTGCCAAATCTAAATTTTTCAAGAGATCAAATTAACCGCGAATGCTAACCGTAATTTTTGTGGAGGACATTGACGTGCCTTACTGGTGGCACGTTGCAACGTCTTGGAATTTTGTTACAACTTTCTTCAGAGGGCTTTGTTGATTTAATGACGTCGACTTCAAAAAAAATTACTGTATAAGCAGGTTCGTGTGATCAAGAATTATATGGTGTATTCTATGCACTTTTACTAAAGCTAGCACATTTCAAACAAATTAGTGGAATAAGACAGCAAATCAGCGATTCCAGAGATCAAATCACTAGCAGTAATCCTAGCTGGCCAGTTTGGGGACAATGAAATTTGAGCCCATAAGTTATGAACTGACAGGGATCGGATTTTTTGAGACAACTCGAACAATATATAATATAACAGGAATAAAAAAAGCTGGCTTTGTTTGTTGAATACTCTCATTGTTAGAGCCAACATTTATGCACTGAATCAAAATTCAACGAAGAGACGATAGTGAAACATCGATCAAGAGTTGTTTCCTGTTTGATGCTAGGCAGAACAACATACAAATATAAAAATACATTAGTTTTTGAGTAATTTTTGATTTTAAGTTTTCTCGCTGAACATAAAAAGAACCATTTGTGTACTACGAAAGTTCGTATGCTCGATCAATATTCAATCTTTACACGTAGAACAACAACAAATGCCCTAAAGCTGGAAATATGTAGAGCCATTGTGTTAGTGCAAGTAATCTGGATTTGCGGGGGTGAAACTCAAAGTGTGTGGGAGTAGAAGCATTGTTATCGACAAATTCCAATGGTGAATGAAATAACTTCAAACATTCATGGGGGATCATGGGAGATCTCTCTTAGAAAAAAATTTGTTTGATGGTCACAATCTTCTCGAGATGAATATAGCACCAGATTTTTTTGTGCTAATCCCCTCAGAACCTCTGAAACATTCTATGAGAATTGCATCAATCCCACTTACGTAACTGGGGGACAATATACATAAAACGATCTCTTGAAAGGTATAGGAATAAATGTTCGCACAAATGGCAGCAAAGATCTGCATTTGTTACTTCAGAGTGTTATAGCTTACTCAACGAGTTCACATGAGTAGTATTCTATCAAGTGTAGCTTATCAAGTTACTTCACAAAACCATTCGCGTATATGTTGTAATGATAAATAATGTCGTTTATCAGGTCACCGCTACAATGCGAAAATTGTCAAGGAATATGGAGCACTACGTAGAGAAGTGCAAAATCTACAAGCACCAGAAAGTTTAAAAAAAACTTTATCTACGCTAAAAGTCAAATTTTTGCCAAATACCAAATGCCTGTTCACTCTATAGATGCAAAACCATGCAAGGAGTCATTCTTGCTTTCGCTACATTTTCCTTGCTGCTAAATTCAGGAAAAAATATTCAAAAATTACAGCGTTCCCCCTCCCCCTTTATGTTGCTCTCATAAATTATAATTTGTACAAATTTCAATATTTTCTGGTAGTAACATAATTTTTGTTACTCTATTTTTCATTTCCGCTAAAAAACTCCAGAAATTTTAGCCAAGTTGCTTGGCATATATGAGTAACGGACAAAATAGTATCTATCGATATCATTCTCACCCTTCCAAGTATGGGTTATGGTCAAAAGCAATTTTGTGACTGCACATCATCCTTCATTTCTTCCTTTTTTTAATAAAAGTTCTTTCCTTCTTATTTTTTGCTCTTGTATTTTTTAAGGATTTCCGGGGACCTAAGTAAAAATCGAGGCAGCTTGGAAGTCTGGGCTCTTCAATAATGCAAGCTGGAAATTTGCCAAAAATGATTCGAAAAAAATTAAAAATTGGATTTCAGTGTGTGACATAGTATTAGGTTGTCCGGAAATTAATGCCCGTTTTGAATTTCAACCGCAATAAGTCATAAACTTCTCATTTCTAAATAGGTTGAAAAGTACCATTCGATAGAGCAAAGCAAGCTCTACAAGATAGCAATTTTGGTTTTGCAACAGCTCTCTTTACCTCGAGTTTTGAGCCAAAAATCAAAAAGACTCAGCAGCCCGAAAAATCGAAAAAAATCGTAACTCAGCTTATAAAAATCCTACAAAAATTCTAACTTGCTCACGTAAACACTATCCACATAAAACATCTTTATACGCCTTTGCCGTATTTTTATCTCTGTTAGAAATCAAGAAAACGGAAATTTTCATGCTTTTGCCAAAGTGGTGCTGTGTCGTTCCCACATAAGTAGTTGTGTACTACTAGTCTGTAGAAGTATAAACGTAAATCTTTAGCTTTTTACAAGCTTTAGTTCTCGAGAAATATCGAATATAGCTTTTACTGGTCAGGTGGTCCAAGCTAAAATTCGAATTTCTCGAGAACTAAAGCTTGTAAAAAGCTGAAAATTTACCTTTGTACTTCTACAGTTTAGTAGTACACATCTACTTATGTGGGAACGACACAGCACCACTTTGGCAAAAGCATGAAAATTTCCGTTTTCTTAATTTCTAACAGAGAAAAAAATACGGCAAAGGCGTATAAAGATGTTTTATGTGGATAGTGTTTACGTGAGCAAGTTAGAATTTTTGTAGGATTTTTATAAACTGAGTTACGATTTTTTTCGATTTTTCGGGGTGCTAAGTCTTTTTAGTTTTTGGCTCGAAACTCGAGGTGGAGAGAGCTGTTGCAAAAGCAAAATTGCCATCTTGTAGAGCTTGCTTTGCTCTATCGAACGGTACTTTGCAACCTATTCAGAAGTGAGAAGTGTATGACTTATTGCGATTGAATTTCAAAACGGGCATTAATTTCCGGATAACTTAATACATATTACCGAAAGGCTGCAAGTCTCCAAATAATCCGAAGGTGAGCAAAAATTTTTTGAGAAAGTTAAGCAGATTTTTCTTTCAACTCTAATAAAACTTAGGCTACAAATTAATAGAACTAGAGCAGATTTATAGGCAGCCTAATTTGTAGAAATAGGCATCATTTGAAAATATTCTTTAAATGACATCGTTTCTTTTATAGAGCAATAATTCTATGCATATAGAGGAGACTGAACTAATCTGGACGTTTCTTGATTCCAAGATTGAGATGCTGTGGATGCGAGGACAAGCGGGAATTTTCCCATGAGCTGCCAAATCTCTATCCTATTCAACTATAAAGCATTGTATGTTCTGAGGGATAGCAGAATTTGAGAAGGTTACAAGGATTGTTAATTAAAAGATATAATTTCCGAGCAAATGTAGCTGCTTTGCTTTTTTCCTTATGAGAACTTCTGGCTCTAAAAAAAATCCAGAGAGATAAAAAGTTGGGCTGCGACTCAAATCTTGCGGTATTCATATTACTCACGTTTACGGTAACACTTCAAAACGCTGCTACTGAGCTCATCTATATCTCACTTTATCCCTTTCCGTTTTCCCAAGCTACGGCAGACTGAAGAATAAAAAAGAAAGTGTAGCTCTAACAAAGTTGTTCGTATTCAAAATTCGTACTTGTGCCACATTTTTAGTCCCCGAAGAGCTCTCTCAAGTTTCTGTAACGTGGTAAGCCTACAATTATTAACATTCTCGTTTCGATTATTGCCTTTTGTGAATCACTAAGAATAATCTTAGACTACTAGAGTAGGAGTTTTCTGTAGGCTTTCCGTGAACGACCTGGAGTCAAACCAATTCTGATTTCCAGGACTAAAAGAATCGCTAAGTAACGCCGTAACCAAGCCTGACGTCCACCAGGGCTGCGGTCCCACAGCGAATCGACATCATACCGTATAAACACACTAAGAAACTGATAGGCACCTCTTCCGCCAATCACTGGAACTATTCTATAGGTTCCTAAATTGTAAGGAGCAATAGTACGACTGAGAAGTTCCATTTGGAGATAAGCGCCCCCTACGCACTCGATGACGATTTTCGACATCCTAAAAGTCTATAGCCTCATTTGTGATGGTACCATTATTGACAGGAATTCTCATTCATGAGATTGTCCTTGGATATGAATAGAAGATTTAAGTTTTGTGTAAGTGCGGGCTACATTAGCGTGGGTGGTCTTGTGAATACAGCGTGGGCATGGTAACTTGCGAAATTTTCAACTTCAATTAACGGCTGCAACAGGCAGACAGACAGTATCATATCATCAAACAGTTCCTGTTCTCGTGGACAGAGCAGTGTTAGCTGCACTTTTGTCACCCAGAGTTCAGATTCGTGTCATGCACTTATGCGTCTATATCCATTCAAGCTCTGAAATAATCTGAATTGTGTAGATAGATTGTGGATCGTGCAAGCCGAAATCAAGGGTGGAATAGCCGCGATGGCATGAAAAATGGTTAGAAGAAGCTGTTTCAAAAACAGAAGCTGTTTTTTTTGGCGAATTGTCGGTTTTTTGAAATTTTATTCTGAAATTTGAACTTTGCCTGGCCAAAAAAGTTATTCAGAAGATTTTCTCAAATATGACTTTGCGTGTGTCCTGATGCCCAGATGATGAGGTGTTCTGTATCCAGTCATAGCACCTTATGAAAAGGGTGTCGCATCCAAACTGCCCACTAATTCCGAAGACTCTAGGAATCATCTGTTACCGGTGGTGGGGCGAGGGACGAGAATGGAATTTTTGAAAGTTGCTTACATAAGTTAATATTTAGTTCTTATAATAAGAATATGCAAATGACTTGTTCAAAGTTGTAGACATTTAAAATAATTTTGGAATTTTTTAAAAATCCAAATTAGCCTTGTGAAAAAATTCTTTTTGTTTAATTCAAGGGTTATGGGCCCGCAAAAATTTTGGGAATCATCATAAAAAACTTTTCGTCACAGCTTCATTTGTAAAAATTCTCGGCCCCCTCCCCCTCAAACAGAACCTGGGACCGCCATTATGACACGATGCCAGCTATAAATTAGCGTTACATATAATTTAGTACCACCCCAATGAGCATACTGAAAAGCCAGTTCTAATCAATCGACCAGGACTTCAAATTAGGCTACAATTTTCTGGTACATTTCGTCAAATTTAAAAATTTAGAAGAGTATCGTGAGCAATAAAATCTGAAACTCAATTATTTTTGACACTGCTGATATTCCTATGGTTTATATATGGAGTTTCTTCTAAGAATCCGACAGAGGAAAGGGATAACGCTGGTAAATGATTCAAAAATGATTTGGAACCAACTGCTTGAAGTTTTCTTTCTTTTTTTCGATCCCAAAGTAAGAAGCCTATCATGCCTGGCCTTCGATTCCGTGACTATCTAAGTCCATGCAATTACTCTGTTTTGGTAATTGTTCTTCCAATCTTTTGCCAAGTTTATGCATAAGTACGCGAGAACGTCTACGCTAAAATAATTGGGAACTAGCGAGGCTAATGAATCGGTATAGACAGGGTAAGGATTAGATGGAAAGAAGGTTCGCAGGATTTTCCCTGGGTCGAAGATACGCATTTTGGCGTCATGAATTGAATTGGACTTCCTTCTTCAAACTCAAATCACATTTCAGGCAGATGTTTAATAGATATTTCGTAGAATATTCTTTGCTCCTTCGGATGCCACACATTTTCACGGTTCAAACTATCACCGCAGCTTGAGAAGCGACATCATTTTCTTTCTAACATAACACATATCTCCAGGAGGGAATGAGGGTTGCGGCGGGGGGGGGGGGGAGAGAGAAAAGAGAGGGGATTTCGATACGAAAAGTTTCGAAAATCTTATTGATTTATTGCAGAGGCAGATGGATGTAGTAACTTAAATCTAATGATTCTGATGGCATAATAAAGGACCTAAAAACAGCACAAATTCGATGGGCACCAAAGTTATATCTAAAAAAAGCAAAAATTCAAGAAAGAAGATATGTTGGGCAAAGAGCATTGAGAATTTTTTCATCCTGTCATCATCTGAATTTTTACAAAGTTTAGAACGGTTTATTTCGCACAGCTTTTCGCTCATGTAGGACCACTTTCAAAAAATCTATTCTCATCTGCATCGAGTCCCTACTGTGCGATGAAAAACATCGAAGAAAAAACTTAGAATTGCTGTCCTTTCTGCTAGGGAACAAATTCTTGTTGATTGATTTTGATCGAGTAGAAGCGTTTACGGCTGGTCTTGTCAAGCACGGTGTTTCACCCCAATGCGCCATAAATTGTTTTATGACACGACTCGACACTGTCACCATCTTCGACTTTAATATACTGCTTTCCTCAATTAGATCACCACATGTTATTCACTATCAAATGAGCAAGAAAAGCGCTGTTTGGATGCTCCTTTTGAAGAAATAAATTCGAACTTTGAATATGTAAGGCAGTGGCTATTGGAAGAGAATGTTTGATTTGGACAGAAAAGTAGATTTTCAACATCTGCAAAAATAAGTTCAAAACAAACTGATTCTTGGTGATCACGTCTAATCAGGGGCATTATCTTCAAATCCAACTCAGAGCTCAGCAGTAACAAGTTATCTGATACTATTTGATGATTATAAAAATGTGAAAACGATTTCAGCTTGGCAAAATTTGTTGGTAACGTAAGAAGTCCGGTGTATCCTCGAAAAGGTACAAAAGCTGACAAGATTTGAGCCCACAGAACATGCATGAAAACGAGCTTGAACCACAGAGCTTTAGTTGAAGTTTCTAGATTTAAAATTCTATTTTTGCACATATTGCAGAGAACACTGTTTCATCAATTTCTTGACTTTGGCTAAACGCGCAACGCGCTACAATTTCCAAATTTTCTCGAAAATCAGAAGCTAGCTTCGTTTTTTAAAGCTAAAACTGGTAATTCTCGGGAACTAGAGCATATCGAAGTCCCAAATTTCATGTTTAAAGTCTCGTAGGTTTGTAGTACACAACTACAAATATGGGCGGAGCCCAGGACCATTAGGGGTGGAGTTCGCTATTTTTCGTTTTTCGCCTTTTCCTGACTACTCGAGAAAAAAAAATACGGCAATTGCACAAGTGAATAAATGCATGTGTCTGCTACATGCTGGAGCAAGTGAGAGAATTTTCCTGGAATTTTGGGGCGAAAGCGATTTTTGGCTTCATGAGTTGTTCTTATGTTTTGGCTTTGAACTTTGGGTAAATCACGACTTAAGCCAATGTTCAGATGTCATCTTGTAGAGCTTGCTGTTCTATTGAATGATAGAGTGATGTCCTCCAGTTTTTTCCGATTCTTCCTGTTACTCTTCCGTAAAAAACGACATTCTTTTCTTTGCAACCATATACGGAAAGACCAGCTCAGATGCAGTAGCTACCGTATGCGCTTAACTGGTACGTCCTTCAGGAAATTTCCCATTCTTCAAGCTTATTCCAAGGGATTGATGATTGAAGACGTTGGAGGGATGTGACCTTCAGTTGTGTTGGTCGTGTAATTTGATTCGACCCGGCGGTAGGGTGCGAAATCGTTGACGGTGGGTACCTACGTCCCGTTTACGACTACGATAACCCCCGTGCATATGCTTTGAGGTAGCCGGCGACATTAGGTGGGACTACGTATAGCGCTGAGGACTGTGCAAAATAAATAGCTCATTCTCAATTGCTCACATTTCTCACCTTTCTAACATCGTTCGCCCATAAAATATCACAACTTTTCGATCTATCACAAAATATTTGCTTCAATTCACGTAAAAATTACGAATAATGATTTGATGTGAGCATTTAGAACCAATCGAATTGAAGAAACTAATTCAAGGAAACCCATGTCCGGCAATCCTGGTCCCTCTCGGAGTACTGTAGCTCCCGTCGGAAAATCCAAACGGCTCCTAGGGGCCCTCCACAAAGCCGGGTTCGCTCGGAGTAGCAGCAAGGTTTGATTTATAAATTAGCATAAAACTAACATATTGTTTATCTATCTATTTGTTTCATTATTATTTGATTATTCACTTATCTATCTATTTATATTTATTTATTTATTCATTTAATAGACTCTACGGCCTGTGCAATATTGTACACCTCACCTTTGATCTTGAATTTTGCTAATTTTGAAGCTTGGGAACTACCTAACGAGGAGCACCAAGGAAGTTGCACTACCGGTATAGTTCTCAGTCCCAAAACAGGAGAGTGCAGAAAGCATACAAAAACATTGAATTTTATGTGCTCCTATCTAATTTTTGCAATTTCAACATATGCTTCTTCTTACTAAAAACGGAAAATCTGCCTTATTTGATATTAGACGCACATGAGGCGTAACAGTTTCTGAAGGAAATAATGAATATATAACCTAATGGATTTCAGATTATCAAGGTTTCTTTTCTATCAAATTTGCGATCCATCTATGTCTGTGATGAGGCTCCTTTCCCTGACTTCAAAATTTAGAAGTTCGAGAAGTAAAAGAATGAACGGAAGAGACATTTGCGGCTTCTCAACACCCAATATAAACATTCCTTCCATTTCTTCCTATATCTTCCGAACAACCACATCAATCCCCAATCAAATCGATAGGCCCCATATGTTTGCTTTACCAGCAGTTAATAAATCTCATAAAGTGTGGCGTTATCGTAGGAGTTGGTCGAGAGCAGCCCTCATCGTTCTTTTATGGTCGCTTCATGAGTTTACCCCCTTCTAACAAATTCTGTACTTCCTCTTCCTTTTTTTTGCTTCGTCCTTCTTTTATTTATCGCAGATGTTTGATATTGTTCCCGTTGCATTACACCAAAGTTTATGCGAACGCGAATGCACCTGAAGAGATTCACTCTCAGTCATAGGTATGAGTCTATCAAAAACCGCAGGTGCGGGTCTGCCCTGCAATCGCTCTGTTTATTATTATTTTTAGTCATTCTTATCAGTAGTAATTCTCCATTCTGTACTCTAACAGCTCACATCGCATCTATAGGCGCTCATTTCATTATAAGCATTTTGGCAATCACTCATGAAACTTGCCTTCTATGCCAAAGAGAAAAATTCTGTCGCTTTATCATTAAATATCCTTGTTCCTTCAATCAGGTGTAGGCATCCACCAAAAATTTTTATTATAAGTTTAAGTGGAAATATGCTTAGTTTTTGTCGGCTACTCTGACTACTCTGCCCAGAAAAATCTATCGGAATGCGAAATTTCCACAAGCAGTCGCCCAAAGAATTAGCAAATAGTGATCGAATCTAATTTCTGTTAGGAAACCACTTCCAGAGCATCCCATGCTCCTTTTGTTGAATACAGATAACTTTCTTTGAATATAGAGGCCACTTATGTATTACAAGTACATTACAAAAGTTTATCTATTTCTGAGATAGAAGCAGTAACAGCTTCGATTTGGATCTAAAAATTTGACAATATTTGCTACACAACAACTGTGGCTTCTGACTATATCCTGGACTCTTTTGTGCTCTAGAATTGGCCAAATTGTTTGATTCAGCAGTTGGTCTCCAATATGAGAATATTTTCTACATTTTACGGAGCAGAAGTGGCTGCCAAAGAGATGAACTTGAAAGTTAAGATTTGAGCTTTGCGGGTTAAATGATAGCTGTCAAAATTACCAAGTAAAGAATGAAGGTAAATATAAATCTGTTCTGATTGCATCGTATTGATTTCGCTTAACATAACTTATTTGAATAATGAGATCTGACTTTGCTTAGTCTTCATTAGTGGCTAGCTTAAAAATGAAAATCAAAAATTCTAAGTTGATAAGACAGACATGGTCAAAATTTATTTTAGCAGTGACACTGCAAACTGCAATACTGCCAATACGCGCTTCTTTTTGACCTAAGCAAGACTCAAAAATACTTTCATAATATATAAAGTTATTTGAACCGCATTTATAGGTCATGCAACCATTCAGCACGGCTATATGCATGGACGAAGCTTCATCATCTACTGCCACGCAACTGTCAGATGTCGAACTGATCAAATGCCACCCACTGATGCCTGTTTTGGAGGTAAATAAGGCGGAAATGAAAGACAAAATGAAAAACTTTTATCATAATTGCACGAGATTAAAAGATCTGTTCAGTTACTATGTGAGAAATGCGGTGACGCTACACATACAATGCATCCGAGAGCGTTTCAAATGAATGATGTATGTCAGGTGGGCAATTTTTATGATTTTATTTTCTTTTGCCCCTATTATCGGGTAGGAATGTCAAATGTCTGTCAAAAAAAAAAACAAATATCACGTCGAGCAAAGAGGTTGGCTTGTGATCTACCGTAATGTTATGAGTTTCTCAACATATACAGAAAAAGTGCATTGGGAATTCGCTTCGGCAGCTCTTCCTTAGTGTCAGAGATTCACCGCTATCGCTACGATGAACAGCACAAGAGTCATACTTTCGGCTGAAAACGTATACTCATATCATCGTTACACTGTAATCCTGAAAAAATTGCTCAAATGTGTTCACCTGAGGTGCTTAGTTCTGGAGATGCTGTAAAACTTGCATCATTAAGTTGTCGCGTCGGATCTGAACGGTTTTTCTAAACTAGATTAGAAATACTGGGTAAAATTATTTTAAATATTCCACTTGGCCAGTTATCGTAGTTTCCATAGACTGTGTTCATATTGTGCTGGAAGTCGTATTGTGGACCAGTCCCAGACGTCTGAAGGATCAAGTTAGTTGTGAAGAATCTTGAAGCTGACAATGAATACAGTCTCCAAGCACTCCCTTAAGTTGGAACGCACTTGTTGAATTTTTCCGCAATTTGTACTTTCTTAGTTCAATATTACTTTATGCAAAAAATGGGTCAACGGATTTCTGAGTAAAAATACACAAAATATGCAAATGCTATGAATTTTTTATTCTGCCTTCAAAGTAAAGCTAAGATAGTGTAACCGTAACACAAACCTTTCCATATATTAGGTAGTTCCGAAAGTTTTGTCCGTTTCCTTCAAACAACTGTAAAACCAGGCACAATAAAAATCTGAATAAGTTTCAACTTGCATTCGATGCAGCTTTTCCTTCTCATCCTTACGGATACATTTGTGAATTGCAATCTTGTACTCTTTTTTAGATGATTGCCAAAATTCTCCACCTCTCGAATTTATCTGCTCAAAGTTTGGCTATTTGAAAATTTCATTCGTTCCGGAGAGCATGGCCCAAATAGAGCAATTCTTGAGCTTTACAGCAGTATTTTTAGATCCTCCTAATCTCCTGTTTTTAGCTCCAAAAAATTATTTTTTTCGTAGGTCTCGATTTTTGGCGAAGTCATAAAACACAACTCCATCACATGAAAAATCTTGAAAATTTTGCGAATTGAAACTTCTTTGTTACTGAACATTATTCATGCAACCTATCCAAGTTTGATTTGCTTTGAAAAAAACTTTTGGAATTTTCGGTACTTTTACGTGTTAAACGTAATCAAAAAGCCGCGGTTTTTCTTAAATAAATTATTATTACGGACTTGATAAAAGTGCCCTTTGTAATCTAAAATAGCGAAAATGTAGCCAAAGGTCTGCTCTACATAACAGTGACCAGCGCCCTTCATGGATATCAAAATTAAGGTTGTTAAAATTCAAAAAGTTTGGAGGTACTGTTGAGCTGCTTAGAAAGCAATGGCGATAATTCTGCAAAGACAGGGTAGGTCAGAGAGCAAATATCGTTGTAAGAAAGAGTATGAAAATCTGAATCAAATGGTATCTAGATCAAAGTTCAAGCTCGATTATCGATGAATCTTGTCTCGGCTACAAAATACGTATACAAATAGGTACCTAGATCGCTTATGGATTGGTGTTCTGTGAACTTTAGCGAGCGATGAAAAAACGACAAAACTTTTGGGACAACCTAATATTATTGCAGTGATTTTTTTGTGGGAAGGCGGGACAAGTTGTACCAATGAAGGAGCGTACCTTTAGCCACGCCCTCCGAAAAGATGATTAAAATGCATTGCAAAATTTAGCGGGCCTGTGACTCCAGATCAGAAAAGGACGGCAGCCATGCAGCCATGCACCCCGAAATAGATTTTGTACGGTCAATGGACTGTAAATTTCCAAAAATTATCCTGGTGATTCACGTAAAAACAGGGCTTTGCGAAGTTTCATAACTCCTGTAAGCCACCTTCGCGAAATAATCTGGGGAGAAAAAGGGTGGGGTTGTTTCTGATGGTACATAGATAATACTGTTCCTTTTGCGATAATGCGTAAACTCTACAAATGAATGTTAGTAAGTCTGTTCGTTATCACAGAGTTAGTAGATGTCCTTTCACTTTTGCTCAGATCTTTATTTGAAATACTAATTCGAAAGATCATAAAAATTATGGCACCATGCTAAAACCGTCGTACAAAACCTGTCGCGAAAACACCAATTCTTTCACCAAATAATGTACGTAGCTGTTTAAAGCAGACTTAGTTGTAATCTCAGAATCAGATGTAGTCAAGATGTCATGATATTTTACTCTTGTTGCTCACTTACTTGACTAATACCAGCTCTTGTATCCTGAGCTGAGTCAAAATAGGGTCTGGTTGTACTATCATCATTCATTCGCACATAACTCGCAGTCGTTGTGAGGTACTGTTGAGTTGGCGGCGAACTCGATTGTGGAGCTTGGACATAGTTTCCATCTGGATTCTGCCCATATCGAGTTGTTCCGGAGGAAATATATTGCTAAATACACAAAGTCATTAGGATGCATTCGGTTAGAATTCTTTGGTACTTTTATGTATCCGGACCCAATTTAGTAATTGAAACAAGGCGCACTTGATTTCAGGATTGAATTGATTTTGATTTTATCAGGACTACAGGTCCCTCAGAAAATTTGGGCAATTTTGTTTTACATGTGGTTTTTAGGTCACTTCCGGGAATGTAACATAGAGACTTATGCAGCTTGCGAACTTCTTGAAAACTCTTAGAGAATTGTTAATCAAGAGGAAGATTTGTGAAGCATCGTGGAAGTTCTCCAAATCCTTAGGTACTTTCTTCCAACATGTTTCCGCTCATTACTTTAATAATAAAAGAGCTGAGACAATTGCTCCCAATAAATTTTGTTTTGCTAGCCTGCCCCTCCCCTTTTTCTCCGTTCCATTCATATTTATATTTTGGCACCACTCCAACATTCAAATCACAAACGGTGAAACTAAGTAATGACGCCTTATCCCACTTCAAAATGATTGTATCAAATTAGGTTTCTTGGAAGAAAGTCTCTACTTCTTGTATTGTCAACGGAGAAGCCTCAGTAAAACATGTTGGACGAGCACACAACAAGATGCGGTTGGTAGATCTTTTTCGAAAATTCTCCCCATATTAGACGCAGCTAAAAAGCAAAGTATTTTTTTTACAAAAGTGGGTCCAGATAACGAAAATGTACTATTTTGTTCACTCACATAACCCGCGCTAGATGATGGTGTGGCTTCTGTACTTGAGAATTCCTGATACCCCTGATAGGACCCCTGCGTACTTCCTGGAGTCGAATCACCATAGGAAGCAGCAAAAGGCGCATTCATTCCTTGTTGTCCGAATGATGACGAAGACTCGTCCCGGTACGGGATCGGTGTGCTGGAGTATGCACCTTCATTGTACGACCATGCGGATGTTGCTGAGTCAGGTGGGGGTGTCAGGGATAGCGGATTCTGCGTAGAAGTATACTGGAACGCAGTCGTTCCTGGATAGTTAGTCGAAGAGGAGGAACCTCCGTAGTACAGACGGCTTGTGGGAGTGGATGACTGCTCATAGGGTCGGTTTTGGTTCTGGGAAGAAGTAGAGTCCGTGTAGGAACCGCCTTGCATCCACTGCGATAAAGGCGGTGATGGAGTAGACTCCCAAGAAGAAACTACGTCAGGAGTGGGAGCTGAGGCGCTAGCTCCATAGTTAGGCTGTGAGCTTGGACCGTAGCCTGCGCTATTCTGGTCCCCACTGGAAGTGTACGTCGTGGAACTGCCGCTGGAAGACGTCGAATAATATCCTCCTTCCCAGACTTGTGGTGCCATGAAATTCGGAGCTGTAGATGAGCTACCGCTCCACTGGTTTTGCGTACCCCCAGACTGACTACCCTGGTTCTGGTACTCCCCTGTAGGTTGGGCATACTCCCCACCAGCTGAATTTTCGCTGTTATAAGCGCTGCTGTCCGGGTTCAAAATCGGAAATTCCGGGGGACTTGTGTTGAAGTCACTATTTCCAGTAGAATAGTAGTTTGCAGTTGGCGATTGATATCCAGCATTGGCATTGTTGTAAGACCCAGGTGAAGAAGTATAACCTCCTGACGACGGTGTCACCGGGTAGAATTGACCAGTGAAGTCATTCTGCCTATTCTGTGATGAATCTGTACTACTTTGAGACAGAGGACCAGAGCTCCCTGTATTTTGCTGATAAGTTGCTCCAGGATTTTGTGCTGTTGAATAGCCAGTCTGCACTCGTGGAAATGTTGGCTGAAAAATAAATCAAATTATGGTCCAAAGAAATGCCTGAAAGTCGAAAAAAAACTTTTGAATCCAATATTTGCTTACTTGCCCAGTCCTCGTCGTATTCGAATAATATCCCGTTTGTTGTACGCCACCTACAATACTGTCTCCATCAATAAGCTGTGTTTGCTCGTATCGTCAGTTACTATTTGCAGATTTAACGATTTTGCCTACAGTATTCTATGATTTGATGGTTTCGTGGCGAAAGAAACGTCCCTATTCACGAACAGTGGAAATATAAACAAATGTGTTAATATTCTCAGCTTTCAGCCAACAAAAAGCAATTTCACGGATTTATATTTGGTAATAATACATCTATTGATAGATGACAAATTTGTTCTTCAAAATTCTGACTTACCCGGTTTTGTTCCGTACCATACATATATTTGCTTGGGCTGCGCTTGGACGTATGGACAACATGTCCTAAAGAATCGAGAAAAACATGTATGCAAGACTAGACGCTTTTGTTTTCTATTCTATTATTTTCTATCCATACCTAACCTAACAACACTTCGGAATTGGAACATTTACACTACTCTCTAGCTACAGTATACCATTTGAGCACTCACATGCAACGAGTGATGCTTGGATTACATAGGACATGGCCCTGACTTGTAAGCCTTGGACCCCTTAAAATACATCAGTAAGGACTAATCTAATGCCCAGCAAGGACTATTCCAATGCCTATAGTGTCTAATTTTACGGGAAAAGACTACTTCAAATGTTTTGTGCTTGGAATAAACATGAGCTTCATCGAAAAAATATCTCTAAAAAAACTAGGAAACAGTGAAAAAAGCAACATTTTGAAAAATTTATGAATCCAAATAAGAGAAATTGCTATGGATGTTCTCAATATTTCTTCTGTTTATCAAAAACTGACTTTGAAAAAAAACCTTTCAAACTCAGAAGGAGAGCAATCACATAATTTTACAAAGAATCAAAATTTGGGCGTGCTTCTTCTTCGCACAGATTTAACAATAAATTTTTTAAAAAATTTTGGAGGGATGTAAGTCCATAGAACTCTGATATGGAAAGGCAAAGCACAGCATTTTGACTGATCAGTTGAAAAGATTTGCATTCTTCGTTATTTTCAAGAAATTTACTCAAAACTTTTTTAGATTATAGTCAACTTTGTTATATCATGCAGAGAAATTCTTGTGTGAGTTTGACTAGAACCAGGCCAAAGGTAAGGGTAAATGTTCAATAGGTTTTATTTCTATTGATTTCAAGTTTGTTCGGTAACCCGATACCACAATATCAAAAAAGTTCTTCGTTTAGATTAACCGGTCATTGCTCCCGCTCTTGAATTAGCTGAAATTAGAGACACCCCTCACGATGATATAAGAACTCATGTGAATTCTAGCTTTTGACTGGCATTATTAAAAAGTTGTACAAGTGGAGGTCACATATGCGTGGTCAGAGAAAGTTTTAATTTTGAAAATAACGTGGTGCTTTGTAATCCTAAGTGTGGAAATTTTCGAAGAAAAGATGAAAATTTGTCTCAAAAGGACATCCGAGGACTTTTGAATTTACGCCGGCTACGTAGATAACAATGTTAAGGAATATTAGTGCAAAGTGAAAGACAGAAAGGAAGGAAAGAGAGAGAGAGAGAGCGAGGGATTATCTCAAAAAGCCAATTCTTCCTTAAATATTGCAGCAAACATCTTAGAAAGTGAGAAGAAATGGGAAATAAAATGATCATAAAAAAATGCTATCATTCTCTTACTTCAGTGTAGATAAACATTGATCGTGCAGATGGATCAAAGTCTTGATCATCACAGAATATGGAAAACTTCTGACTAACACAAAATTTCATAAATAAACAAGGAACCAAGACGCACTTACCTTGAATTTGTAACAATCGGCACTATTTGTGGTGGAGGGCCTATGACATATTGAGCATCACAGAATGTAGAGTGTAGAGCACAAAGAAGCTGAATAAATTTATAGCGATAGGAAAAATGTTCACCAGGAGTTAGAATAACACACAGATGCAATATTGAAGAAAAGTAAGCTTAGAAAAAAATTAAAGAGCAAAAAGGCAGTGAGACGACATCTAGGAAGATTATTAGGTTTACTAATAAATAAGTTCGGTCGCTTTGTGGCTCTTACAAATGCTGCAGACAATTTTTTTGCCCAGTGTTTGCTATTCTTGGAAAGAACACTTCAATGGGAATTGGAGCATAAATTCTGGTTGCGTAGAACTTATCTTCCAAAGAAAAAATGCGCAAATAAGCAAGAAATCCCGATTTTCTCATAGTGAGCAAATATGAGTAAATTTGTTTTTTTTTCTGTTAGAAAATTTTCGAAGTGGCAGATTACAATTTTTATTGTCAACTAAATGAGGGAAATCTCTGAATTCAAGTACGAACTGCTGTTCTCTGCATCTGATACAGCATGAGAACGAAGTTTGGGAAGCTAAAGAATTGAGGTTTCGGAAATTTAGCTATGTTGAGACAACCGTCTTTACTGACTATAGAAGTTTCTAAATATTTGAAATGTGATAGAGGAAGCTTTGAACTACTTTCGCACAAAAAATCATGGGTAGAAAACAATAAGAAAAATCTTTACTTTATTTTATCTTGTTTTATTTTATTATAACTACTAATACACTCAAGGTGCACCGTAGAACAAAAAAAAATAAAACTCTAACACGTCGAAAAAAACATGATTTGATACATGATACAACATTTTATGAAGATATGCATCCAAAACGAATTTATTTGTTAGCCAACCTAATATTTAGCTGTTTTTGCGATTTAACGCATTATTTCCGAAAACGTCCAAGACTCATTACAAAAATTCTAATGCAATCGGAGAGAGATCAATATTGTTCGTGCTGATAATAAGAAGTCAGATATTCTGTTTTTTGGCAGTGCAAGTATCCAAAGTGGGATAATTTAGTGAATTACACCATAAGAAGTCCAAAAAATCAGGTGCTTCAGGATTTGAATAGAACATCGCTAGCGTTCCACCAAAAGAACTGATATTATGCTCAAGAATTGCCCCAGAATAAGCGGAATTGACTTCTCAAGTGTGTCCGGCTTTCGTGTTCCCACGTCAACACTTAATTGTTTGCAGAAGCAAGCAATCGGCTTAACCGCATACAGTCCGGATTTTTTTGTGCTGCTTGCCGTGCGACTGTTAGCGTCCATGTTTTCTTTTTTTTTTATAGAGGAAAACAATCTTCACCAAGGAGTAAAAGAAGAAATTAGTACTAGATAGCGAATATGAGCGGTAGCGCTTGCTTTCCCGGGGACGCGACATGTACACGGATCATATTTCAAAAGCGATGCAGTTTCAATGATGTTTTTTGTCTTTTTGATGCTGCGTTTGATATTTGTGTGAACACCTAATACTTGCGCGTGTGCACTCGCAATAGGGTGTCAAATTTCAATTTATTGGCATTCGCGCAAACATACAGAACAGCTGCATTGAGAGCAGACGAGTGGAATCTTGGTTGAAAAAGAAATTGTTGAGAAATTGCGCGTTTAAAGATGTTGCAAAGCTTAAGCGGGAAATTTTCAAGATGTGATAGATTGCTAGGGCAGTGCAGAAGGATCAGGGTGTAGAAATAGAGGTAGGCGTAAAATGAAGTGTGTTTTGGGTGCATTTACGGTAGTGTGAACTCACCAGAACCAAGTTAATCCGCCGTATCATAACCATCATGTGCGGGGTACACGCGAAGCAGCGCCCCTTCGTCTCCGCCGCGGCGCTCTTTCCCGCCTACCGGATTTTCCGGAATACTACACACATCGCGACATACGCGTACGTCTCACACACGCCCGTGTACGAGAATCACGAAAAAAAAACGATAATATAGACCGATCAACGTCATTTACAAGTGCAATGTACACATATGTGCAGAAGGCACTCGACAAGTCCGGAAGCAGCCTCCTCGCACAGTCCAAATATAGGACGAGCGAACTCGAAGGTATTCGAGTTACACTGCTCCAATGTCAGTGACAAAATCGAACGGGTACTGGAAAGTATTCACCAAACCGCTGAAACTTTGCTGACTACAGAAAGTGAGATCGAAAACTTGCATCGTCTACTTTGCAATGAAAGAAGAGACTCTATGGGTAATCGTACTCCATTAACTCGCAGCTAACTACTTTCTCGAAACTTGTTCATTCAGTCAGCTCAACTCAAGTAGATTCATATTATGGAGGAATGAATTGAAGATTGAAAGGCATTGTTTCTAGTCACTTTAGTCGAAAAAATAGCTGTCGTCTTCCGAAGTGATAAATTTTTTGTAACTTTTTTTTGGAAAATTCCTGGCCCACGGGAGATATGAACTTCTGGTCTCAAAAAACCTTGAGATTAAATTGTACATTCTTCTGCTCTAAAATCTAGGCGATTACGCTTTTCCAAGTTCTCATGACTTTAGGCTAAAAAACATTGGTCAGGATGAAAGCAGGGCTCGGCACGAGGTGGCTTTCCGAAAATGCAAAAGACGAAGTTCCTTGAGTTTCGCAAAATTTTACGAAGCCCTCTTTGACTTTAAACCCTAAAAAACCTTAAGAAAAAAACGCTTTTTGTGTCTTTTTGGCCACAAAAACGATACCCCCCTCCCTTTGTTTTTTTTTTGTCCCAAAAATGATATCCAGCTTGCTTACAAGCCATCTGCCGAGCCTTGGATGAAAGTATGGCATAGTAAATTTGAAAAATTATTTTCAAAACAGAATTTGATTTTAGCTTAGAGACTTCTTCAATGGCAGCACTTTACTGAAAAAAAAACGTGGAAACCTCTTATTAGCAATCATAACACAGCTTGCCTTCTGCCTGTGGGAAAAATTCTCAAACGGTGAAGGACATAATAGTTTTTAGTTAACTTGAGGCTGCAGAGGTTCAATATCAATTCAGCAAACAGTTAAGTACAACTTTGTACTCTGGCCTTCTGCCAGTTTTTTTTGCCAACCAGTTGTGTCGATGTCCTTTCCCTCCGGCCTCTCGAATCTACTCGAACTTCCCTGCAAGTATGGCCATCAAGGGCTTGTATGTTCCTCAAAAGTAAACAGAACGAAACTCATCTCAAGCGGAATCAAACGTCAATATGCGAACGCGGTTTTCGTCTGCTGCTTCCTGAAGAATTTCATGAATCATATGTGTACAGCGACTGTAGGCACATACCTGGACAAAAGTGTTCGAACGAACTCGCACGCGCGCGAGAGCTCAAAAAATGCAACTCTCTCGGGTTTGTATAAGGACTGTTCTGGCTTGAAGAGAGCATAAATGGTCAAATCAGAAAAGTGAAATGTGTTGATAATGGATGTGTTTTTAGCTATTTCGAAAACTTGAATCGAATGGGGTGAGCGCAACTACCGGTAACGAGAAAATCGACAAGCTTATGAAGGACGCGATTGTAGTGCTTCGGATTCATTTGATCGAGTTACAAAAGGTAGCCTCATTGGCTGAGGATTTTCACACCAAATACTTACGTAAGTGGCATTTTTTGCCTTTTATATAACCCAATAATTTCTTGAAATTTCCTTCAGAAGCCCTTCGAAAACGTGTCTCCCATGATGTCCTAGTGGAATCCACCGGTGACAGCGATGATGATCTAGCCGAACCCAATCGTCATGACGAGGTAAAAATTGATAACAAACCGCTCCTATTTACATTCCCAAAGTCAATTTTTGCCTTTAGCCAGCAACACTCGAACGAGTGCTAGGATAAACAATGAAAGTCTGTGAAAAACTTTGCAGGAAAGGCATTTTTCTTCCTTGCAGATAGTCTCGTCGAGACTTCAAGGAGGTGCTGTTGCGACTCTAACGACTCCACAGGGTACCGTTAGTATATCATTCGATCCAAGGACAGTACTGTCTGGTGTTCAAGGTGCATCTACTGTCAAAGTGAGCCATTTTGGAAAAATATTACACACTTTGGCCCCATTTAAAGTCAGAACTCCCTGGTCCCCTGTCGAGAATCGTCATATATCCTCTTTTGCTGAAGTGCTAAAGCTACTTTTTCTTTTTTTTTAAACATCACACATATTTTCTATGTACAGACTCTTAGAACTTACATTTGGTACCGAATGACACAGGAAAATGAAAAGGAACGTAAAATATAGGCAAACATTATATTATTTTTGCCTTCTCGTGCTCTGGCCATACTGTAGAACATTCACTTACCGTAATTACGGTTATCGCATCAATAAGTAGTAGTGTAACAAAGAATTTGATCCAGTAATTGATAGAGTAAGCAACTGTCTTTACTGTCTGGTCTCAGCAATCAAATTAAGCCTCACTACCGTAATCATGCCTTTTTTAGTATGTGCACAAGACTTCTCGTCAAGGTCGCTATTCGGATTTATCACTACAGAACAAAATTTTAAGCTGATTGACGGAAAGCCAATGCAGAACCTCGTACTAGTGAAGTGACTAAGTGTGACTTTCATTTAACTCCTCACAAATTCTTATACTTCTTTATTGAACAATTTAGTTTGTAAAACTACACTTCAAAAATTTTTTGCGACCAGTCAAAAGTAATCTTAGAAGAGAGGGGTGGAAAATTTAGAAATGTCTAAGCTTAGTCTAAGAATGGTGTCCAGAATTGTAATAACGACGTCTGTAGAGTTGTTTATTTCGAAAAAATCCACATTGAACTTCAAAATTTATAGCTTGTGCAATGAGACCAACTTTTCGCTATTTCATCAGAATCTTATACCAATGGAAAATAGATCTCTATCTTTCCCTTATTGTTCAGGCTCGTCCGAGGTTCGATTTCACTTCCATTGAACGAAATCGATCATTGCAGAATAGTAGACGCTTAGGAGACGTTCAAACTAGTGCCAGTGAAACTCCAGTAAGGTATAAGATTTTTATAAAACAACTTATGTCCTAACCATTTAGATATAATGCAATTTTGTTTGCAGAGTTCGTTGTCGACATCGAAGTGAGAGTAATGAAGAATGAATGAGTCACTATAGTATGCGAAATATAGAGCCTATAATATATCTTTATGACACATTGTTCTACAATCAAGTAAGAGAAACATTTTGGTGCTTGACATGAGAAAAAAACGAAAGCATTGATCATCTGTGAGGCTGAGATGTGATGGACCGGTACGAGTACGAACTGAGCATGGAACGAAAGTACAAATGAAAGACGCAAATGAAAGATGCAACGTTAAGAGAATGAACTAGGCACAAGCAAAGGAACTAAAGAAAATGAGCACTAAGATAAGTACTATTTAAGAGCTTTCGGGAGTCACCTAATAGCTGGTCTGAGAACTGTATGTGAAATCATTGCTGCGACTAGATTGGATTAGTTTGAATCACTTTGTTCATGATCCAGTTCACACGTATTTTGCGAAAAACGACATCTCATCTAAAATTCGTTTTGTACCCAGCGTTCTACAGTTGAAAAGTAGGCTCGACATACCAACAAAACATTCACAGGAAACTCGAACATTCAGATTGAATTTTTTCCATATTTGACAGTCATTTGTTCCCACATTTCGCAGTACCACGAAATTCATATGTTTTTGTCGACATTTTCCATGAGCTAAATTTACTCTGCTAATCTGTCAAACAAATAGTTAGTGTATGTGAACTCACGGTAATCATAGAAGTACAGACAAGCTTTGTCGCTATCGCAAGTCACTTCGTTGATGAAAGGCGGAAAAAATGTATCGGGGAGATGTCGTATGGCCTGGAATAAGCAGGGTATATTGACAAAGGTATAAAAAAGAGATTACAAAAAAGTTGTTGGCGTTGCTTGAGAATTTCCTCTAACTCATTTCTCTAGTGCTCTCTCTAGTGCCACAACTTTAGCTGAAAATTTGATAAAAATTACAGTTTTCTTTCTTAAAATAATTCCAATATCCTCAATGTTACGTAGCTAAGACTCTCATACACGACTTGAAAATAATTTGACACAGACACACAGACAGACTGCTTTTAAATGGAGAATTAGCTCCTGTGAACAATATTCAAATCACTTCACAAACATAATCTTTTGAAAAAGTACATCAATGATGTTTGAAATTGCTTGAACTATAATATAACTAAGTCGCATAAGTAACTGGGCCTACATATGACTAAGTCGAGAATTTAGTTATTAACCTCTCATTTTCTCCTTTTTCCTAGCTTGTTAGTTTTCAGTGAATTAGCAAATGAATTCTGGAAGTTCTGGTGTTAATTGTTTCTAGAAGGTGCTAATTGTTGTTGATTTAACGCACCCATAGCATATCAAAATAAATAAATAAAATCAAAAAACCAAAACGATAGTTTTCTGATCAGTTATGCAGTTATATTTTCTAATAATGACAGACAATTTTCTCTTCTTGAAGTCATATGGTCAGTGACCACGTAGGACTGACCGTCATCATTACCTGTAAGTATGAATAACAGTTTCTTGATATCTAGAAAAGAGATCTTCCGTTAATTCAATCTCGAAACTTGCTTTTTTTTCCGATCTACGCGTATTATTCTCGCCTCTCGTTACAATCTCTCAGTGAACAAGCCTTCAAGTCACAAAGTGCACTTTTTTTTCCATGGTGCTTGTGAATCATTGTGTTGATCAATGACAGAAAAACGGACGGTCCATGTTCACGATAGAGAATTTTGTTTGCTTCCAACTAGTTCTCTCATGAGCACAGTATAGTTAGGTTATTGCTGTTGTTCGAACGGATTGCCTATGTCAACTCTCGGGCTAGATGAGAGCTACGTGGTCATGTTCGGTTAGAATGATTTTGCAAAAATGGGAGGTTGGGAATATTAGGTAGTAACATAAGTTTTAATACATTTAAAATAAAAATCCTCATAACTTTCTTAAAAGTTTCTCCTCACTTTCATTACATGGAGCGTTGTAGCTCTTCGATTTATACATGCCACACATGGAAAAATTGGTTTTGAACTTTTTTGACATTTTTTCGAATTATTTTTGGCACATTGTCAACGTGCTACGTTAGAGCGCTTAAGCTCCCAAACAAAGCAACCAGATCAACAATGCTCATTCAAATAGCGAAAATCTAAAATGGAAAGGCTGATATAGAATCCGAAAAGAAATAAATGAAGGTTGAAGCACAGTCGGATAATCGCCTTTTTATGTACTGCAACCTATTTTACTAAAGGTGAAAATGGGCCGATGGTCAGTCAGCCCTTTGTTCCTTTCTAAGGTATACTAATTAGCCTTTACCGAAAATTCTAGAGCTTGTCTGAGAAAGGCGAAGAAAATGTAAGACAAATCATGTTACAAGCTAATTTTAACCGAATAACAGTATGCTGGATTGCATGGATCTCAAGAATTTGTTACTACAAACACTCCCAGATGTCCTTTTAAAAGGATCATTCGCAGTCAATGCTACAGTAAATCTAGTACTTTGCCCCATATAGCAAAAAAAAACAGCAAAAACAAAAACAGGAAACAATTCTTACTGCTTGTCGTTGCACGGGCAAAAGTAATTTATGCACTCATAAGTTGACATAATGGCTACATTCCGTGATTTTATTCGAGAATTTCTGAGAGTTGAAATTTCAAGGCGCAAAGCTTGCCTAGTCTAGACGCCCAGAGCTTGCAAATAATTAAATAGCAACTGAATATACATAATTTGTGATTTATATATTAAAGACAATCAAAATTGTTAGATACTTTCTGCACCTTGTACCCTTCTAGCGAAACTGATGCAAATTAAAAACTGGGAATCAAAAATTAGCTTTGCAGGCTTTGGTGAAAAGCATTGATGTTTATCTCATTTCTACTTCTTTTTCTCGCCCTTCCGAGTGCGCTAGAGCCGAAATATGTCCTAGAGCTCTTGAAAGTCTTGAAACAAGTCAAACATACTTGTTGAGCTCGGAAAGGAAACAGGACCGCTCCCCCCCCCCCGCCGCCGCTTTCCCCTCCTCTTCCATGGCTATGAGCAACACATGATATACTTTGTCTATCCTCAAGCTGAGAAATGAACGGTAAATATACATTTTTCTGCCAGAAATCCGCTTGGGAGGGAAATGGGATCTGCCACTCCGCTGGGAGAGTGAAGTCGTCCACTTGAGAAAGCTTGGCTTTGCGCGCCTTCTTTCGAAGGTTTACTTTTCCTCTGAAGCAATTCTGGGAAACTTGATATACTTTCCATTAGTCCATATTCGTAAGTATTGCATTTTAATTAACCCATATGTTGAAATATTCTGGTTTTATACCTCATACACCACTTCATTTAAAACGAAATTTAAGTGTCACACTACTTAAAAATCGGTAAATCTTCAGCACCTGACATGCTCCACATAGCCGTAAGTAGCCATCCTCTTCCGCTCCTCTTTTATCGCAGCCGAATGGCACTATATGTGACTCACCTAAACGGAAGTTCAAACATGACATTATGAAAGCAGTCAGCAATTTACCTATCAATCTTTGCCGTGGTGCCATGTTTTCGTCTTCCAGGGTAAGTGGTTGATCTTTCGATCTTCGTGGCACTTCGCCTGAGAGATTGAGCGCTCGGAGGATTTCCTCGACTTGGTCTGTTCTTTTCGAACGTCGTAATGATGGTGAAAGTATGCTTCTGCGCGGTTCACCGCTAGAAAAAAAAAAAGAGATCAGAGTCACCTTGAACAACATTACAAATAATATTTTGTTAATTGTGATAATTATTAGGTTGTCTCATAATTTTGTACCGTTTTTACCCTAACATCAGCATTTCTCAAAAACTGGGACACCTACAAAGGGTACAAATACATGATCGCACTTCTGCAGATCAGTGCGTGGGAGGAGCTCAGGACGTCCAGGGGCGGATTTTGCAATTTTACTCCATTCATTTTTTCTTCATTTCTAGCCATGGAGGAAATACGAAAAATGTACAGTTGAACGTCCGATGTCTCAGGCATATGCTGGGATAAAGGAAATTTTTAAGAATTTTTCGGGTGGAGGTACGATTTTTGAAGGAAGAGTTCATTTTCGACTGCTATCAGATTTCAGCTCAAAACTTCCGGTGAAATATGTTTTGGGCGGATTCTTCATAGCCATCTTTTAGAGGTTGCTTTGCCCTTTCGAACGGTTACTCAAGCCACATCAGTTGAAGGAAAGATACAAAATGTCAACGGTTGTAGTAAAAAACGGTAAAAAAATTATGAGACACCCTAATATTAGGTCATCCCAAAAGTTTTTTCGTATCAGACTTTTCACCAGCATAAGTCTGCTCTTCTTAGACTTCTGATGAGAAGCGGAGTACCATTCGAAAGATTAAAGCAAGCTCTACAATATGGCTTTCGAAATTTCGTATTAGGCTTGATCCGCATCGAGTTTCAAGACAAAATGGAAAAAAATCCAAAATTTCGAAAAAACAATTATCGTATCTTAGTCCAGAAACATTCTGCAAAGTTCCCACTTGCTCACGCATATACTTTCCCCATCAGACATTTATAGATACACTTGCTGCATTTTTCTGGCGGTTAGAAATCGAGAAAAAAATAAAGGGCTCAAATTCTAACTTGGCCTATAATGAGCCTATGTTCTTCGCAAATGTGTCATTATATAGCTTACACACTCAAGAATACTCCCACAAAATTGCATCCTTTTAGATGCCTTAGTTTTTGAGAAGTATCAATTTGAAGGTACGAATACGAAAAAACTTTTGGGATGACCTAATAGCATCAAATATGGCGTTTATGTAGGGTATAAAGGCTCACAACGTTGCATTTTGCAGTTTTTGCAAAACGGAAGGTGATCGAAGATCGCAAGTGACGTTGAGTTCCTTCAGAAGGCTAGCAAGAGCTTCGACATTCCGCGAAAATGCTTCTTCCCGCTGTCGATTTCGCGGAGGCTGTCGCTAAATTGTTTATTTATTTTTTTATAATCATTAAGAATTTTGCTAGAGAACGGAGATAAACAGGCAGTGAAGTGGCACCAGGAAAACCGACAAATGGGTTCATTCGCAGGCATCTGCTCTAATCCAACGAGCGGACTTCGAAAAATTTAACATATGTTTCTTTGATTGCCTTCTCATTGCCTTTCCTTATCCGTTCATCCAAAAGTGAACATACTTGGTAATGATCATGAATGGTCCTGTCGAGAAATCGAATCACACCGATAGCGTCCCATGCCATCAGTTCCGGGTTGTACGTACCCCTTTGCTTCAGTTCAGCCACCAGTTCAGGTTGAGTCAAACGTTTGCATTCACTTTCATTAAGTTGGGTGAAAATCTGAACAATTGCTTCTTACAGAGTACAGTTCAAAAACTAAAAAATAATCCTAGCCACAACCAGAAATGTCAAAAATTAACAACCCCATAGATTACTTGGGAGAATCCAAACTTACAGGAGGAAAGTGATTTTCGGTTTTGAATCTTGGAGGAGGATCCACGTTCTCGCTTGTCTTTGTCTCATTACGGTTTGCCAACGACTTCTTCAGAGCACCTATTCTATCCAAGAAGTACGTAGATTCTCTAAATAAAAAGGTGCTCTTGATTAAGCTAAGATTACGAAATAATAATCACATGTTCGGTAATGAAGCAGAGATAGGTGATGCTCGTTTTCTCCTGGCCGTTCCAATCGCAGCTTCTACCATCTTTATTTGTGAGGTGAAATAAGCAAGAATGCTTTGCAGTTCTTCTTCTGAAATCATGGAAGTCAAACGAGCAAGGAATAATTCTGGTAGCACAAAAATAAGAGGTCGCTAACCCAAGCGGTGACTTTGTGGATTCTTTTGAGCTGTTTTTGGATTTTCAGAACTGTCTAGCATTTCAAAGAGTAAAGCTAGATGCTTAAAAAAGCCTTTTCCAGATTAATTGATTTCCTTGTGCAAAAATGCTTCCAGGTATGCTGCAAGAGGCAAATTCCAAAATTCGAAAAGATGATGGAAAATGTGATGACTTCATGAGCCCGACAGTAATTTTGACATTGGGGAAGACCCTGGACAAGGAAAGAAATCAAAAAAAATGCAAAAATGAGAAAATGAAAATATGAGACATCTATCTGATACGAAGTGTTGAATACATAATTAGCAAGAAGATGTAATGGCACTCTTTTTTATAGGATTCTGTGATTTAAGAAGTCAGTTTGCGAAAGGTCAGCTTCGTTTTGGGCTAAATTAAAATTGAAATGAATAGACAAACGATCTGGACCATTTTTATTTTCTCTGCTATTCATAGTAAATCTGAATAACTAGCTGCTGAACTATACCGAACTTCGTAACTGAATTCTCAAATCAAGAAGCTTTGATTCTGGGAACAATCTGCTCTCGGTTTCGCATCTATATGGAACAAGATCTGTCTCCATCAATCACAAACAAAATTCATAGATTTATTATTTGTGGAAGGCGACGCTAAGGCTTGGCATGAAATATCGCGATCAACAATGCCGAAGCCAGTTTCCAATCCAGAAAAAAAAATTCAAGACGAAACGAATTCAAGATCTTGCTGATCTTGACATGTCCATGATTTATACTCTCGCTGTTTGCTTCAGAAGCGACCACGTATGCAGTTTCTTGCTGCTGAATAGCAAAGCCATGCCATTTTTATAGCTTATAAATGAAAATCTGTGCCTTTACAAAAGAGGCGCAAGCACATTACGGCAGAAAAACCTACAGTTTTGTTGACTTATAGTGAATAAATTTCTTATTGCACATTGTTAGATGCATGTAGTCAAAAAAAAGCGAACATGGCAAGAAGTTGGTAGGAACTTACCTCAAAAATTACAACACTCAAAAATAACTCGTCAAAAAAGAGAAGAACAATAGAAAGGTTGAAATTTCATTTCTTCTCGATAACCTTCATATTCCCATATTTTTTCGTAGGTATGCATCGGGAGCAAAATATTGCTAATAGGCTGGCTGGAAAGCTTGCAACTATAGCAGAAATTACATATATTAGGAGTCGGAGTGGGTTGCGTACGTAGGATCGCCCACGGTGAGAAACTGCTACAAATCATGCTTTTCAGTACATTACAGTACGGTACCAGATGTCCGCATAGGTGAAGCCTTAGATGTATTACGCCTGGCTTGCGCACGAAGATATGGGTGGCGTGTCTGAATATGGTGAAGTGAATATATGACTGGCCGTAATCTGCTTCGGTTGTGAGTAGGACTATGTGAGAATAACAGCTCCACATATCCTTTTTGAAAAAAAACCCATACATGTAGATGCAGAATAGAGCGATCGAGAGAAGGAAAAACAAAAGAAAAAGGCTGGCAGGACAAGGGTTGCAGAAATTCCATTTTGTTTCATCTGCTATTATTCTCGAAATTGAAACCAGATGTATAGAATTTCATATTTATTTCTTAGTCATGAGTTCATAATAGCCCGTTACAACTTATTTCTTGGTTTTTAACTCAAGCAATCCTAGAAGCACAACTTTCGTGGGAGAAAACAAACGTTACTAGAGTGAAATCTTGTGAATCTTATTCCTTACACACAAGAAGAAATGACACGGTTTGATGACTTTATTCCTTCATTTGAGGTGTTAGATGTTAGAGCAAACTGAAGAAAGAAATAGAATCTAGTACGACTTATACTCCGAGACTTTATACTGTTCAGAATTTTTTTGAGTAAGAGACCGATTATACCAGGTTTTTGTGACTTAAGTAACTTGCGCAACTTCAACGGACACGTTAAAAAAACTTCTGGATCATCCTTCATGGACGAACACGTGGTACGATTTCCTGGATACAAACGAATACTTTATCTTCGAACGTAGAATGCTGATGCGCAACACAAAGGCATACAACAACGTCTTGGTCACCATTAAGAACTTGTTCTTGAATAGAAGAAATGAATGGCGCCCGGTCTTCAACTGCGTCATTAGCCTTCTGTCTTGTCCACCTTCGACAGATGAGAGTCGGTAAAAAGCTCTGCCAAGCTTGGATCGAGAGATGATGCTTATGGAATACGATACTGTGATCATATGATCTTGATAAGTCGTGGATAAATTTTTTTGAGCATAGAGTACGCTAAGTGGCAAAGTAAAAATTTAGAAAGCGGCCCAGGCTCTTCAACGTAACCACAATTTTGCATTCTCACCCTGTTAAAATTATTCCATGTTTTTTTCAAATGTTCTCTGCTGTCCTGCGCATAGATTCAGAGATAAAGAAATGAGTAAATGATACAAAGTAATTGATTTTAAGTTTAGAAGCATGCGTAGGCCTTGGCACCGGTCTAAAGCATTCTCGAACGTATTGTGCTGAAGTACTTGCCGCTGTCAAAAAGACGCAGATTTTTGAGCGAAATTTTCATCACTGAAAAAGGAAAGCACCTCAAGATTGCCCTTACATATAGAGACATAAATTATTAAAATAAGCTTGAAACGCTGGTTTTGATTTCGCCACTTCCAGTTACAGCACATTATTCTGAAACTAGTTATGACCTTTTCTTGCGAAATTGTCATTATTCAATACATGAAAACTGCCTGTACAAAAATCTGCTCGAAAAAGGTGCTGGATATCAAAATAATATCAGAGTTTATGTCATTAACAAGGCACCCAGATGATGATAGCGAAATGGAGAAGCTGTAAGAAAAAATAATATGAAAAAGGATTATTATGCGCCAACATGACTCATAAAAATCACCAACAAAATGATAATAAATCATACCAAATGAAGGCTTTTCCTTAGTTTGCACAACACTAAATAATTTTCGTTAGACTCGATTTATATTCCCAAACAATGGGTTTCCATATACTTCGTCCATGTATTAGATTGATGAACGCAGTATGAACAAGAGTGCTGCAATAGCAAGGATAGAATTACTATTTAGATATTATGCTGGCCAGATTCCCCATTTCCACTACTCGCATTTTGCTCAAATTTATCATCGATTCAGGACTGAAGTGAAATGCAAGCTTAAGAAGTTGCTATCCCATACAGGAAATCCCTTTTCGCATAATTTGAAGCTTTGTTCAAGAAGAGATAAGAGGGAACATAGGAACAGTTCGAAATGCAGGAAAAAGACCTAGATGCTCAAGCGCAAAGAAGATGAGAATTCGGAGCCTTAGAAGATTAAGAGTGGAATGATTTTGTTTCTTATTTAAGTGGATAAGGCGTTGTACTAATGAAAACATTTCATCTCAACTATGAATGTGAAGTAAAGCACACTCAGAATTTTTAGTGTTAATAATTTCTACTTCTGCCAGTGGGTAAGCAGGATTACGAATGCATCTTAGAATGCAGAGACAACTTGATCTCGTTAGTCTTTGACCGCAAGTGCTCGAATATTTTTCTTTGAACTATGAACTTGATGCTATAAAGGAAATTTCGTAGAATCCTCCTTTTTCGTTGAAAGAGGTGAAAGTTCGTTAACTGGCAATCGTCAATCACAACTTGTCTTTGCCTGTATCGCGGATGTTGTTGCGCGGTGTCTCAGCGCAATCAATTTTCCGACTTGTTCTTTCAATCCTTATCCATGGAATGCAAAACTTTTAGCTTTAGTAGAGAAAAATCAGCTGGGATTGATCTTTTTACTCAACGTGTTTACGCATGGTAGCTCAGCTTACCCGACAACTTATATTTATTCAAAATTGCGCGAGGACTTCTCATGCTGGAGGCGCGTATGGCCTTATGGATAAAGCTAGATAAGCCGGTATAGTCCCGTATCCAGAAATGAGGTTATCCAGTGAAAACCCTCACAATGCGGTTCATTTAGGCGAGAAGATTCCGCAGCAGTCACTCAATGCGCCTTTTTCGATAATCGGTGAAAGTGAAGACAGAACTGGATATCAGCCGCGTCTGCGGGCTTGCTTCAACTGCGAAATATCAGGAAACAAATTGTGTATAATGTTATGAAATCAGATGAGGACATTTGAGAGAGTGAAAAATGAGCTGGCATGGAAAATATGGGATAGAGGTGGTAAAGGTATACTGTGGGTTAAGACTCACCGGATGCGCCGGAAAGGTCCAAATCTTCAAGTTGGGAGGACCTGGGCGAGACGAAACTGATTAACAATAGCGGGACTATGCCTAGAAAAGTCGTCCCAGGCATATTTACAAATAATCCGAATAGCTAATACACCGTTCAGTTGAAGTGTTCTTCCTCAGATAATGTTTGTAATAGCAGTGAGCGATGACGGGGGGTGGTGTACAGGGTGGGATGGTAGCGATAGGGGCTGCTAACAGTGAAATGAAGATCTCGTTATCGGCTAGCAGAGGACAGGCTTACAAGATCGGCACAGCCCATTCGTAGTCTTCCATGATTAGATCGCTTCTCTCTCCCTCTCCACCCATCTCTCTTCCAGCGCTCGATCTCTATTTCCGCGCCCCTCTCTCCGCCACCGCAGCCGCGCTATCCGCCGCGGTTACCTCGCGCGCATCCCTGCGGGGATGATGCCAGACTGATTGAGGCAATGTGTAGTGATAAAACGCTTGCGGAAAATTCTCTTCAACAAAAATGATCGAACATAGCGGCGAGATATAACGACAGCAAAACTCGTCAACTCCATGAGAGATACCTCATGAGCGGGTCAGACATCTTGATGCGGTTACGGTCGAGTCAAATATGTCAATCAACCTATATGGCCCCGGGCATACCTCACGCGATTTCATTCGCGATACAACTTGGCAATACTCCAGTTTCTTATAACTCGTCGCAAACTCAATTTGAGCACGTAAAATAGCAATTTTGTCAACTTACAAAAGTTGAATACATTTGTGGTCTGCAAGTGTTGAGTCTGAAAAGATCTGGTAAATGGTCAAATCGCAAGGCGACTGAAATTGCAGGTATGGTCAGGGCCTAATTTGAAAGCAACGTCCGAGC